TCCAGGCTGGCAGAGAAAATAAATCCTGGAATCTAAGTGGTGGCCTGTAAAAATTATATTGGTGGAAGGAAGCAAAATAAACCATACTATTGTAAGGGTATTCCGTCGACATGGTAACGGAAGCCCATCAGATATAGCACGTGAAAGATTAGACGTGGTTTGATCAGTTGTGGCCGAGCGTTACCGAGTGGAGAAGAGGAAAGGCAGGGTGGAGGCTGCAGCTACAGGAAGGGGGTGCGTCACTGTTGGCCGGAGCACATGGAATCTGTGTGTTTGTGCTGGCGCTGTGGCCCCACCAGCGGGCACCGCCACGAGGGCCTGAAGAAGAGGAGGAGAGAGGGGGAGAGAGGGAGAGAGACAGAGAGTAGAGAGACAGAGTAGAGAGAAACTGGGAGAGAGCGCGAGAGAGAGACAGAGAAAGAGAGAGTGAGACAGAGCGAGAGAGAGAGAGAGAGAGAGAGAGTGAGACAGACAGACAGAGAAAGACAGAGAGAGAGAGAGACTAAGTAGAGAGAAAGACACAGAAACAGGAGAGAGAAACAGGGAGAGAGCGTGAGAGAGAAAGACAGATAGAGAGAGACAAAGAGAGCGAGAGAGAGCGAGACAGAGCGAGAGAGACAGAGAGAGACAGACAGAGAAAGATGGAGAGACAGACAGAGCGAAAGAGAGAGAGACAGAGAGAGAAAGACTGAAAGAGACAAAAAGCGAGAGAGACTGAGAGAGAGACAGTGAAAGAGAGAGGCAGAGAGAGAGAAACAGTGTGAGAGAAAGAGAGAGAGAGAAAGAGGTAGACAGAGAGAGAGACAGAGAAAGAGACAGAGAGAGAGAGACAAAGAGAGAGAGAGAGACAGCAAGAGAGAAACAGAGCAAGAGAAAGAGAGAGACAGAGCAAGAGAGACAGTGAGTGAGACAGAGAGAGAGAGAGAGAGAGAACAGAGAAGAAGAGAGCACAAGAAAGAGCAAAGAGAGAGGGAGAGAGGGGAGGAGGAGAGGGAGAGAGATATGGTGGGTCAGAGCGAGAGAGAGAGAATGAAAGCGAAAGAGCACAAGAGAGATACAGAGAGAGAACAAGAGAGAGGGAAAGAGGGGATGAGGAGAGGGAAAGGCTGACCAAAAGTAATATGTTAGTTTAAATGGTGGCAGTGGTTCTCAAATTTTTCACCATCTGCACCAGACGTTACAAGGCTTTGCAAGTACCACAGTTACAGTGTCAAAGTAAAATAATGTTATAATGTTGTTTCTTCATCAAAAATATACCTGCAGTTGTTTTTTTTGTTTCATTCACACATGTTTAACGCACAAACCCAGCATATTTATTAATCTCTCTGAGTTCTCTTCCACCTTTTGATGTCATGTTGTAACATAGGAAAAGCTCCACTGTGTTTTTTAAACTCCATACACCTTCACTAGAATCGTTTGGATAATTTCAGCCCTGGAATTTCAAATCTCTCTCTTACAGTAAAAGCAATAATGTCCATGAGAAGGTCGCAAACTCTCCATAAAAAAGCTACAGAACTAAAGGACTAGGCACACAATATAATGAAAATAAACCTGGTTATAAAATATGCCTGCTTTTGGTAGTTAGGAGGAAGTAATGGTGCCCAAGTCTCAGAGAAAGAGCTGTAGTGAGAAACACTAATCCAATGTATTTATATAGCACATTTAAAAAACTGTACAGAAAAAAAACACCTTTAAAATAAACAAATGCTCTAACAACGCTCATAATAATAATGATAAAACCCTAAAACAGTAAATGCACTAACTTATTATTATCTTGGTGGGCAATTTTAGTAATACCAAACATGGCAAATCTTTATCTGTAGTTGCTGTAGCCATAACAACGAACAACATCTGGACTTCTTCAAGACTGCTCTTATCCAAGAAGTTCCAGAGCTTTCCCATTTTCTGGTTGCATTTTCCTACAATAGAACCACATCCATTAAGAGTTATATGGGCTCGCTTTCAGACCGAGGACCACAGCTAGAAGGAGGCATTCACTGTCAGTCCGAATCCAAATGTGCGGTTTTCCCAGGATTTTCTCAATGACTCCAAGATGCCTTCAGGGCTGTAAACTACACTGTACATTTCAACATCAGGAGATATTTGGGGGAAGTACAAGTTTATGCAAGACATCTGAATTTCCTTTGGGATCAATAGTATCTATCCAACAGACGTTTTTATTGATTTGGTACTCGAACCAAACTTCTTGTATTCCTTTCTTCATTTTTAATCTCTAAGGAACTTACACAAAATGGATTCTCAAGAGTTTTAAGATATGTTATGATGTTTTTATCTCTTCGAAGACATGCCCGCAGTCCGTAATCCTTAATTATTAGTCTTTTTACATCTCCAAAGTTCAAAATGCTGTGTTCCACCTTGTTATGTCACGAAGAGGTAGTTTTCAAGTTAACTTTACATGAGAACGCTTGTGGGTAAAAACGACAAAATATTAATATTAAAATATAAGTGCCTTTTGTTAGTCATGATGAACACAAAAATCTGAAACCACCCTCCACACAGGAAAAGTTGAATATGCTCTGTCGTTGCATTTCCATCTACACTGCCCAAGACACAAAACTCTGGTCAAATCTGCTCACTTCGCGTATGCGTTTACGTCACATACATACAGTACACAGAAACAAACATTTTGGATCATTTCCATGCATTGAATTCCACACACTTTTGCGTCACCGTAAACGTTTGTCTAAACACGAAACAAAAAGTGTTTAAGACGTAACACCACTTTTGTCATCATATAAACGTAGCCTCAGTTCAGCAATTCCAGGATGTGTGAATGAAAGAAAACACAACTCCAGGTATGTTTCTGAAGAGGAAACAACATTATGACATAAATCAGAAAAAAGCGGTATGGAAAAAGTACCATGCATGACATTTTTGAGTTAAAGGTGCACTGCACAACTTTTCTGATGAAGGGTCCGCTACCTGTTTCAATGGAGATGTTGTTGCTTTTGATATTAAACATATCCATCCTGCATTTAGTCATTTCTATTGCTCAAAAATACAATAATTCCTTGTGTGAATAGGGTGGACTCTCCACAGATCTGAACTGTAACGTCACGTAGTGTTGTAACCTGCTTATTTCCTTCATGTTCGACAGGTTTAATCTATACTTTGGAATATTATAGACAAAGCAATAACATTTTTATGGAGATAAGCAGGTAGCGGACCCTCCACTAGAAATGTTACGTAGTGCACCTTTAGAGCAAGTGGATTGCAGCTTAGTCATTTGAATTTCCTCATCTCTTCGGTGACAAACATGTTACAAAATCATTACATCAGCTATTGTTTGGGTTTTAATGGCTTCCGTATTAGTGCCATGCTGTTACATAACTTTCATACTGTATTTTAATACTAAGGAAATGATTTAACACTGATTTTGATAACCCAATCACGACATTTTTTCCCTGTACAACATAATGCCATTTTCTCTTTAAAGAGCCCATATTACTATTTTCTGATCTATGTTATAATGTTGTTTCTTTGTCATAAACATACCAGGAGTTGTTTTTTGTTTTATTCACACATGTTTAACACACAAACCCTGCATATTTATGTCAAGTTCTTCTCGCCACTCTGTGATGGAAGCGCTCTAGTGTGTTTTTAAACTCCATACAACTTCATTAAAATCATTTGGATAATTTCAGCCCTGGAATTGAAAGTCTCTACTGAACTAAAGGTTAACTTGATAACTACAACTTCATGACATCACAAGGTGGAACTGAGCATTTTGAGCTTTGGAGATGTAGACAGACTAATAATAAAGGGTTAGTCAAACACATGTAAATGAAACAAAACACAAGACCGGGCATGATTTGAGGAGGTAACAGCATTATGACATGGTGTAAAGCTCACAATTTAAAAACAGAGGACCTTTCATAAAGCATGTGGTCTTGTGTGGACTAGTTCTGATATAGACCGAGATCATTCTAAACCTATTAAAGAAAGGTCCAGTGTTTCTCGCCTTGACTGTATCCCTCCAAACCACATGAATCCTTGCAAAACTATGGCCATCTCCTTGCTCCTCACTTTTTCTCCGTGCACAGAATCTCCGCGCACCCCTCCCACACTTTTTCGGCAGCACCGCCATGCCTAACCATTTTTCTGTGGGAAACACTGAAAGGTCCGTCTCTGTCCAATAGATGTTTTTGTTTTGGTATTAGTTTCCGTATTGATTATTATCTGTTTACCAGTGTTTATTTGTTCCAACCCAAAGAGTCATTTTAATCAGTTAGTCAATAATATTCAGGCTCTAACACAAGGCAGAAGTGACAAAATAACAAAATGAATACAAAATGGCATGCAGTACCACCATTTTCTCCAATGCCTGTGTTCAGTTTGTATTCTTTAGTCCAGTGTGTACTTCCTGTCTTCATCTAAACAACATACACATGCTGAGAAACACTGGAGCATGCACATATGTGTTCAGTTATCAGATCTCTACTTCCTCCATTCACAGTTCACTGCCCTGTGCCACCAGACAATATGGGAGTCAGCTGTGGCAGTGGTAGAAGAAGTACTCAGTTTTGTTACTTAAAAGCCCACTATGTAACTTTTTGGTAGTGCTTTTCTCCATGGAGATGTTATTGCTTTTCCTGGAATGTTTTACAGTATGGTATTAAACCTTTCTATCATCATGGAGACCAAAACAGGCCAGGGTCAGATTTCTAGGTATTCTTGAGCTGTAAAACCACCTGTAATTGAATTAATAGAAGGATTGTTTAATGTCATACTGTGGGACATTCCAGGAAGAGCAATGACACATCCATAGAAACAAGGTGATAACATTATAATTTAACGCTCACAAGAGTCAGTTTTGTGTAATTATTTGGCATTAAAATAGCACGTAATACTACTTCACCCACTCACTGACAGTACTAATCAACTTGCAGTATTTTTGTTACTGCCTAGAAAGCATTATGTACACAAAAAATATTTTATATGCTGTTCATATTTATTTATGTTTTTGTTGTGTGTTACAGGTGACCTCAGCTTGCATCCCTGCTCCATCCAGTGACATGGTGAGCCACATTGACTCAACTGTCTAAAGCAGATAGACTTCCTTGGCTGTGTTCCATTTCTCTTTCCTCACTTCCTTCTAATAGCCAGGCTGGCGCCACCTAGTGCCTCCGCTCAAATTCATTTCTCTCCAGCGACTAGGTCAGGAATAGGAATACACTACATGGTTTGCAAGAACCCCGGAAATTGTATTGTGTGAAGCCATGACTGGGTCCCTTTTGTGGTACAGCACAACAGTAAACAAAGCAGTCGAGATGGTTGTAGATGAAGCCATACATTCTGTGTTGGCAACGATTCCCGAGATCATGGATGTAAAGCCAGAACAAAGAAAATGTTTGGTGAATTTTATCAAGGGAAAGATGTTATTGCCCTTCTTCCTACAGGATTTGGGAAAAGTTTAATATACAAGTTAGCCCCATTAGTGGTGCATTACATACATCACGACCAAATAGCAGTGATTGGTTAAATTTAAAAAAGTACCCGCCAACCATCGAGCGAATGAATCCTAATGGTGCGAGATCAGACGGTTTCCATGAAGTGAAACCGGCTGATGAATCAGACTATCCTTCGCCTCGATTCTACATGAAATAATGAGGAAGACCCACCCACAGAGGAGACACATGGAGGCGAGACGAATAAAGTTTGATTGTTTTATCTGTCTGCCTCCTGAAGACTCCCTCATGTTTACTCCTTTCTTCCCTGGTTTTCTTTGGGACACTGCTTAAAATGACACATTTGATTGACAGCTGAAAAGTGGAAGATTGAGGAAAGGAATCAAGGAGAAGGAAGCGAGGAAAGAGAACTAGGATGTAGCTCTTGTGTTTATCCAAAGTGTGGATTCCCAAACAGCAGTGTGGTTCCTTCCCGGTGAATTGTTCCAGAAAGCCGAGCCCTGTGCTGTGGTTGTCTCCTGGAGTTCATACATGTTTCTTTTGCCATAGAAAGACTCCATGTTTCTTCTTAAAGTGTTTGTTGAATTAACTCCTGCTCTTCCTCTGGGTCCTCTTAACCTTTGAACTCTCACACTCTGGCTCACCTTTTACCTACTGGTCTCAAGTTACTTCCTGTTGTCATACATGTTGTGTTTTATTTATTTTAAACATGATTTCCTTTTCTATGTTTTCTGTTCCTGCAGCAGCGCAGAGGGACAGCTCCATCTCGACAAATCCAGCACATGGTGAGCACCACATTCTGAACAATGTGTCTTTATGTTCTGTTTTCATTCAGCTGTGTACATAGTAAAGACTGAAGAATTTATCACATATTTCCTCACTTCATATTCCAAACTAAATAAAATATTAAATAAATAAAGTTACTGAGAGACTACAAAGACATTATGATAAACTATTATAAGGCAGTGTTTTTAGATTATTAAAGGTGCATTAACATTTTTAGTGTTTGTCTCCATGGAAATGTTATGTCTTTGTCTAGAATGTTCCAAAGTATAGATCAAGTCTGCCCATCACAATAGAGAAGAGCAAGTTACAGCACTACTCGACATTACAATTCAGATCTATGGAGAGTCGCCCCTGTTCACAGAAGGACTTATGGTATTTTTGAGCAGTCTTAGAGCAGTGTCTCCGGGCACACACATGGATCAAATGCAGAGGATAAAACGGTCAAATGCAGAGGACAAAAAGGGTCAGATGCAGAGGAAAAAAGAGTCAAATGCAGAAGACAAAAAGGTAAAATGCTGAGAAAGAAAGGGTTAACTGCAGACAACAAAAGGGTCAAGTGCAGACAACAACAGGTCAAATGCAGAGGACAAATGGGTCATATCCAGAGGACAAAAGAGTCAAATACAGAGGACAAAAGGGTCAAATGCAGAGGACAAAAGGGTCAAATGCACGGGACAAATGGGTCAAATTCAGAGGACTAAAAGGTCACATGCAGAGGACAAATGGATCAAATGTAGAGGGCAAATGGGTCAGATGCAGAGGATGAATGAGTCAAATGCAGAGGAGAAAAGGGTCAAATGTAGAGGATAAAAGGGTCAAATGTAGAGGACAAAAGGATGAAATGTAGAGGACAAAAGGTTCAAATGCAGAAGATGAATGGGTCAAATACAGAGGAAGATAGGGTCAAATACAAGGGACAAACAGGTCAAATGCAGATGACAAATGGGTCAAATGCAGAGGACAAAAGGATCAGATGCAGAGGAGGAAAGGGTCAAATCCAGAAGACAATGGAGTCAAACACAGAGGACAAATGGGGTCAAATACAGAGGACAAATCGGTCAAATGTACCTAAAATCAATGTACAGTATGTCAGTATGAAACACTATTATTTCCTAACATTATACATGTAATACAAAGTCTGCAGTTTTTCATCATTGTGTTTTTGTTGCAGGGGTCCACCAAGTCTCTGACCTACACCAAACAGAGGAACACCCTGCCGAGGTAAAGGCCACCTCAGTCTCACACTTATACCTCTAATATATTTATATATTATTCATTCATATAATAACATTTAAAGTGCAAATCCCGCCCTATTCCTGTTTATAATCCAATGTTCTCACAGTCTGACGTCATCACTTTTTTGCTGTTTCCACCCGATTTAGACCTGACCATGTGACGGATCAAGCCCGTTTATAATCTGACCTACTTGTCACGCACATCCAAACTTTTATTATTATTATTTATCTATTTGTGTTTTCTGGTAATGCTTTATAATAAGGTATACCTACAAATTTGCAAATGTTTATTAACCATTACAGGTGCACTCTGTTACTTTTTTGTTTGGCAGTCTGACACCTGCTTGTTTTTATGGATATGTCACTGCTCTGCCTGGAATGTTTCACAGTATGACATTAAACAGCTCTACGTTACATTTATTCAATTAAATCTGACCTGTAACTTGCTCTGGTTTGGTCTCCAGGAAGATAGAAAGGTTTAATACCATACTGTGAAACATTCCAGACAAAGTAATAACATCGACGCAGAGAAAAACATTAGACAGACAGGAAAAGTTACACAATGCCCCTTTAACAAAATCTACTCATTAACAAGTGTTTAATAATCATTTACAAATATGGACAAGACAGAAAGTATCATTACTAATTCATACTCTTACAACTATTACAACTAACAACATAAATGTTTAATTAGAAACATCTACAAGCAATTTACAAATGTAAATCTACTCATTTATTAATAATGACTTTTAGTAAGGATGATGAGTTAATTTTAGTTTATTTAGTAAATGATTAGTTAATGCTTAGATTTAGACAGAAAAACTTCATTGACCCACAAGGGAAATTTCTTGGATCACAAGATGTTTCTAAAATCCCTCAGTCATCCAGGTAGGAAAAAAAAACATTTGTCCAGTTCACAGAATTGAATTTCTCCTTTACTTTGGACCACAGGGGAAATTACTTGGAAATAATGGTTAGTAAACATTTACAATAAAATATTTACAAATGATTTGCAGATATGCCTTATTATAAAGTGTTATGCTTTTTCCCCACTAATACAAAACAAACTCCTCAGAGGCTAAACAGTTGTTCAGTATTACTTTTCTCCAATCCAATCCAACTTTATTTATATAGCACACTCAAAATGCTGCCCGTAGCACTGTAAAATTGAACTCGCATAAAAATAACTAATAGAAACAACTGACAAAAATAATAATAATATATTAATAATAATAATCAAATCAATAAATAAGGTATAATCCTATGTCCTGCTATCATCATATCTTTGCACTGTTTTTATAGTATTATATGGTGATGTGTGAGCTACTGTGTCCAAATAATTTCAATGAAGTTTGTCTAAGTCTACAAAGTCAAAGTAAAAGCAGTATTAAAAAGAATAAAATACATAAAATAAATAAATGTTTTTGTTTTCTGTTAAATGTCTTATATTACACAAAATGGATTCTTGTGAGTTTTAAGCCATGCTATAATGTTGTTACCTCGTCAAAAACATACCAGGAGTGGTGTTTTGTTTTATTCATACATGTTTGAGTAACACTTAATTATTAGTCTGTCTACATCTCCAGAGCTCAAAATGCTCTGTTCCACATTGTGATGTCATGGGGCTGTAGTTTTAAGTGATCGGCTCCTTTTACCTTTTGTTCAGCAGAAATTGGCAACTCCAGGGTTGAAATTATCCACATGATTCTAAGAAAAGTGTATGGAGTTTAAAAACACAGTGGACTACTTCTTGTTTTACCACATTACATCACAAGGTGGGACAGAGTGTTTTCAGTTTGAGAGAAGAAGTCAGCTTAAATATGCAGGATTTATGTGTTAAACATGTGTGAATGAAATAAAAACACAACTCCAGGTCTGTTTGTGATGAGGAAACAACATTATAACATAAATCAGAAAATTGTGTAATATGGACCTTTGAACTGAACTTCTGAACATTATCCATCATGCTGTGACTGTGCGTGTTTGACTGACCTATATCCACTGATCCCTTCCGCTTCATTGGTCCCTGCGTAGGAGCTTTAGCGTGGACCGTGTGATGGAGAGGGTCATGGAACGCCACTATGATTTCGACCTGACGTACATCACAGAGCGAATCATCTCGGTGTTTTCCCGCCAAAACTGGAGGAGCAGCGGTACCGCCTGAACCTGAAGGAGGTGGCGGCTATGTTGAAGTCCAAACACCAGGACAAGTTCCTGGTAAGAGCAGACAAACTGTAATTAGTGGAGCTTTCCCAACGCGCTCCTGTTTATTTAAAGATGTGTTGCACAAGTGAGAGGAGGAATTGTGTTGCATTGAAACCACATGGAAGTATGGAGCCACAATAAGAGGGTGTTTTTTGGGGTTTTGGACACGCCCTGAATGAGTAAAGTCAAAGGGTGGCTCTTACTGTAATCTGTCACTCTGTGTTTGGCCCCTGTCAAATCTTCCATTTAGATGTGTTCTCTACAACAGTATATTTTGGTCTTATTAATATTGTTTATGGTTTACAAGGCCCTATCCTGACTCCATATGAGTTAAAATGGAAATTGTGGTTAAAATGTGAATATTTATGCAGGTAATTTAAACTTGGCTTATACAGTTTTTTTCTGCTATGTTTATGATCTTCTTATATTTTTTTTGTAGTTGCTGAATCTCTCTGAAAGGCGCCATGATATCAGCCGCATCAACCCAAAGGTACATCTTCTGTTCTAAAACATTACATTACAATAAAAACGGCCCTGGACTTTCCCTCACCATTCGGCCCACATTAAAACTTGAGGACTTTTCCAGAACATACAGATTGGCATTGTTACCAGATTGCTAAATATGTGGAACTCAATTCAGAATGCTGCACATATCAGTCTGGTGTGATTCAGTTTAGGTGTAAACAAACACGCAAATACGAAATACACAAAAAGTATACTAAATCATAGTTCAAGTCCAATGATTATAATGTTGTAAAATGATACAGAAATGGTCACATTTTTCTATAGCGCTTTTCCACCTTCAAGGCACTCAAAGCGCTTTACAACAAGGAACCACTCACCCATTCACACACCATTATATGCAGACACTGTGGGCAAGGTGGGTTAAGTGTCTTGCCCAAGGACACAATGACAGCATTCATCTGTGGGAGCTGAAGTCATACCAGCCAACCTGTGGGTCAGTGGATCTGACCGCTCAACCTGTGATGTTTATGTTGAGAGTGGGATTCGAACCGCTAACCTTTAGATCAGTGGGCAAATGCTCTACCAACTGAGCTACTATCGCCGTAAATATCGTAAATAAAGATACAAACTTCTCTTTTGTCTCCCTGTAGGTGCATGACTTTGGCTGGCCCGACCTGCACGCTCCGCCTCTGGATAAGATCTGTGCCATATGTAAAGCCATGGAGATGTGGCTGACCTCTGACCCCCAACATGTCGTGGTCCTGCACTGCAAGGTCAGAGTTCACACTATTTACCCATTCACTTTTACATGATCATAATAGATAAACAAAAATAAACTTTTAGTGCTCACATTTTTGTGATTCAGTTAGCCACTTTTTGGGATTTACTTTAAAAGCCTGAACTGATGGGGCCTCTCTCTCTCTCTCACGGAACTCTGAGTTCCAGTGAGGCTGCACTTGTCACAACTCACAACTTAGAGGCCAGAGTTTTACTGTCACACCAATACTAACAAAAAATAACATGCTAACAATGTACCAGTGTTACTTCCTGGTTTGTGGATGATAAAAATACTTGCAGACAGCACACGATGGCCACATTTTGACCCCAGATCTGCTTTTACAATATACAGTACTTGTACTTGGACTCATAATTTTATTATGTGGAAGAAAAACTCTTCAGCCAACTAAGCAAAGATAATATAATATTGTTTTGAGGTTACAGTTTTGATTAAACATAAAACATAACATTTAAAATGCATTCAAAAACATACTGCTGCCAAAAACTTAAGTTATGCAACAAGTCCAAAACTGCAGGCATGTGCTTTATTATTCATGCATTTAACTCACAGATTACAAAGTTATAAAAACATTAGCTTTTCCAAATGCTGTCACACTATAACCATCAAACACTGCATCTCAGCTCTCATTTCTTTTGTGGACATATTATTTATTGTTTTGAGGGGTTGGGGGATTTAAATACTAAACCAGACTTCTGTGGTGGACTTGGCTTCTAAAACATTCCAACTCGACCAGTAGTTTCCCAGCTGCGGATAGCAAAGGAATAAACATGAATGGGGACTCTATTAGGGGCAATACAAGCAGTAATTTGTGCTAGCCTGCTAAGAGCTAACTGGGATCCTATTGGGAAGCAGAGGCTGGAATGTCTTAGGAATGTGTCAGGAAGTTTAGTGAAAAACACCACAGGGAATTTCTTAATTTGCTCCATGCACTCACATGTTTATCTGCACTGTGTGATTGCATAATAAAAATAAAAAATGAAACCTAATGTGCCCACAGAACTATTAACTTTCACGTATTAGTGTGTTCCTTAAACTGCAGCGCCTGAGGGGAAAACCAAAGCCAATTTCATGGTCTTTTATAAGCGTTTTGTGATTCATGTTTTCCCAACAGGGTAACAAAGGTAAAACTGGAGTCATCATCGCTGCCTACATGCACTACAGCAAGATCTCTGCTGGGTGAGTGTTCAAGACCATATGTGCATAGAGCTAAGTTTTGTTTGCAGATGGTTTAAAGGTGCGCTTTGGAGCTTTCCTGGTGGTGGGCACATGATGTGCTTGTCTCTATGGAGATGTTATTGCTTTGCTGTTTGACGGGAATGTCCCATTAAACTTATATATCTCAAAACATTTACTTATTCTAAAAATACCATATTTTCCGGACTACTGAGCACACCTGAATATAAGCCGCATCAACTAAATTTTAACAAAATGTAAAAATTATACATATATAGGCCGCATCTGAATATAAGCCATAGGTGTCCATATCTTTAAAAACGGTTTCAAGTTCGGGCCGTCTGCTTTTATTGTGTCTGAAAGCTTTTGTCGTCTTTGTGCATTGAGTCAGTTCATCATCAGCCAAAATCTCACCATTGACTCATTGATGCCAAGCCCTCATGCAGCAGCTCTGTTTCCTTCTTCCACAGCCACATCAATTGCCATCAGCTTAAAAGCTTCATCATCTGCATTTCTTTGTGTATTTTCCATGAGGAGTGTGTGTATTAAGCGCAAAATAACTGTTCAAAACACAATCAAACAGCATCTTCCTCGGTGCATCACCCCATCTCCCCACGCTCTACTGTGCATGTCTCCTGCAGAAAGAGCTGCTGTCTTGTCTGTATCATGTCAGTGTCTTGGAGGATTTCAGCAGATTTCAGACTCTCTTGGGGGCAGGGCTAGTTCTATCAATCAGGTATGAGTGGATGTTCGGCTACTGAAGTTTGAGACGTTTCTTCTCGTCATTTACACATACGGGTAAGACGTATCCCCCTGACTAATATTAATTTAGCATCATAACTTATTATATCACACGGCGGTAAACTATTTCAGTGCAGTGACAATATCGCTACCTAGTGTAGCAACTTCATATGAACCCTAGATCCATGTGTGAACCACACAGACAGCGGCACTTTCTGCACTCAGGCTGCGTGTATCTGCTGTGTTGCCAAACCAGTATATATAAATGAACAAAGTGGCAAACAAAGAATCCATCCATGCATTAGCCACATCGTTTTATTAACCGCAGGGTGCAAAGTGTGAGAAAAAAGTAGCGACTGATAGTCCGGAAATTATGTTACTTTGGAAAAAAATGTATTCTTATTGTGCATAGACTCACCTCTCCGCAGAGACAAGCAAATGCCAAACCCTTCACCAAAAATGTTACACAGTGCAGTAAATACATGTTTGACAGCTTTTATGACCATCCAAACAAGTGAGTCTACTGCTCTTTTTATTTATTTTTTTATTTGCACCTCACAGATGATAATATATTGTGCAAAATCACCATAAGACAGGTGCCCACAGTTTTGTCCATTATTCGTCAGTAAGAACTTGTGTTGTGGATTGTAACAGCTCAAGATGCTGATAAATAAAATGAATTATTATTTTGATTAAAGTAACTGTGTGCAGGTTTATGGTACACTGAGAGCGAGGCAGAAGAATGATGGAGACAGAATATTATATAACACCATTATCTATCTCTTACCAAACAAATCAATGTTAATGCATGTCCGTCAATAGTGCCCTCTTGATGCCCAGCTCCATGTTCAATAACCCACTTATGATGTAGAGTAAAGATGCAGTAGGATAACTTATAATATATGAATGTACTTGATAATAACAGGACAGTATCTTGTGCCTATTGTCATTATCAACACAGAGTTCTGTTTAGATTTAGATGGGCTGGGTCCTCTGGTCTATCCTCCTGTCACACAGCAGCTGTATCCTCCCTGTACACACAGATACACACACACACACAGACACACACACAGGGGGCTGGTGGAAGTCCCATGGTGGAAAGAGCTTTGTAAAAGTGTGTGTTTGTTTTGGTTCACAGGGCAGACCAGGCGCTCAGTACTTTGGCCATGAGGAAGTTCTGTGAAGATAAGGTGTCCTCCTCACTACAGCCATCCCAAAACAGGTTTGTGCATATTACATAATCCCTTATAGCAGAGGTAACCAACACCGGTCCATCTGCCAGAGATAGATAGTTTTATAGACTGTAGCAATAGCACTGTGTTTATGAAAATATAGAATCAATTAACCAAATAAACAGCAAACATGAGTAATAAAAAAAAACAGGATAAGAATTTATACTCATTTTGTTGCTGCTGGCTTTTTTTTTTTTTTTTTTTTTTTTTTTTTTACTTTTACATGGGGAACATTACTGTATTTCCATGGATTTCAGGGTTATAAAAACATGCTGTAGGCATAGCAATAAACAATTTTAAAGAAAATATTATAGCTTTTGAATCGTGAAAAGTACTCAAAATGTTTCCTATAAACAGGAAGCTCAAAAATGTGAAGGTTTTTGCTTTATCTCTTATCAAAGTCCACGATTTTAGTCATGTTTACTTGATATCATCCAACCTCCTAAAGGAACATACAAAACTTAAGAAAATTACTATTACTATTTACTAACAGTGATTGGAAGAATGCTTTGAAAATGTAAAGTTGCATGATGAAGTTCCACTGTGTATTCCTTTTAATTTAGGAAACTGTATTCTGAATACTACTAAACAAAAGACTAGCTTTACTAGAATACAAGTACTCAAATTTAGTATTGAGAATATGTATTTTCAGTATGAATTCAGTCACTACCCTACAATGTTTACTAATGTTATGATTTGTTCCATCAGATACATTTACTATTTTGGAGGTCTTCTGTCTGGAGCCATCAAGATGAACAGCAGCCCTCTCTTCCTCCACCAAGTCCTCATCCCGTGTCTGCCCAACTTCCAGGGAGAAGGAGGTCAGTCTGAAATCTCTACACAAACAATAAGTGCCTTTCTTTTGGCTGTTAAATATGTATAAGACTGCATGTTTACCTTCTCGTCTCACAGCTGACCTGGTGCCTTCGCCCACACACAATCTCTCTGTTTATCTTTAATCTGCTGATCGGAGGCAGTCAGCGCATTCCTTCACATGCCCTCAATGTCTGTCCCTGTTTCTCTCCAGGTTACTTCCCGTTCCTGAAGATCTACCAGTCGATGCAGCTGGTCTACACTTCAGGAATTTAGTAAGTCCTTTCTCCAAAGATGGATGCACCAGAGGATATGGGGTTTTGGTTACGCCATAGTCTAAATTACAAGGAATGGGTGGAGAAGAATGATACAATGAAAGCTTTATTCACTAGAGAATATGCCTGGATATGCCTCAGAAACATGCCTGGAGTTATGCTTTGTTTCACTGATGGATGTTTAACACAAAATCCTTGCATATTTAGGCTGAGTTTTTCTCTCAAGTAGAATCTGTTCCACTTTGTGATGCCATGTGGTGATACAGGTAGTGCTCCTGTGGTTTTAAACTCCATACACCTTCCCTAGAATCATTTGGATCATTTCAGCTTTCAAATTGCCAATCTTCAGTGAGCAAAAGGTAAAAAGTAGTTGTTAACTTGAAAACTACCACTATATGACATCACAAGGTGGAATAAAGCATTTTGAGCTTTGGACATGTAGATAGACTAATAATAAAGTGTTACTCAAACATATGATAAAACAAAACATAACTCCAGACATGTTTTTGACTGACTTAAAGTTCATACGGGTCAAGTTTTGCGTAATATAGAATCATTTGATAACCAAAATCAGTAGAAATCGCAATCAAGTATGTCACTGTGTTCCTGTAATGGCTTCTATCATACCATAAGCTTATCTGATCTTGATGTTCGTTCTTGTCTGTGCAGTAACCTTCACGGCACTGGCGGCAGGAGGCTGTGTGTGACTGTGGAGCCTGCTTTGTTACTGAAGGGAGACATCCTGGTCAGATCACATCACATGGACACAATAATATTTATGTTATCCAAGGACATTTACTCAAACATCAGTCATTTAAAATATTAGATGAAGATTTTTAGATTAATTTATTTGACTAGTCTTATGATTTGTCAGTAACATAGACTGTATATGTAAATAGACATAGCTTTAAATCTACACTGAAAATTTATCACCCTTCTCTTTAGAACTACTGCAGTGGCTCTCTTGATTTTGGTCTTAAAAAGTTTGTATTAAACCGCTCTACATTATCCTAGTGTTTTGTCCATAAATAAATGTTTATTCCTAATATGGAACTTGGCTCCAAATTTGCTTCTATAACTGCTGGCCTCATGAGCTTCATTTGACTGGAGCTGAGCACTATGGGTGACCACTTCTTTATACAGTCTATGGTCAGCAATAACAAAAACTGAAAAACCTCCATTAACAACATATTTTATTATGGACTTCAACAAGACTTTACACAGAATTACACAGTTGTGCATTATTTAAGATTAATACACAGATAATCAGTGAATCTACCTGTTATTACCATGTTATTTTAACCATAAATACAGTTTCAACCATATAAATGGGTTTAACATGTTCTGTTGCTCTCCTTTGCTGCCCCCTGTAGGTGAAGTGCTATCACCGCAGAGCGCACACTCCAGACAGAGACACGGTTTTCAGGCTGCAGTTCCACACATGCACCATTCACGGGTCACAGCTGTGGTTCGGCAAAGGGGAGCTGGACGAGGCCTGTACTGGTAGGTTTTGGAGTTAGAATATTTTTGTTTGGATTTTTACTCTGCCAATCTTCTGTCATATTATTGTAAGATTAATTTTACTTACTCCTAAGGTATTATAAAGGTAGTGGTCCAAAGTAGTGAGGTTTATTGACAAAAAAAACAAAAACAAAACATTTACTTCAACAAAAATGTGCTAAAAATGCGTGAGTGTCTTTGTTGATGTTGATATAAAAAGTGAATGGACTATAAACCTTTCTAATCAAAAATAAAAAATGCTGAAATATTACTTTGAATCTTGCTTTGAAATGTGATTTTATTGTTAATCAGTTATTATTGTGGTTTGAGATCTCAGTTTCATTTATATGTCCTTTTCTCTTAGAATGTCACTCAATAAAATAACTTAAAGGTCCAATATTACACAAAATTGTAAGCTTTAAGCCATGTTCGAAAGTTGTTTCCATATCAAAAACATACCTGGAGTTGTGTTTTATTCAGTCACACAAGTAACTCTTTATGATTATTCTGTCTTCATCTCCATAGCTCAAAATGCTCTTTTCCACCTTATGATATAATGAAGACATAGTTTTCATGTTAACAGCTACCGTTGACCTTTATTTAGCTATTCCAGGACTGACATTATCCAAATGATTCTAGTGAAAGTGTATGGAGTGTTTTTCTGCTTGAGAAAATAACTCCTAGAAATGCAGGATTTGTTTGTTAAACATTTGAAAGAAACAAAACACAGCTCCAGGTATGTTTTTGAAGAGGAAACAACAATATGGCCCTTTAATTGTGGCAATGGCTGCTTGGTGATGTGCTGAAATGTACTGAAGAGACTCCCTTTGTAACTGTGTCCCCTGAATATATGGATGAATTAAATCTCCCTCTTTAGCAGCTAATCTCTCCTCCCTAGATGTAATGACTGCCCCCTGGAGGTTAGCACAGTGAAAAAGACTGTATTTATAGTGTAACAGTCCCAAACAGACTCTCCAGTGGTGTGCTCCAGTTTAACATTGTAATAGATGTGTTCATTACCTCATTTCCTTGTTGGTTTCACTTTCTGTAAACCACCACTTTGCAGCTGAATGGTGAATAGAGTTATGTGCAGTGAGCAATGCATAGAACAGACCTACTCTAAACATCTGTGGAAGATATTAAAGTTCGTTTGAAATATTATAATAGATACTACATGTGGTGTCTTTGTCAGGGATGTAACTTAAACACGCGGTGGTCGCTGTTAAATCTGAGTTTTACTGTATGTAGTGGTTTAACCCAGGGAGTGTACTATTTCATTTTACATATGCTCTTCTAGGAAAACTAAATATTCAAATGATTATAAAATGTTCAATAAATTATTGTGTCAACAGATGAGCGCTTCCCATCTGACGCCACAGTGGAGTTTGTCTTCTCCTCTGGACCAGAAAAGATCAAAGGTAATTTTACTTGTACTTTACCCTTATTTTAACTTCATCTACATACTGTTACAAAGACAACCTACTTCAGTATGGTTAAAGGGCCCACATTACACTATTTTCTGATTTATGTTACAGTGTTCTTTCCTCATCACAAACATACTGTATGTTTGTGATGACGAGTTGAGTTTTGTTTCTGGAGTTGACTTTTGTTTCATTCACAGATGTTTAACACACTGCATCCTTCTTGCAGACAGAAAACACAGGAAGTGCTCCACTGTGTTTTAAACTTCGTACACCTTCACTAGAATAATTTGGATAATTTCAGCTCTTGAATTGCCAATAAACTGAAAAGCAGGGGTGGCACAGTTCACAAAATTCGCGGTCTCGGTTTTCAGTTCGGTACGGTTCTTGTTGTCATTTTTTTCTTTCTTATCTTCAATCTCCAGAAATATACTTCGTCATATGCTATATTAGCTTAATTATCCACAATTTAGGATACAGCATTAAAAAAGTTATAAAATTATAGTTGGTAAAGTAATCATGCACAAACTGGATTTGACTTGACTTTAAGCACATTATTATTGGACATTATTGAATTTTATCAAGTGGGAAGACATTATTGCCCTTCTTCTTACAGGATTTGGCACATTACATATGTCACGACCAAATAGCAGCGATTGGTTAAATAAAAAAGTACCCACCTACCGTCGAGCAAACGAGTCCTAATGCTGTGAGGTCAGATGGGTTCCGCGAAGTGAAACTGGCTGATGAATCAAGCTAGAAAAATGTTGCTGTTATCTTGAAAACTACAACTACATGACATTACAAGGTGAAACAGAGCTTTTTGAGCTTTGGAGATGTAGACAGTGATAATACAGGGTTCCTCAAGCATGTGTGAATGTAACAAAAACTCTGGGTATGTTTTTTGAATAAGGCTTAAAACTCACAAAAGTCAATTTTGTGTAATATAGCACCTTTAATTTCAATCTATTTTGATCAGGCCGTGAGTACCATAAGAATGACCCTGCAGTGACAGTGGACTACAACACTGGAGACCCTGTGGTTCGCTGGGACTCTTATGAGAACTTCAATGAACGCTACCAGGACAGTTTGGAAGGTAACAACTGACTTCTCCACTTTTACTTTATTTACATCATGACAGAACCACCCACGTGTGTTTTAATGTATTGTCTTTAAAAATAACCTTAAACGTTTTTGGATGTGTGGTCTTCTGTTGTCTTTTATTAAATTTTTTTTTTATTGATATTATTTATTCCTATGGGTTTATTTTACAGTTTTACTTATGTATTTCTACTCTGTTGTTTTTATTATGTTCTTATTGTATTAAATTGTAGTCTTTGTGTATAAAATGTGCTATAGAAATAATGGATTGGATAATAGAAGCTTGAACATACATTATTTCTTTTCCCCAGACATCGCCCACACCAGAGGTCCTCTTGACGGCAGCCTTTACGCCCAGATTAAGAAGCGCAGAGGGGCGGGGTCCGGATCTCTCACCTCAACCAATGGCAGCAGTCCAGGCGCGGGCATCGACGAACGAACCAGCCATCTCATCTCTCACAGTTCTGACTCCGGCCTCTCCGCACACTCCAGCCATTTGAACCAGCCCTGCCTGCACCAGGAAGACCCCTTGCCCCACTCCCCTCCACCCCCAACCCGTCAGGAGCAGGAGGAGTTGGAGAGGCTTCTGGGCGGGATCGAAGGTCGAGATGGCGAGCGGGAGACAGCCATTTTGGATGACGGCGATTCCTTACCGCCTTCAGAGAGAAATGGTACTCTGAGGTTGAGTCGTTCTTGTTCTTGTCGGGATGGGTACCGCTCACAACGCTGTGCCGAACCTGGCTGTGACCGCACCCTGCTCATGCCGAACGGATACTGCCTGGACCGGGCACCTGGGACCAATGGCCATCTTGGAGCCACGCCCTCCGCTAGCTCCCCTCCTCCTTCCCACATGGATCTATGTCAGCACTACTCCCCGCACACGCACCAGTCCTTACCGCCTCCCGATCTGGTGTGGGACAGGCAAACTGGGCAGCACTATTTACACCGATCATGCTCGGAAACGTCACGCCACATGTGTTACCCTTCTCCAGATCTGGCCCCTCATCACCATAACTACTCACATCACCGTCCCTGTTGTCCAGACGACCAATACCCACCGTACCACCACGCCCCTTCGCCACACAGTCACCCACACCATTCCAAAATCAGCCCAACGTACCATGATTTGATACTCATGGATGGTCCGTCGCATGCGAATTGTCCATGTCGGGATTGTGCCGTGAGGAGAGAGGAGGCGTATCACACTATAAGAATGGAACGCGGCGATAGTTTTCATTGGGACAGGGAGGCGGAGCTACAGCAGAGAGAGGCGGGGCTTCGGAGGACACGGGAGGCGGAGCTTCAGAGGGGGTCCGACCTGCACTGGGATAGAGACCCACGGCGAGCACGGGACATGTCATTTCACTGGGACAGAGACACAGAATGGGAGAGAGATAGAGAAGCAGAGTACTGGCACAGAAGGGCCACCGTAGCTTCTTACGGCGCACAGTCTCATGATCTCCCTGCGTTTTCGTTTGACCCACTCCCATCTGGTCACCCTGCGTACCCAGAGGCTTCCCGCTCCCATGCACACTCCCACCTGGACATGAAGTACAGCAGCAGTAGCAGTGGGTACCAGACGCCCCGCCAGGTGTGCCCGTGCTCGCCGTACCAGCCTTCCCCGTCAGAAAGCAGGGGGTACGCCTCGGGGTATCAGTCTGAGTCCACATCCCCTCTTCCTCCGTCCTCTTCTGTAACGGGACATTGTAATCACCATAGTAATGGGACACATCACTGCCCTGAGTCCGAGCTCCAGACATACCCATCTGAGTCACACACTGGTGAGTCACATAAAACAGGCTGAAGTTTTAACAATGGGACCTTTTACACAGTTACCTAAATCACATCACATGCAGCAAACCAGATGCATTCTTCATTGATTATACTTTATTAGAACTAGATCACTATCTTCACATAAAGGTCAAGCTCTTTGTTGACGCCAAGAGCTATAGAAAATACACACTGTGACATCCTTTTGTGGGATGAGACAATAACAATGAAATAGTCAACATGCAACACATTCATCCAGAACATAACAAGTAAAATAGACTATAGTTATGTATGCTAGTAAATTTGAGGTATCTGTACTTTACTTAAGTAGATTTTACAGTGGATACTTTTACTTCACTACATTTGAGAGCAGGTATCTGTACTTTCTACTCCACTACATTTTTAACTGGACTGAAAAGAAAAATAATTTCGACATGCTGAAAAGGCTGATGATTTATTTTTAGCATGTTCATAGTTTGAGTAAACAAAAATATACAAAGAAAAACAGCTACAATATAATTGATTCAGTTGTTTCTGTTGAGTAAAATTCAGTACAAATCTTTGTCAAAATCACTACACTTGAAGCTTTATTAGATCTCAAAACCTACGCAAAATACCTTTACTATTTACTCTTTAAATACATTTTTAAACTGGTAATTCGATTTTTTCATCTGATACTGAGTATTTTTTGCTGCACTACCTGTACTTTTATGTAAGTAATAAAATTGAGTACTTCTTTTACCACTGCATTTATCCATTTAAAAGTTGTGTATACCATTTAATTTGGGTTGTGAAACTGATTTTATATTATAAAAAATGTTATTAGTCACTCTCACTGTCCAGCTATTCGTCTAACCTGTATTTTATTTTACAGATGGCTTGCGTAGTTCTGGTGAGAGTGTTGGCTGGAGGGACCATCTTTCTCATGGCTCCTTCAAAAGAGTTCATAGAGACGCCCATCCTGCCTGCTCCACTCCGTCCGACATGTCAGGGCCTTCTACTCCTGTCCACACCAGCAGCCCACTGCGCAACCAGGAGAGGTAAATGTTACGTTGGTGTGTACTTTATACCCAGTGGATTTTTATTTTAATTTACAATAGCATGCATATGTTTGGCTTTGTGTGTAAACATGTCCATATTACACTATTTTCTGATGTATGTTATAATGTTGTTGCATAAACACAAACATACTTGGAGTTGTGTTTTGTTTCATTCACACACAACACCTATATTTTTAGGTGAAGTTATTATCTTAAACTGAAAACACTCTGTTCCACCTTGTGATGTCATGTGGTAATATAAGAAGGAATCTACTGTGTCAGCCCAGTGTTTAAGCCCTGGAATTGCTCATCTCCACTACATGCACAAGGTGGAACAGAGCAATTTGAGCTTTGGAGATGTAGACAAAGGATAACTCAACATGTGTGAATGAAAAAAATCTATTTTGTGTAATATATTACTTTTAAACAGTATGTGTCACAGTGATTTTAGATAATTGAACAAATATCAATTTTGTTAAAAATCATTTACATCTTTCTCCCTAGTCCTAGCAGTAGAGAGTATGAGATCCGGACCACAGACATCATCGGCAGTGACTGTGAGAGCTCAAGCCCCCAGGACGAAGCTCACGACAGGGACAGCACTTCAGCAGAGCCTCCTCTTAACCAAGGAAACAGCACAGAACCTTCACACAGCCAAGAGAACGGGACAAGCCCCTCTTCTACAGACCAAACCAAAGACTGCACTGCACCAGCTGTATCCACACAAACAGAAAAGCATATTTCAGAATCAAACCCACCAAACAGCCCACCCTCTCCAGTCCACGCCTCCCCTGCCCCAGATATAACCCCCTCCCCACCAACAGAAGCCGCTGTGCAAACTCAAAGCCAAAATCATACAAGAATCGTGAATGGAGTGAACGGCTCTTCTCCAACTCCACATTCCCAAAAACCCACTACTCCAAATTCTCCGATATCTAACCATTCTAATAGTATGGAAGGCTCCCCTATTTCCGAAAGCCCTGTCCCTGGATTTGCCACTTTAGGTCGAAAACTCATGCTCTCCGACCCCCACCACCACCCAAACCACGGGCCCCCACCCCATCACCATCATCCTGGTACTTTAGATAGAAGACCTTACTACCCCAACCACGGTCAACAGCAGTACCACTCCAACTACTCCACCATCTCCATACCCCTGCCCCACCCTCAGCCTCCTCTGCCCGAGAAGAGGCACACTCCAGCCCAGACCAGCCCCCTGAGCGATGGAGGAGTGGGAGGAGGGCCCAGACAGTCAGTAGGAAGCCAGCACCATGTGACTTTTTCGCCAACTGTAGGGGAAATAGCACCACCCGCAGGACAAAATGAAGGATCTACAGAGATGGAGAACAGCACCAGGGTCAGTGTGAAGTTTGTGCAGGACAGTTCGCGGTTCTGGTACAAGCCGGGGATCTCCAGAGAACAAGGTATGATACAACAAGAACTCGTTTTAGAAGCTGACAAATATTATCTGTAAAAATTAAAGGAGACATATTATGCAAAATCTGCTTTAATGGGCTTTTAACCTTATTCTGTCAGGGTTCCCTTATCTTTATCTTACTCAGATTTGTATTTTGCTTAATTCATGGATGTTTGAGTAAACCTGTATTGTCCTCAACAGTTCAGGAAATCCCATTTTTCACTTATCACCTATTCCCTCACATATTCCTGTGCTTACCTTCTATTTTTTAATGACCACTGAATGATACTTGTAGGTCTCTAAAATGTTTGGTGACCACTTTTCAAAACTAAAGAAACATAAATGAAAACTTGTTACTACAATGAAACTACTATGAAGAGACGGGGCCCTAGAAGTGTTATTATGTTGTTTAAGATCAATGTTGCATTTTACAATGAACCAAACATTAAAAAAAAAAAAAAAATCATCTATTATGTTATAGTTCAGTATCAAGTACCAGGAAAAAAGCATAATATGGAAATAGAGGAAATAGAAACATTTGAGACTAGGCCTTTAAACAGTGACTTTTGACTCTTGCAGCAATCGCAGCTCTGAAGGAGAAGGAGCCTGGGACCTTCCTGATCCGGGACAGTAACAGTTTCCAGGGCGCATACGGACTGGCCCTGAAGGTGGCCACACCCCCAGCCAACATCAACAACCACAGCAGCAAAGGTGCACACACTGTCACGTCCAGTCATTTTATTTTTATAGCGTAAAACAACCAAAACGAGTTGTACCAGAGTGATTTACAATTGGAAACACAACATATTAAAACTATAAAACAAAAGATGCACTATGTAACTTTTTGGTTGGGGGTTCATCACCTATTTGTTTTTATAGATATGTCATTGCTCTGCCTGGAATGTTCCACAGTATGACATTAAACAGCTCTCCCTTACATGTATTCAGTTACAGGAGGTATACAGCTCAAAAATACCTAAAATAAAAGGCATTCTGACTGTGAGCTGGGTTGCCTCTCCACAGATCTGACCTGTAACTTGGTGTGGTTTGGTCTCCATGAAGATAGAGAGGTTTAATGCCATGCTGTGAAACATTCCAGTCAAAGTAATAACATCATCATGGAGTTACACAATGCACCTTTGAAAATTTATCTCACTCACATTGTTTTCATGACAGGCCTACTCACTTGCGTAGTAAAGTTATGGATGGTATGTTCTATTCTATATCTTTGATGATTTCTGAATACGTTTTTAAACCTTGAATGTGTGCAGTGGGTGACCCTCTGGAGCAGCTGGTCAGACACTTTCTCATAGAGACCGGGCCACGGGGAGTCAAGATTAAAGGCTGCCAGAATGAACCATATTTTGGTAAGCTGCATATTTTGGTAACATTTTTGGGACTGTGGGGACATCTGGTGGTGCATGTGGTAATTGTAATTCTAGAGCGTTAACGTTTATATTAAATCATGTGGAATAAACCGATAAACAGGGTGACCTATGTAATGTGATATTTGTTTGTTTGTTTTTCCTTTTTTTTTTTTTAGTACTTTTTTAACCTCTCATTGTTTGTGCATGTTTCAGGGAGTCTTTCTGCGTTGGTGTATCAGCACGTCATCACTCCCATCTCTCTGCCCTGCGCTCTCAAGATCCCAGAGAAAGGTCTGTACATCGCGTTATACTTGTAAAATTTAAAAAACACCAACAAATAGAGATTCTGAAAGGCACTGTTCTGCTATTACAGTATGACTAATGATAGCTACTAACTTGTTTTGGGTCATTTATGTTATTTCATCATATTTATATTGTTTTATATTACATTTAATCCTTAAATTTAAACCCTTTTACCCTGTGTTTTCAGAACTCACTGGAGACATACAGGAAGCGCCCCCAGTGGCTAATATCAGCACTGCAGCCGACCTGCTCAAACAAGGAGCTGGTAAATTAAAGAAGTCATCAGTTAATCAGAACTTGCATACACCTAAATATATTTAGCTAATGAGACTTAGAGATAGTATGACCTATGTAAAAAAAAAAAAAGCACTTTTAACTCAAGTTGATTTTCTTAACATCTTTTGTCATATTTAATTTTTATCTATATTGTCTTGGACTTTTTAAAATGTGCTGTATAAATAAACCTTGATCTTGAAAACACATTACAATATGCTAATTTTAACTGATGTATGTCTCTCCTCAGCCTGTAACGTGCTATACCTGAACTCCGTGGAGACTGAATCTCTGACCGGTCCCCAGGCCATCGCCAAGGCAACTGAATCCACCCTGAGCCGAGCACCCCGCCCCCCCGCCACTGTGGTCCAGTTCAAAGTGACGTCCCAGGGCATCACTCTCACCGACAGCCAGAGACGGTAGGAGACAAAATCTAAAACTACACTATTACGAAACAGCCCTGTCTCAAAGCTCATCTCTATGCATCAGCTAGTACAAATCTACTGTCCAATCAATAACAAACTCCAGGATTAGTCATAACTTATTCTGCTTTTATTGTTTCTGTTGTAGGGTATTTTTCCGGAGACATTACCCAGTCAACAGTGTGACGTTCAGCAGTCTGGACCCCAAAGACAGACGGTATGTGGGTACAAAAGAGACAGGTCCTTGACTAACCCCAGCCCAGAGAATGTGTGTGCACCCATAGTGCTCAGCTGCTGTCAGCATGTCTAAATGCTGTGAATATTTGATTTGATTGTTTATTTTGAGTGAGTTCTGTATGAAGCATGTTGGCTGCTGCTGCTGCTGCTGCACGTGTCTGAGCCTGTCTGTTTTCTCTCTGGCTGTAGGTGGACTAACTCCGACAGCTCCTCCGTTAAGTAAGTGCTCCCAGTTTAGTGACTTCATCTGACCAACTGACATATAAACTATAGAAGAGTATGAGTCTGTGCATGGCTTTGGACAAATAGAAGCTAAATAAGGTCTATATTCTCCTGAGACATGGAATAATATCTATTTGTTTATGCATTTTTCGTCACACAACTAAAGGTTTCAAAAACAGGGACATCACACTTTCAGAGTACTTCAGTGTAGAGTGTTGGTTTCTTTTTTAGGACCAGACAGTGCAGTGTTAAATGTGGACAAGAGGTTTCAGTCAAACCTCTTGGCCAAAGTTCAGGACAAACCACTGTATCAATTTAAAAAATATGTTTAATGGATTGTTGCAGTTTGCAACTCAAGAGAAGAATCTATGCAAGCTAAGCACCATGTGATAATTGAAGTCTGATCTTTGTAACTAAATATAAATTAATGACTCAGTGGATTTTTATAGCAACTTTCAAGACACCCAAAGCGCTTAATTTACAGTGCATTATTCTATCACTATTACTATTGTAGCCACATATGCCCTAGGTTAGACTGACGGAAGCAGCTGTCAATCTGCACTTTCGGCCCCTCTCACCTCCGCCAAGCTTGGCTTTTGAGATCTCATGAGCTCAGGCTTTGACAAGCCCGTATGGCCACATGTAGGAGTAGTATTTGTTGGAGTAATTGCAGTGTGTCTCTCAGAATGTGTATACATAGATTAAATGTGACGGATGTTCATATTTTAGTAAGAGTTAATGAGTTGGATAATGGAGATTAAGATAGACCAGATGTGTAGCCTCTCAATTAGACATATAAGCACAGTACAAAATGTTCACTATAGAGGACAGAAGTTCACTTCTGTGTCTCTAAGAGGATATTAAACTTATTACATAACTCCTCTGCTGCTATTTTTATCCCCAAACAGTCAGATACAGACAGTGGACTAAATGTATACTTTTGTTATCTCCACTTCCTCTCCAGAGTTTTTGGGTTTGTCGCTCGTAAGCCGGGCAGCCAAGGGGAAAACGTGTGCCACCTGTTTGCGGAGCTGGACCCGGAGCAGCCCGCCACCGCCATCGTCAACTTCATCAACAAAGTCATGCTCGCTCAGAGGAGATAGACTCAAATAGACAGAGATATGCAGCATCATGTCTCAGTAAAATGTGTCGTATAGAAAAGCACAATCAGAAGGTTAAATGTCATGTGTAATGACTACAGTGCGTTCTGTAATATTTAAACACACGTCAGTTTTTTGTTAGCATTTCCTAGTTTGGAGAAGCAGATGCGAGCAACGATACAGGATGTGAATGGTTTACCAATATAGCCACAGTTATGCTTTGCAATCCCAAGTTTTAATTTGTGATTATACTGCTACTTTTTCTGTTATGTTTTCTTTTCACATAAAATACTAAAAACATATGATAGGCTTTTATAATCAGATATCATAATTGTCAAAGGTGTATAATAGTGTCACGCTACTAAAATTTCAAACTCAATTTCATTATTAAAGAATAGACTATACTGATTACAATCATTTTAAAAGCACTTTTTAAAATATCAATACTTGTGTAAATGAGTATCTAGTTTCAATACCAGTTAATACCAATACTAGTATTAGTATTAGTATCTGATATTAGTTACTTCTGACAACCCTAGTGTACAGTATCAACTCAACTTATAATTATATCACCCTAATAGAAGAAAAAGTACCTCAAAAATACATACCATACCATAGTTACCCAGAGTAAAAAAATAAAATGATGTTTTGGCCAATGTGAAATTTGCGTTTTGACTTACTGTATTGATTTGCAGTATTATTTGTTCACTTAGTATCCATGTGACTGTCTGCTTCTCTAAACACAGGCTGTACTCTGTTTTCACTATTCACAATTCACTGTGAACCATAACCATAGTTACTGTAAAAGATAAAGTTTCTTCCGGTTTACTTTCTCAAGCCAAGGAAGCTTTTATGATGTTGTTTCAATGCACTGTTTAAAGACAAGTCTCAAAAACACAAAGATTCTGACAGCACCAAACACATGTGAGAAATCCTAGTTTGTTGGAGCTATAATGTAAATTCTATATTCTCTCTTTATATATATTGGACATATGTACAGCTTTACATACAGTGCCTTCATAACACTGCCAAACAGAAAAGACAATCCTCTTTATATCCACAATACAGAGGCAAAAGTATCAGTGTAAAGTTAACAAAAAGGGGTACCTTGAAGCACAATGTATCTAATAACCAGACTTAGTTAAAACGACTATCACCAAAGGTTTAACAAATTTGTTAAGAATTGTTCAAGGACTATGAGTAAAGACCAGTTTTATCTGACCATATGTTACTGTTATGGAGGAAATTCATGTACAGATGAAATAAAGCTGTGTTACATCCAGCAGGATATAAACGAGAGATTTGAATAAAAGGTAAGCGTATGAGGATGGACATACATGCTTTACTATACCAGAAACTGAAGGCTGAACAGAAACTTGTGTACTTACCAAAGACAAAGCACTATTGTACTATTAATAAGCTTATATTCAGCTATATTTTTGTACTTATGCTTATATGTTTCTATGCATTTATGTAGTGGATGAGCCCTAGACAGACTAGTATCACAGCCATAATATATTAAGTTGTATCCGCGCCATTATAATGTAACGTTAGTAATATATTTTCACATGCAGCTATAGAAGTCTATATGTTGAGTCATAAAGGAAGTATTGGAAGAATATGATATTTTGTATGCAACAATGAAGACATGTATTAAATTGAAAAAATATGGTACCACAAGTTTTAAGAGTGTCATTACAAATACAAATACACATACACTGTTGGTTCTAGTTTTATTGTCAGTAATTTTATGAAAACAAAATAACAATACAACAAAAACGCATTAAAATTCACAAGCTAAAGAACTATTCCTAATAAAAGCAATTAAGGTCATTCCCTGAAAACAGAATTAGCTGTAAATCCAAATTGAATTATATTCTCTAAAAACACTCAAACACATACTTAGCATTTAGCTTGGTTAGCATGTAGTTGTAAACGATTCCTGTATTTAATATTTCTCAAAAGTTCATTGTTTTGAATGAAATCCTAGGAACTTGGATGCAGTGACAGGATTCTTCGTTAATTTATTCTCTCCTTTTGAGTAATCTACGGCCCAATAGACTTTGTGCACAAATAGCACCCAGCAACCTCACTGTTAGCATCACTAATTCCTATCCAATGATATTTCTATGAGGCTTTTATAAATATTTAAAGATAAGGCAGTGAACGTCAGGCTGAGGGAGGATGTGACGGTTAAAAGTACACAAATAAAACAAATACTTAAGCAGAGGATACTTCTGTGTTTAGAAAGAGAGATGTTTGTCTCAATGCTAATGATAATTTTGAGGCATAAAACATATTACAACAACGATACAAAGTGAAGTATTCTACCTATAAATATAATTGGGTAGTGTTTATTATATATTTTAATACGTTTTGTTGAGCTAGCTAGTGTGCTACTGTGCACAGAGCCTATTATACCAAATAATTCACTGATGCATTCTCAGCATTAGGCCAATATCCTGTGGTCATATGACAGCAGGAAAACGTAAACCTAAGCAGACAAGCAGTTGACTGGTTCATTATTAGCTGAATGTGACCTATTCTCCTTAAAGAAAAGAGCATTGTCTCCTCCAGTGCTGCTGTGTCTAACCAGGAGGAAGCCAAAGATCACAGAGATAAACACAGACAGCGATTTGGCTAATCTCAGCAGATCTTCACCAAAATTCTTTTAAAGGGTGCACTGTGCAACTTTTCTGGTCTTTTCTGTACCCTACCTACTTGAGATGTTATTGCTTTGCCTGGAATGTTCATTTATTCATTAAGAGTGTTTCTATTGTGTGTAAAACCCCTCAGTGGTGCAAGCAGAATCCATGGCAAAAGGAGAAATTTAATTCTGTAACTGGATAAAAGTTTATTTTGGTTGAATACGTTTCACGGCTCATCCAAGCTGCTTCTTCAGTTCTGGTCAAAATGCTGGCTGACACTGCTTATATCTGCCTGTAGGGAGGAGCTAACTACAATGAAACTACTCTGAAACTAACACATCTATTCATTTACAATTTCTATTAGTTAGCTAGGCTTATTGAACGTGCACTGATTGATTGATTATACTGATATGACCCCTAATATGACCCCTGCAAGTACAGTAAGCTTAGCTAACTAACAGAAACTGTAAACAAGTAGATGTGTTAGTTTCATTGTGGTTAGCACCTTCGTTCAGTCAGACATAAGGAAGTGTCCACCAGCGTCTGACGAAATGTATTTAACCAAATTAAACTTTTGTCCAGTTGACAAATTAAACTTCTCCTTTTTCCATGGTGTTTTTATTGCTCAAAACTACAACAATTCCTTCTGTGAATAGGAGTGACTCTCCAAAGATCTGAATTGTAATGTAGCACAGTGCTGTAACCTGCTTGTCTAGACAAAGCAATAATATTTCCATGAAGACAAGCAGGCAGCAGCAGCAGACCCTCCACTCGAAATGTTACGCAGTGCAGCTTTGACATTTGTGTAAACATGATAACGCCGGTCAATAGCATCTAACAGAAACCTCCCCAAACTATGCTGCCAAACACAACAACATGTGTATTCAAACTGCAAGTAAACTCCACATAAGCAACCACATCTTTAGTAACCAGGCCTGTTTTGGGAGGTAAAACAGGCCTGGTTACCCCCTCGCCCCTAATATTAATTAATAGTCAGAGGTTTCAATTCTGGGCCCCTAAGACCTTTGTCCCCCTCATGTCGACTACCCTCTTAGTAACACTTGCTTTTTAGGGTTTAGGAGGGGTCCCAGCGCTCCCTGCTCCTGTGGGGGAATGTGCTATTGGCTCCACAGTCTATGTACGGGTAAGACTCCAGGTTGTTCTGAGAAGTCCTCACCATATACGAGGTTTTCACTGACGTCCTGAAGATACAGCACAGGAAAACGATTTGGATCAGTCATTCATAACATTGTGGGTTGTTTTTTTTATTATACACAAAGAAAACAAAAACAGTTAAAAATACAAATGGATATTGAAACTAATGTCAAAAGTAGATACTTACTTGAGGATATATTAATTCAAAAACAAAAAAACACATAAATAGGGTAAAGTTGGACCTGTCCTGTATAGTTTCTTAAAGTAAAGGTCTTAATTATCATAAAATTCTAAATTTAAAAATCTGCCATAGTAACACAGGGAGGACAAACACAGTCCATTATGTTTAAAATTTTACAAAAAATGTCCACACTCGCCACACACAAAACTACACAAAAACATTGGGCAAACAAACATTAACTGTCAATCAAGTCCAGCCCAGTGATATACAGTACTATAGGCATATGAATGAGTCTTGCAGTAAATATGATAAAAGTATACACCAGGTTACACCAGCTACTGAAAAATGCATGTAATAAAACCACAAACCAGAATACAGAGTACTTCAGTTTAAAATACTGTATATTTAAAAAAAATAAGTTGTAGCAGTAGTAGTAGCAACAGTAGTGGTAAAAGAAAAGATACTTACTGCATGAATATAACGATGTTATGGACCTTGATACTGGGCATGGTACAGAATGTACTAAAACAAACAAAAAATAACACTAATGTAACTTATATTTAAGAATACTGAATAATAAAAATGTACTTTATGACTTACTACACATACGGGGTCCGTATCTCCACATTAACTGTGTAGTTCACCTGAGCACAGTAAACTGTAAGAAAATGTTTGACCATTTTAGATAGTAAAAAACATTACTTCCTGTACCTGAGATTGGCTGAGGGGCTGGATGGTGGTCACATTGTCCATCTGACTAAAGCCCACCACAGTCTTCATGTACAGGACCTGACAGCTGAGGCTCTGCACCAGCACAGAGAAGAAGTTTGGGTTGCTGAAGTTCAGAGTGCTCTGTGGAGAAGACACAGTCACCATGAACTGAATTATACTATAGAGCTCTGTAAATATTAGGTAACTGGAATATGGAGCTCAACAGTGACCGCCTGCTCCGGTTCTAAAAGTAGATTTTTCCCATAGACAGTTTGACTTCAAAGACATTGTGGAGGCTAACCAGCTACATGGTGATTACTGTCCATAATGGTGTTGTTTTAAGTTCTAAAAAGCACATTTAAAATGCAAATGCTTTAAACTTCATATTTTATAAAGTTTCAGAAGTACATTTTAAATAAAATTATAGGTCTTGTGCTCATAGCTGATTAGCCCTGAGCAAGCTTTCAAACCTTTAATATAATTTTTTTTAGAAAGTCTATGGGAACAATTCATGAGAACTTAAGTTCCAGAAACAAGGGGTCGGGGGTCACTGTCAGCTCATGGAAGTATAACAAAATCTTATTACAGATTCATGATTGAGCTGCGTTTACCTGCGTGATAAGGGTTGCACAAAATGATGCAATTTCACTACTGGCTAATGCAATTAATAATGCATGAGAATATATTGCGACAGCACAAAGTTCTCCATGTTCCTGTTTTTTGAAAAGTTCATTCTTCATGAAGTTCTATTTTAGCCTTATTTTGTCCCTGTTTAGTCTCCTTTATGTTTTTGTCTTATATTTCTTTATTAATTTATCCTAACTTATTGCTTCAAAACGTATTATAAAAATGCAAAAGATAATGATCACATATTATTTTTTCCTCATATCATGATTAAAATGGAACATAGAATAAAACAATTTATTATTTAATTGTATTCAATATTCAGATGGCAACTAAGCTAAATCAAAGGATACAGAAGAAAGCAGATCTAAATTAGAGCTAACCCTGTGTACCATCAGTATTTACCACAACTGGAAAGCCGCTGTTTGAATGAAAACCCTGTTTTTAACACAAATCATACTATGTTTTGAAGAGACTTAGATCGATAAAATAAACATGTAACACACACTGTAACGTAAGAGAAAATTCAGACTTCTAACTCACAGTCAGCTTCATCAGGACCATCTGGTTGTTGGGGTCAAAGTGGACGATCACAGAGTGCACCCCGTCAAACACGACAACAACAGGCCGAGGGAAGAGGAAGAACGCCACGAGAGCCGAGGCGAAGAGGCACAGCGCCGCAGACAGCACCACATACAGCTTACTGCATACAATTATTAGCAAATGCACATTTTATCAGCATCGATTAGTATTCTGTGTGAGCTAACTGAGCTATGTTTTTACTCACGTTCTTTGGGGGCGCAGCCGTTGGTCGCTGTATGGAATCAGAGCCACAAGTTCATTCACTTGTTCTGTGGAGAAAATGAAATAATACTTAGACATTTGGGATTTGCCCGATCTTCACAGAATAGCTGCAGTACAGTACAGTATCTAAATACACAGTGATTTCTTTTATGGGGTCCTCTTGTCACAATCAGCCACACAGAGGTCTAGTGTCATGCCCAGGGACACAGTGGTAGTGTGTGCTGGAGTGAGGTTTGAACTGCCAATCTTACAGTCAATGGGCAAAGCCTTTACCATTCCAACACTATTGTCCATAACAATATGTTAGTGTGAACTATAACAGAAAAGTAAATCTAGATCATATATTTTGTTGTTCATCTACAGTAACATAATATCAGTAGTATATTGATTTAGACCATATTGATTTATGAAGGTTATCTATGTGTCTGCATGTTTTAAGAGTATGTGTGCTGCAATGCTCTTCTGATAAAGGCCTTATTTTAACAGTTTAGTTTCAGGCTTGCATACAGTTTGTTTAGTTTTTTCATTGGTCACTGCCTGTTCTGAGCTGCAGTTTTCACGGAGCTGACCTGAGGGGATGCGGCCGGTGCCCTGGCAGGTGGGGCAGGTGATGCTGTCCCTCCCGGTGAACTCCACGTACGGGAACTGCGCTATGTCCTCCCTGCGGTCCATCCCGTCCAGAGAGTCGGTGTCGGGCAGCGGCTCTTCTCCCCGCCGCGTTTCGTGCTTCCTTCCCGGAAGAAGAGACTGGCGGCTGCCGCTGCGGGACATCCTGATCCCCATGAAGCCGGATCAACACGTCTGTGGGTGGTAAAGTTTGTGTTAGGATTAGAAACACAGAACGTTTCAAGGAAACAAACAGAAAAACGCAAACGCTCAAAACGAGCGGAGTTAAAATTGCCGACGTAGTGGATCCATAGACTGTAACAGTGTTTGAGGGTACACCATGTTACCTCAGAACACACGGTACTAACCGCAGAAACTTCATGGACTTAATCAGTGTTAATTAAACTGAGCTCTCTGTAGGATTTGTCCGCATTATTGAAAAGTATTTATGTCATAAATCTTACCTCAGACACGGGAGCTCCCATCATTGTCCCAACCCGCCTGTGCACGTGAACCATGACCTGTCCAGCACACATGAACACAACACGCTCTTCCTGTGCTGCTGCTGTCAGTGCGCCGCTGCCTTCAGGACACCTCGGACATTTGACTACTGTTGTGCTTCCAGTAGTGGCCACTTATTTTTACATCGCATTTGGCTGATAAGCAATCATAAACTTATATTGGAAAACACCTTCATGCCGAAGCTGTGTGCTACTACTGCAACATAAGACAGGCATTTTTCACTTATCTACTGGCACTGACCTAAAAGGTTGGCTACCCCCACCACAGTCATTGTGCCCCTGGGCAAGAAAATGTACTAATAAAATTAGTATTTCATAAATATTATGGAGTTATGGAGTGTATTTTTCAAAACAAAACAAAACAAAAAAATCTAAGAAATCAAACCCACCTTGCTCACACTTCACACTTCATAAAATTATTTGCTCAGAATCATTTAGCAGCTGGAAATCCCCTCATTAGTGGTTTGTGTTTAGTCTCACGTTTGTAACTGTGAGGTTGCTGTGGTGGTATTTTTATGGTGACTCATAAAAAAGATAATGGTAGTTCATCAAAGATAAGACATAGTCACCAATGGAAAATTGTAGAAAATGTGTTTATTTTATTTCATGTTTGATCAGAAATCAGGTAATTTATTTAGAAAGACAGGGAGGAGTCGGTTTGTCCTGACAGCTTCCTCTTCAGCTCACTGTTCTCTCTCTGCAGCATTTTATTCTGAAGGAAAAAGGAGAGTATTTTCAGTTTATTTTAAAGGTGCACCATGTAACTTTTCTGGTGGTGGGTCTGCAACTGTTGTCTCTGGATATTATTGCTTTCCCTGACATGCTCCACAATAGCGTTAAACTTTGCTATTTCTATGGGTAAAGTTATTTCTATAGATACAGCTATTTCTATGGATACAAGCAGGTGGCGCCATCAGGTCAAGTTTCAGCTCAGATTTGTGGAGAGGTGAGCCTGCGCACTGAATGCATGTTTGTTTTTTTTAGCAACACAAACTCCTGTATTTGAATCAATGCCAGATTAATTAGATAATGGCCACACTGTTCAACATTCTTTCTTTTAACTTTGGACTGAAAGTGTCTGCAATAAAGTTCATATAATTCCAGGCCAAGCAATAACAACTCTGTGGAGATAAGTAAGTGACAGTCTCCCTTTCCAAATCAATGATAAAACTGCACTCAAAATCAAGTTCTTTGCAAATTACTTTCCAAAAGCCTTTCTATTTTTAATCTGTAATAAAACATGGCTGCACAATCAAAGTTAAAAGTGAGTGTGCGCATGTACCTTGTGTCTGAGAGCCTCTACGATCAGGTCCCTCCCTCCCTGAACACTGCTCCCCTTGTGTGAGGCCCTGAACGCATCTCCGATCACAGACACCAACACATGAGACTGCAACATAAGATGAAAATTTGTTAAAGATCCCATATTACACTATTTTCTGATCTATGTTATAATGTTTAATCATCAAAAACAGACCTGGAGTTGTGTTTTGTCTGTCACACATGTTTAATACACAATCTCTGCATATTTAGGCTGAGTTCTTCTCTCAAACTGAAAACACTCTGTTCCACTTGATGATGTCATGTGTTAATACAGGAAGTTCTCCAGTGTGTTTTTAGACTCCATACACATTCACTAGAATAATTTGAAAAATCTCAGCCCTGGAATTGCCAATCTCTACTGAACTACAGGTAAAAGGTAGCCAGGCTGGTGCCACCTAGTGCCTCCACTCAATTTCATTTCTCTCCAGCAACAAGGTCACAAATCAGAATTCACTAGACGGTTTGCAAGAACCAAAGAAGTGTGAGTACGGGCACCAGCCAATCAGAGAAGAGCCAGACATTCTGAGTTGGTAACTATTCCGACAGACAGTTTCTGTGAAGTGAAACCGGTTGATGAATCAGGCTAGGTAAAAGGAGCCATTAACTTGAAAATTACCGCTTCATGAAATCACAGGGTGGAACAGAGCATCAATAAAGAGTTACTCAAACATGTGTGAATGATACAAAATACAACTCCGGGTATGTTTCTGATAAGGTAACACCATTCTAACATGGCTTAAAGCTCATAATTTGAGTAATATAGGACCTTTTAAAACAGTACAGTTAAAGCAGATTATAACATCAGGTTTAAACTATCATAAGAAATGCATAATAATAAAAATGCCTTATATTTATAAAACGCTTTTAAAGATACCCAGAACTTTTCCCACTTGATAAAATACCATTATAGGCGCAACAGCCCTGGGGACATATGTGGCTGCCAATCTGTGCCAAGGGCATCTGGCCAAGGGCACCACACCATAACTCACTCAGTCACACCACATTCACTTACGCAAGGTGAGTGAATTCTCTTGCTCAAGGACACATTAACTACATTCAATACAATTTTTATTTCAAACTCTCTTTCCAGGTTATACTAATTTTCCTATCCCAAGTCTGCTGAAATATCAGAGGTTTTATCTTTTGGTGCCGGTTACTTCTTTTAGCACCATTTGCCCTCTGGGGTTCTGAAGGCATCTCCCTTTTCTGTTAAGATGACTGTTAAAGGTGCGTTCATGGCTCCTTGACAGGTGAGGCAGTTTGTGTTTTAGTCACACAATATTTTGTTTGTTGTTTATCATGTAATTTTCAAACCGTTTTTTAATTATATTTATTATTATTGCCGTAAATCACTTTTATTATTATTTTATTATACAACATTTAATTGTATTTACAATTTCTAACTGTCACTAAATTTTTTAATGGTCCTACAACATGCAAACTTGACTTCTGTGAGCTTTAAGCCATGTCGTAAAACCGTTATCTCACCAAAAAACATACCTGGAGTTTACCTCAAAATGCTCTGATCCACCTTGTGATGTCATGAAGGTTACAAGTTAACAGCTATACCTTCTACTTATAGTTCAGAAGTGATTGGCAGTTCCAGGACTGAAATCACCCAAATTTAAAAACACAGTGGAGCACTTCCTGTAAGATGATGTTCCAAGACATCACAAGGTGGAACAGTATGTTTTCTGTTTGAGAGAAAAACTTTGTGTAAATGAATCAAAACACAACTCCAGGTATGTTTGTGATGAGGAAACGACACTGGGTCAATTAAAATGCTAGTACTCACAAACTTCTTGCTCTGGAAGAGATAGCAGTGGTGCGTGTCTACGGCCGGGTGCTTGGCCACAAACCCGAAGACTTTGGGTGACGATGGCAGGACAGCGCAGAAGGACACAGTGGGCAGAGGGCACGAATATAACAGGAACTACAAGAGGTAAACAGGGAGAGTTGTGAATCATGTGTGCTGTAATTATGTTTATAATGAATCGTTCATTATAATGGTTTGTGTCTGGGCCCCACCTTAGTTTTGTTTTCTAGGATATCAATTCCACTCCTAGACAAAAAAAGGTGAACTTTGCTGTTCTTCGCCGCTTTCTCTGAAGAAGTTGAATCAGCTGTCTGTATAGTAGAAAAACACTTTAAACTTTTGTAGTAGAGAGTCTGCCACCTGCTCACGTCCATGTAGATGTTATTGTTTTTATCTCCAGGGAGACAGCCAGGCCAAGTTACAGGTCAGCGTGCCAACTCACAGTGATAATCCATGTTTTGGCAGTAGTTTAGATTATATATTTTGCATGTAATTTAATAAATACAAAATATATTTGTTTATTGCCCTATCATGGAGAGAAACAGATGCTGAACCCTACCAGTAGAAAAGTTACACAGTTGCACCTTTAACTATTATAATAAAAAAATAAAATAAAATTCACAAACCTTTCACGCTATAATGTCCTGTTTTAAAAGGTCCACTGACTAAATTTTTAAACATCATCTGTTGCACGATACTGCCTATCACAAATAACAAGAGGGAATGTTTGAAGGATCAGTAACATACAGAACAGGAACAATCCACTTTTGTCGTTTTGCTAGTCATTTTCTTGTGTTGCATTTTGCATTTTTCATGGTGATGGAGAGTCAGTCAGTTGTTTTGCACATTAAAGGTGCACTGAGTAACTTTTCTGGTGCTTTGCTTTTGCTTTTTTTTTAATGTTTCACAGTATGGTGTTAAACTCGCTATCTTGCGTTTACTCAATTACAAGATGGATAGTTTTTATTGCTACATGCATTATTACTGTCTTCGCAGATCTGACCTGTAACTTGGCATTGTGGCATCGAGTGTAATGCCATACTATGGAACACTAAAAGCAACACAATATGTGCCTATTTTTGTGGGAACACCAACTGAATACAATGAGAGGGAGTATTGCTCAAGTAAACAGGAGCAAAGAATGACAAATTATCATCAGTAATTTGGTTATTTCCATTTTACCTTACCTTGAGACTCAGTGATGCCTCCTCCAGGATCTGTAGTCCTTCAGGTCGCAGCACCTCCACACGACCCAGGAACTATAAGAAATGTATGGACAATGCATAGGGAATGTATAGAGCCTATAGAGAATTCCGTAATGGAAGCAGCTGGAAAAAGTGAAGTGGAAAACAGGCCCATCAAAAAGATTTGGGGACCCAGGGCAAGAAGACACTCGTGGGCCCCCTCTAATATAAAGAGAGTCCAATTCTGGGCCCTTAAAAGCCTGGAGCTCATGCAAGAGGCCCCTTTATACTTCCCTGTCTTCTGCCCTGTGATTTCAATGGGGAAACCGGGATCAACCCACAGATCTATAAAAAAACTGGATATGGCATTCCCGCTGTGTCCTGGCTCGAGATCGATTAGTGGCCGCTCCATTGGTACTGCAGCTCTCGGGACTTTGGGCCCAGGAATTCTCCCATAGAAGCACAAAGAATTTTTTGGGAATACAAATTGCTGTGTTTAGCTGACAGGGCATTGACAACTTTCACAAAGGTTGGATTTTGTAGGGATTCTTTTTTATTTTCACAACATAAACGGCACCAATGAGCACAGGCCATTGAAAACAATACAGCGCCATTTTGGCTTCACCTTCCAGATTTTATTACAGTTCTATGGATTAACCTCAGAATATCACCAAATATGAAAAATCAAGTAAAATTTGTCAAACGGAAACCACTCAGATACATGTGAGTGATATCAAAGCCCAGTTTAAAACATTTACAATTGTGTTTTACATTTTTTGTATGTAACAAACAAGATTATGATAAACACTAACACATTTTTGACAAAGGAAAAATCACAAATCCTTACAGGAATATTGAGTCCACTACAAATTGTCACTTCATCTCCAGATATATTAATAATTTTATCATAAATTTACTTTATACTTTTTGTGAAGCTCAAACACAATTTTCCCCCATTTTAACAGAGCAGCAAATTAACTAATATTTGTACCTAGAAAATTCTAAATTGTTGTTTATTTTAGTTATAATGCATAAAACTTTCAGCATTCAGATCTGTTAATCTGTTAATCATTGAAAATATATTATGTCTGCTTCAATTTGCCTCCACTTACCTCCATTCTGTAATTTTGAATATTCTGATGATATACTAGGATTAGACACTAGAATTTTAAAGACAAATCTACTGTACTCCAGCATTTTTAGTCATGTAATATACTAGTAATTACCTTGACTCTAAAGGTGATCTCATTGTCATCGTCCGAAATGTCACTCATTTTCTAACTCAGACTTAACTCTTCAACTGAAAAAAATACACAGACTCAAAACAAAACAAAAAGCCTTAAAACAGTAGTAAAAAATAATCCTAAATGAATACAGTTTTACCTTAGTTGCAAACGCATGTGTTGTCTCCGAGCTGTAAAGTCCGTGTTCCTCTTGTAAAGGTTGTATTATAGTCAATCATTCACACAGCTGGTCTTCCTTATTGCTACTTATCAGATATTTCCGTTCTACCTATAACACATTTCAATAGCAAGAATGAACATGATACACAGTGATACATTGTTATTAGTGCTTTACTAACCCCTTAAATTTTATCAATCATTCACAGTTTTGAGTTCTGTGGTCTTTTGTTTTGTTTTACTGATTTTATTTATTTATTCATATGGGTCTATTTCTCTTACCTGTTTTTGCTCTATATTTGCTATTGTATTACATTGTTGATTTTTTTTTTCTCTATGTGCAGCAGTTTGGAAACAGTCTTTCTTTATGGTACAAATAAAATGGATTGGATTGGATTTTTACTCAATTATTCATATTTTTGGTTGCCAATATGTGCCTCTATACATTTTGGGTTTATTTTTCTATCTACATCAGTGGTTCCCAAAGTGTAGTCATATGAACTAAGGGGGGTCTTTAGATGTTTTTTAGGATATTGTTTATTATTACACTGCATTTAATCTTTAATACATTAATTAATACATGTTTTAGTGAAATTAGGTCAAATGACTACAGACAGAAACTAGCTATTTAACTGTAATCTGGTGTTTTTGTGAGCGTAATGAGTGTGTATACAGTATACATCAGTATCCTGCAGTATCCCGAATAATGATGAGAATGTTATGAGAAACTGGGATAGTGTAGCAGGCATATTCTGATAGTAACCGGGATACTGTGGCAGTGGCATGTATACAGGTATAAGAGTACCCCAGTTTCTCAGCGAGCATGTAGACAAGCATATCCCAAATACTTCCATAACCGGGATACTGATGTGCATGTAAACGCACTCATTGTCGCTGCACATTGTCCCTTCAAATAAAGATAAAACTAAATAAATCACACAAACTATTCAAATTAACAGTATTAACTTGTTAATTTGTTCATGTAAATTTGTACCAGCATCAGTTTTTCCATTTCAGTTCCACATTTCAGTCAGTTACATGTCGGTTTTCGGTGTTATTTTGGCCACACTTGATCTAAGTAACAGTTGGTTTGTGCAAAAATATCGAAAAATGAATACATCGTATCATTTAATGTGATGATACAGTATCGACATTGTGGGCTGCTGTATCGATACATATAGCCAAGAGTATTTTTTGGTATATTTTACGAAATTATTTTGTTACAATGCGGAAGGAAACTCTTTTATGCAACACATTTGACATTTTGACTGTTTTGATGATTAAAATGTGTGTTTCATATGAACTTTGCACAAGAAGTGGTTTAACAAAGAAAGACTTAAAATCAACAAAAAACAATGGCTGTGATACTAATTTATTTTACCGTATCAAATCGATTTGATATATATCATATCGAATCGAAAGTGCACTGTATCGACATATGTATCGTAACGGCAACTTCTTAACGATACCCAGTCCTACATTTGGTCATCTAAAACCTTTAAAATGAGCACAAAATACTGAATTTATTTTTAATTTGATTTAATATTTATATAGCCTGATCAATTTGATGTACTTCATGTGCATACAGACACTGTCATCGTCTTAATCCATAAACATATAGAGACACACAATTAATAAGTATATAAAGCCTTGAACAGACCGTTAAGACACTTCATGACCTGTCAATAAAAACTGATCTGAATAGTCCCATTACAAATAACTTGCTGTGACAACCCCAGAAGAGAAAAGCATGAAAGAATGCACCAAAACATCCAGAGTGAATAGTGAAAACTGACAGTGTATCATAATGACAAACTAGGTCAACTATAGCTTTTTGGGGGGCTCTGTTGTGAATTAACGGCAGGCAGTCAGATGAAAATAGTTCCCTTTGTAAGTGCATGTTGATTGTGGAGATGTACAGCTTCGCAGATGAACATATAGAGATGTCCGGTTCAGTCCTAGTGGATGCTTGTAGTTGGAGGCCCTGTTGTGTTCAGGTCTATGAGTCGTTGACAGACATGCTCTCCATAGCATTGGGCAGATCTCCTCCCTGCTGCTTCTTCTTCTTCTTGCCTCCTCCATCCTGCTGCTTCTTTGCCTTCTTGGTCATCTCTTGTTCGATAGGTGCAGGTTTGACAAACTTGATCATTTCAGTTAGACCTAAAAGGAGAATCAATATATTAACTTTTCTGGTGGAGGGTCTATCAAATGTTATTCTCAGTGAAGATGTTATTGCTTTGTCTGGAATGTTTCACAGTATGGTATAAAACCTTTCTATCTTCATGGAGACCAAACTAGGCAAAGTTGCAGGTCAAATAAATATAAGGTAAAGCTGTTTAATGTCATACCATGGAACATTCCAGGCAGAGCAATGACATCTCCATAGAAACAAGCAGGTGACAGACCCCCAGCCAAAAGGTTACGTAGTATAGCTTTAAAGTGGTAACCATCGTGTTTATATATTTTTGCCTTTACAAAATATTTAGTCACTCTTCCTGTAGTGAATCTTACCAGGAGGCATGAAGTCCCTGAGCTTCTCTGGAATAATAATTCCTTCATCAGTTTGATAGTTCTCCAGGATGGCACACATCACGCGGGTGGTGGCACACATGGTGGCATTCAACATGTGCACAAACTCAGTCTGGAAAAAAAAAAACATGAAAACACATCTTAAAATAATGAAGTTTTTTTTAAATATGAAACTTGAAAAAATTGGGGGAACAAAGTGATATCTGTATGTTTTTCCCTTTAGTTTGAGATTATGGTGGCACATGTTCTTAAATCTTACATATATGAAGTGCTATGTGTTTATAACAATATAATGTCAATGCCAATGTATCCTGCATGGTTGTTTTTAAGGTTAAAACTTTACTGTCCCCATAGGGAAAGTTGTCCTCTGCCATTGCCCCATCCTTCAATGCAGCTGGAGCAACCTGTCAGAAGTGGGTGCTCCTTCAATTAATGGAAGACTACAGCCACTAGCAAATTAAAATACTATCTTAGATTTATAGCTTTAGCTTCTCTAAACACAACAGTAGAGCATTATTCATTCACTCCCCACACTTCAGTAATGAAGTCTGTAATGTAAATCGTAATGATAAGCTAATGATGTATGGGGAACATTGTTTCCAGTCTGCTCTTGTACATGTCACACTCACCTTGTCCATCATCTTCTTGGTCTGTCCGTAGCGGATGCGAAGGCGCCGGGCCTGGTAATCTGTGCAGTTTGAACAGGACACCAACTCTCTGAAAGCTCCTGATCCAGGGAACCAGGCTTCAAGGTCCAACTTTTTACTGGCTGCATGGTTCAGAGCACCTGGGGAGGGAATTTTACATTTCATTTTAATAAAAGTTTTAAAGCAGGTTTTACCATTTATAGCACAAGATGAGAAAGTGCCTACCAGAGACAATGTTCACAATGCGGTAAGGAATTCCTAGAGACTGATAAAACTCTTCTGCTGTCCCGATCATCTCATCAAACATCTCCCAGGATTTACCGTCATGAGGAGAGGCATACACAAACTGCTCAATCTAAGAGACAGAGACATGGAGTTAGGATTTAAATATGCACAATCATTTAAAAGGTAAGACATGTAGAATTAGTAGTGCTGTTACCTCATCAAAAACATACATAGAATTGTGTTTTGAGTAAATTTTTACCTAGTCTGTCTAAAGTCTAAAATTAATTCCAGGGCTGAAATCATCCAAATGATTCTAGTCAAGGAATATGGAGTTTGTATTGGCACAAAATCACAAGGAGTGATTTCTCGTTGAGAGATGAACTCAGCCTAAATATGCAGGGTTTGTGTCTTAAACATGTGTGACTGAATCAAAACACAACTCCTGGTATGTTTTTGAAGCTGAAAGATCAGAAATTGTGCAATATAGGCCTCTTTCTGGATCATACCTTCTCAAACTGGTGCACCCTGAAGATCCCACGCGTGTCCCGGCCGTGAGAGCCCACCTCCTGTCGGAAGCAAGTGGAGAAGCCAGCAAAGCGGATGGGCAGGTCCTCAGGTTTGAGCCACTCCTCGCGGAGGAAGGCTGCAATTGGCTGCTCTGAGGTGGCGATCAGGTATTTCTCATCAATGGAGCTGTCATCTGAGCGCTCACTCCCCTTCCCAATTACCTGAGAGATAAAAATGGAAAATACAAAGAAAATGGATCCTGCTTGAGTATGTTTAATATAAAATTATACCAGTCTCGCTATTTTTGCTTATTTAGAATTAATTACCATTTATATTTTTTCTCTTTGTTATTATAATATATCGTGATGTGTGAGCTGCTGTGTCCAAATAATTTCCCTTGTGGATCAATAAAGTTTTCCAAATGTCTAAAATGAACTGCCTGCATTTCAGCTGAGGCCTACTGGGGGCAGTATAGGTTCAGACATGCGTTCCTCTTTCACTGTCAAATGAAAAGTAAAGCACATGTTTACCAAAGTCTATCATTCCCAAGAAAGAAGTATTTTATGTACTCTACCGTATAAAAGATTGCCCAACAACGAAGCTAACAAACATATCTTTGTTGGGTTTGTTGACACTTAATTTCATTAATACAACTTCACAGAGATCTATAAAGGAATGTGCTGATGTTTTGCAAGTCATTCAAGAACTATCACTCACAATTAGTTTGGTGAAACAGTGACTCCCTGCCAACATAAACTTATTTACACATATTTAACAAAGCTTCGATTGGAGGTTGACTGAAGGTGCGGCATGCAAATTTTCACGTTATAACATGAAACTGACTAATTCAAATGTTATCACTGTGCCTTATCTCTCCATAGAAAAAAGGTTTCAGTGTCTCCATCCAAAAAAAATGCACACTTTAAACTATAGCCATGTTATACCTCTTCAAAAACATAACTGGAGTTGTGTTTTGTTTCATTCATACATGTTTTAGTAACTTGCAGGATCACTCAAACAACTCCTGGTATGGTTTTGAGGAGGTATAACATGGCAATTTTGCATAATATAGGACCTTTGAAATAGAACTGGGCTAAATGGGTATTTACCTGCCAAATTATTAACTAGACTGTACAAGTGTGTAAAACATGTTTTAATTAGGTGTATCATATTCCTTTGACAGTGACTAACGTTGGAAATCAGGATGGTAATACTCAGCAGTGCCCTCATGTGCCAAGAAACAATTAAATTACTTCCACTGGCAATGTGATATCATTTAGTTTGTTGCACAATTTGTTTTATGTCTTAAATATGGAGTAATAGAGCCATAAGTGCCAGTTCCTTTTGTGTCTTCCAACAAAATCTGACCTTAAAACTAGAGCCCAACCGATATATCGGCTGGCCGATATTATCGGCCAATATGGGCACCTGGACACATATCGGCTATCGGCCGATATGCTTGCTGATATGTGCCGATATTTCACGTGGGCATGTTATACCTCGTTATAAAGCTTAGACTCTCTACATTATGTTCATTTAATCCAATTTACAGACAGATAAATGTCCTAATATGTGGCTCCGCATCAGTATTTATCTGTGGTGTAATTTGTCTGTGTCCGTACTGTCCCTGAACACACCACCAGAGTGACGTCACTTCACTCGCGTGTGTTTGTTTACACCCGCAGCCGTGCGCAACACTGAGATTATATTCTTTTTCGGACTATTGGTTTGAGTCTGGATTAAAAGGACATGTATTAGTGCAGATTTGTGATGTGAGGAGGAGCCTGTATGAGCGGTGAGTGTTGGAAATACATCGACTTTGAAGCTAGTTTAGGTTTTGTTAGCGGTTAGCTGCTGTAGCTCCCACACATAAACAGGCTGTTTTCTATTGGTCTATTGTAAAGTGACTACATTGGCCGTATATTTGTTACTGGACCTGCATTGATATGTAAATGAGCTGTGAATAGACGTGTGAATTATCCACATTTATGCATATAATTAACTACCGCGGTGCGCAGCATTTACGGCTAAAGGCTAATAGCGATAGTTTACTAGCTAGGAGTTATGGGTCGGTCGCGATCGAAGCGGCTCTTAGAGCGAACAACGGGAGCCTGCTTCTTATTGGGAGCTGTGTTTTCTCTTTTTCTCACTTTTTCTCTTCATGCGCATGTAGACCCGTAGTTTGACAGCAGCAGCGGCTGAAAACGAAACTTTCAGAAATCTGCGTGTGCATAGGATAAAAAAAAAAAGTACATATTTGGCTGCAGTTCAGCATAAAATGAATAAACCAGGACTAATCTTGGGCTCGAGTGCAGGAGAGAAATAGAAACCGAGTCCCGACAGTCCTGGTTCAGTTCTGGTTTAGTCCTGCTTGCAACAAAACAATCTCAAGAGTCGCTTGGGAGCCGAAAGAGCCAGCTGCTTTAGTGAGCCGAGCCAAAAGAGCCGGTTCTCCAAAAAAAAAACAAAAAAACTGGAATACCCATCACTAGTAGCTAGAATGTGATGCAAAAATGCCATTAGGCCAATCTACTGTATGTAAATATGATGTAAAGAGTCAAAATAACAATAAATGTTGCCTAAATAAACCCAATTTAGAATCCACTAGAGCCAAACCTAAGTTTTTTAATCAATTCATGATTTACAGTGAATTTTTACATCACTAAATATATCGGTGATTATATCGGCTATCGTCAGCGCCAACTCCCATTATATCGGTTTCATATCGGCCACAACAAAATCCATATCGGTCGGGCTCTACTTAAAACTACAAAGAAGCACCTCTTGTATTACCACATGACATCACAAGAGCTGTTTTCAGGGCAGTCAGAATGATGCCGGTGCCCGCACCATGAACCCATGATGCATCATCGACAGAGGGTGTGAATTTACCACCAAATAAAAACATGGCCATACGAAAATAGATGTCACAGGGAGGAAAATAACAATCATGAATTGCATCATCAACACCAGGGAGCATTTGTACTTGTACAAGTCATTATGTGCGCCAAGCTCTGCTACAACATTGATCTGCTGTGGAGAAGGCTGCAGTGATGCCCAATCCAAAGATGTAATCTTATGCGAACACGGATTCATGCAAGACAAACGGTACGTAATAGTTTTTGTAGACCTAAAACTTTTAATTTCATACGTGATGGTTTCAATTGCTCTTTGTTTGTTTATTTTACCTTGTGTGACCCGGATGAATGTGCTGATGTCTTCTGTGTCATCGCGCTTCACTTAGAAAAAACAACTTTTACTTGGTCCCTGTTGGGAACCAACTTTTTGGTTGCTGAACGCTCTGATTTCCAACACGTGAGTCGGTTCAAGATTAGGTGCGGGAACCAGCACCGGCATGGTTCTCTGTCGGCCTGAAAACGCCTAAGGTGGTACAGATTGTTTTCCATATAATAGAAAAAGTAAGTCAAAATATGTAGGATTTGTGTGTTAAAAACTAAAATTAAACAAAAACACAACTCTGGGTATGTTTGCGATGAGGAAACAACATTATAACACATCAGAACATGAGAGTATGGGCTCTTTCATGTTTTCATATCTCAGCTCAGCACAAGTAGGTAGGTACCTTGTAAAGCTCCTCATCGAACTGGCTGAGCTGGGCCACCTCCTGCATCACCTCCTTCCTCATGAAGAAAGGGGTGTACAGCATTGTGTAGTTCTTCTGATACAAGATCCTCAGGGCGTAGTTGATCAGTGCTTGCTCTAAGAATACCAATGGGCCCTGAACACAAACAAAATAATTCATTCAACAGTTGTCATTACACCTGCCAATTACTGATGATCTAAGAAGTTATGCCTTACTGTAAAGCAACAGCACAGCAAAAGAATGCAGGCCTGTTGGTGCTTGCACACATGGATCATGTGAACAGAAATTACCTTGAGGAAGTAGCCTCTGCTTCCAGCCACCACAGCTCCCTTCTCCCCTTCAAACCCGTCCACCATCACCACCAGGTCTACGTGGGAGTACTTCTTCTGGACAGTACAGTCACCCCATGTACGCTCCACCTTGTTGTCTTCATCCTGTGAGTTAAATCATCGTAGCTTTTAAAGGTTGTTTATTGTTTATTGTCGACCCATGTTATAATGTTGTTTTCTCATAAATACATATCTAGAGTTGTGTTTCATTTACACATGTTTAACATACAAACTCTGCATATGCTGAGTTCTTCTCTCAGATGAAAAACACTCCGTTTCACTTTTGGATGTGATAATACAGGAATTGCACCACTGTGTTTTTAAACTCAATATACAGTATCTTCACTAGAATTATTTGAATGATTTCAGATGTGGATTTGACCATCTCCGTTGAACTAAAGGTAAAAAGTAGCAGTTAATTTGAAAACTATGACATCACAAGGTGAAACAGAGCACTCTGAGCTTAAGAGATGTAGACAGACTAATAATGCAGCATAACTCAAACATGTGTGAATAAAACAATACTAAAAACTATAATACAACACTAGGATGGTTTTATAAGTTGCTTAACTGTTTTCAATTGAGAAAATGAATTTCAAAATTAATACTGGGCCATAGTTTTCATGCTACCACTTATTGCATTCTATTAATGCAGTGTACAAATATGTAACAAATGTACAATTTCATAAAATACTGTATGCGTTATAAGCAATGTTATAATGAACGTCATAACTAAATGAACTTGGGTATTTTATCAGTATTTTACAGTCACTGTTCCAACAACTAACATCTTTTCTTGTGTTTTAATTCATGCCACATTAAATAAACCCTTATCCTTATCATTGACCCCCACCTCATCGTTGCTGACTGGTACTGACGGATGCAGAAGATTCCCAATCTCCCTCAGGTACTCGAAGCGCTCTGCCTCTAATCGGATCCTTTCTTTGTCAGTTTTCTCTACAGCCTCATCCACCAGCACACGCACCTTCTTAATCTGAGTAACTGTCAGACCCTGTCATAAAAGAGAACACAGGAAACACATCATAAAAACTAAATTATTCAACTTGACAAACATCATTAGTGATACTTTTCAGCTGATGTCCTCAATATTCCCTGAGGGGGTGATTATAGCTGCAGGCTCTGCCCTGTCTCTTTCTGAGCCTTGTTTTTATTTGAACTTTTATTTTGTATTTTTTCTTGAGGTTTCAGATGGTGTGTGTGGTAGCAGGGGCCGATGGTGCAGACTGGCAGCCTATAGTAGCTCACCACCACCAAGTGTGTAGAGAATGAATAATGCACTGTAAAGTGCTTTGGGGCTTTAAAGGCGTTACACAAATCCAATGCTTAATTAATTAATTCTGAACATTCTGCCATACACATACATGCAGAACACCCCCAGTGTGATGTTACTGCAAAGTATCCATCTGAATTTGGAAAACTTCAAGCAGTAGAATAGTCATACCGATAAGACTTCAGCTGTGAGAGACTCCACGTTTTGAGCCTCATCAGGTAGAGAGTCGTCGTCTCCAACAGGCTCTTTTTTCTGTAGAGAACAAAGTGGAACGCTCAAACACTGTACTTAAAAGAAGTTTTATGTCTAGATATCTGGATATGTCAAACTCTTACCTTCATTTTCTCACCAATGCTCTTGCTGCATAGGTTCTTGGCTTTGTTGAGGTTGTCTGCAGTAAACCGACCTACAAATTAAATTGTACATTACAGTTAGGTTCCTAAATACATGGCTCATGTTGGGTTTGTTTTATTTATGTATGTATTTATTATATATTTATCTATATTTTGTTCATATTATGTATTACATTACATTACGTTTATATTCAGTCAAAGTTTTTTTGTTTTTTGTTTCGTTTTAGTATTATTAGTTAGACGGAGTGTGATTTTTCAGAGGGCAGGATGACAACAGCACCACTGCAGGGCGAGGTGCACTCGGCATGCTGGTTTGGCCAGGATTGCATCAGATTTCTCATCACAAACTTGCTGGCTAGGCTAACAGGCTAAACACAAACAGAATAGCATATCTGACAAACCACCAGGACCAAAAGGACACTTTTGTGGCCTGACCAGCTTATAGGCATGCTGCTGAGATTTAAAGACGAATCGGGAAATTGGGGTTAGTGGGTGTGGTGTTTTATGGTCAAAACTCTGTTTAATGGTGTAATATTAATACAACAACATCTGTCAATGACATATTTAGCTAAACAATTTGTATTGGGAAAACTTACACTGATTGACCACTGTCCCTGTTAAGATCAATAAATTAAAGTAAGGCGTAGCGAGTGAAGTTGAAAATCAAGCAGGTAAAACAATTGAAATATAATATCGCTGCCAGCTGTCAAAGGGTTCTTTTAAATGAACATCACCTAGTTTATACACTGTCATGATTATACCAAGAAATAATGTAGACTACAGCAACAAGTCAAACGCTGAGTGCTCTTTTTTTGTTGGGAAAATGATGCAGAAACATTGAATGATCACAGGCTGCACACAAGGCTAACACTAGCATCATTAGCTACTGCGTTAGCATTAGCTAGCTGGAAGAAACCGGCTAGTGTTAAAACCACTTACATTTCCTCCATTCTGTGTCTGCTGCCACCAGTTTATCCACCAGTGTGACATCTTTGAACCGTTTCCTCTGAGTTTCCCGAACGATTTCGGGATCGCCTCCTTTATCGGTCCTAAACAAGTCCAGATCGAGAACCATGTCTGCCGCTGCACGCTGCCACAGTCAGAGAGGCTGTCAGCTCACGCACACTGACGCACACTGACACACACCTACGTACACACGTAGCTCCACCACGCCGCTGTCCTTCACGCGCACACCTCACTGGTCAGGCAGGGGACCAGAGACCTATGCAGGGAACACGTCACTTCATTACTGCGGGGGACACGTTAGCACCAGTGTGTATGTGATGTGTATGTGTGTATGTATGTATATGTGTATGTATGTATATGTATATGTGTATGTATGTATATGTATATGTGTATGTATGTATAATGTATATATGTATGTATATATATATATATATATATATATATATATATATATATATATATATATATATATATATATATATATATATATATATATATATATATATTATATATATATAGTAATGCGTTGATTTTTGCTGTAACGCAGTAATGTAAGGCATTACAGGGGGAAAAATTGTAATATTTTACTCGGTACAAATGTGAGTAACGCGCGTTACAATGCTTTTTTAACCTGGATTGAAGTGGTGGGTTTTTCTTCATAGAAATTCGCTAAAATCACCGTGAAATCAGCAGCGGTGAGACGCCGGAGACGCGGCCGGATAGACCTTCAGTTAACCGCAGGCGAAAGGACCGACCCAGAACTCTACGCTGTTTAGACCTGGTTTAGACCTGGGTCACTTCTGGTTTAGACCTGGTTTAGACCTGGGTCACTTCTGGTTTAGACCTGGGTCACTTCTGGTTTAGACCTGGTTTACAGTCGTCCCTCGCTCTAACGCGATTCACTTTTCGCGGTCTCGCTGTTTCGCTGATTTTTAGAATTTTTTTTTTTTGTGCAATTTTGCATGCCTTTTGTTTTTAGTGTATGAACACGTATTGCGTTCCTCCCGCTGTGTCCTAATCGGCTAAGGGACTCCTGTCTCCTGAACAGTACAGTACAGAATATGTTCAGCTGCCAAATTTAAATAAATGTTCAATCTGTATCAGTGTGCTTCTGAAGTGCTGTATGTCTGCAAGTTTTCTCTCCGACAAAATCCACAACGTCGACGAAACGTTCTGCACCGACACAGTCTGCGCTCACACCCAAAAGACAGAGGACGATGCAAACCACATAAAGTTGGACTTCTGGACACGTTGAAGGAAGGTAGAAGTTACGCGCTGTAGCAGAGTTTTGCACCGGGTCTTGTACCCGCAAATAGTTGCTGAAATCAGGACCGTGAGCCCGCGTCCATAAAGCGCGATCGGGCGACAGCCGCTCTTACCTCCATGAGGTGCAGAGCAAAGCCGATCCTTTCTCCTGCGGTCTGCTTCGAGCCTGTCCTGACAGTGAGTCCTGTTTTAGTCCTAGTTCAGTTCTGGTTTAGTCCTCCTCTTCAGTCCTAGAATCAGTCTGAGGTTAGTCCTGTTATAGTCCTGGTTTAGTCCTGGTTCAGCTCTGGTTTAGTTCTGGTTTAGACGTTGTTTAGTCCTGGTTCAGTCCATATACGGCTCAAAAGTTCAGCTTTTTCGCAGTTATTTTGGTGAGAGTAACTTAAAGTAATGCAATAGTAATGTAATGCCTTACATTTTAAATGCAGTAATATTGTAATGTAACGAATTACTTTGAAATGACAGTAATAAGTAATAAATAACGCATTACAGTTTTAAAGTAACTTGCCCAACAGTGTATATACATATATACACACACACATATATACAGTCTATGGTTAGCACACACAGGCCATGTCAAGACCTTGTATGTACAGTATATATGACAATCAGACTTGGCCTATTAATATTAACACAATATTTTATCTGAGCATTCGTTTGACCAAACGACAAATGCCAAGTCCATTTCATGATACAACTTTCAAATGTAGACATTTAGATATTTATTTTTCAATTTAATTAAACAGTGCATATGAACAAACACAATGTGAACAAAAACAAAGGCATGTAATATTACACTCAGATTCGATAGAAGTACAAAATGCAATACACAAAACAATATTATACATGATCCAATAGACTGTCATCTAATGCTTTACTATTTTTTATTAGAAATATGTTTTTTGTTTGTTTGTTCCACTAGGACTGTTTCTAATATAAATAACCGAGAAGGTAATACAACTAATTTAGTCCATTCCTGTTTAATAATACAACTAATGATATTTGTTCTTCCAAACCTCATTTGCAAGATACCAACACATGCAGTAATAGGCTAGATCAATATATAGTATCTAGATGCATTCTTAAACTTTAAGGGTAATACTTCAAGGTACTTTATTAACTTTTATTCACATGACTTACATAATTTAACATAACATTTAACATAACTGACATGCAAATGATAAATACTTACTACATTCACTGTGTTTTTATATATAATCCTTCCTGTGAACCAGAGTGAGTGAGTATACTTCAAAGTGTAGTTGTCAGGGTATCTAGTCTGTACAAAAGTGTACAAAAGTTATATTTCTTTCACTTTATTGCAGGTATACATTCATGCACCCTAAAAGCACTGTGCCCTGGCAACTACCGAAAAAAGCTTAGAAATGGAAACATTTACTGTTGCACCATTCTTCTTGCCTTCATTACCTCTGCAGCCTCACAGATGGCGCTTTGTAAAGCTACCCCAGCAGGCAGTTTGGTGAAACCTTCCTCTGAAATGTGGCTGATCTTCAGGTAGCCCCCAGGCCGGTGCAGAGGCACTCCGTGCAGGTGAGAGAAGAGCAAAGGTAAGTCAGTGGTCAGAATGTAGTGAGACACAAGGCTCAGCTCTGTGGGAATGTCTGTCTCTTCTGAGTACTCAAAAATGGCAGCCATGTATTTGGACAGATCCTGTCCCCTAGCTTTAGCTCGGCCCACTTCAGCTCCGATCAGACCGATGGCTGCCTCTGCACAGGAGTTAGCAGTCTCCCAGCTGGACTCCTCCTCCTCCTCTGGGTTTTCTTTGAACTCTGAAGTCCCCAGTCTATGGCTCAGTCCAGGAGAACACACAACCAACACAAAGTCACAGTCCTGAATGTGACGGCTGTGCCAGGCCAAACTGCCCTCCTGTGCTACACTCAGGGAGTCCCACAGGTCCAGACAAACCTGCCAACAAATGCACTTTACTACAGTGAACCGGAATGAGCCCAGCATGAGGCGTGACTCCATACCTGTGTGGCCATGTGCTGTTGAATGAAGGAGCCTAACTTCATGACCGCCTTGATGTGAGCAGGTCCTTCAGAACTGCTGTAGCAGATGAGCAGCTTGGGAGCAGACGTTCTGGTCTTGGGCCATGATATCACTTCTTCTTGACTTTTACTCTCTTGATGCTCCTTCATGTCAAAATCTGGAAAAACAAACATGGAGTCATTTGGCTGTTCATTGCCTTAAAATAACATAAGATAAAAATTATGATGATTTTTTGCACCTGGTACAATGGGCAGTTTCAACAATTTCATCTTGGCTTTTGTCAAACTAAAAGCTGCCACTATGACTATGATTATAGCAGCAAGAGCCAGAGCCAATGGGAGGAGCAGAGCCACAGGGGAGGTGGAAAGTGCAGAGTCTGGTTCTATGAAGAAGAATATATCTGAGTCAGTCAAATGTAGCTGGACTCCAGTGCATAAAAAGACCTTCAAGTACCTTTAACTTGGATAGTAAATGTTTTCCTCACAGCGTCAATCTCGTCTGCTGCAATCTGCAGTACAAAACATGTCAAATAATGCTAATAATAATGCTAATAACAATAATAATGTGTTATACCTCACAAGTGTAGTTGGTTCCCTCTTGAAGGTCTTGGAGCTTGAATGTGTGGTGAGTTTTGTTGGTGCTCAGATTCTGTTTGTGACATTAGTGAGACATTTTAAATATGTTAGTCATCACAGTTGAAACATGCATGATAAAAGGCTCACCGGTGTGATATCCACTTTGTTTGCCTGTTTTTTTATTCCGTTTATATAACAAATGGAGAAGTAGGTCCTAATGTCCAGGCTCTCTGGGGCCAGGTTAAAGGTAACTGCAGCAGTCGTCCCATTCTGTTCAATGCTGATATGCTGAGGATACCAATCTACAATCGCAAAAATAATGTTAATAAAAATATCCACACATAATTTCATAAGTTTGCATAAAAGGGCATATGCCTGACAGGAGACAAAATTCACCAGGGAAACCAGAATACATAGATAGATAGATACTAGATAGATAGATACTAGATAGATAGATAGACAAATAGATTAAAAAAAATAAGTTTTCATCTGTATTTGACTATTGTAATTCCAATCTGCTGCTGAAATAGAGATATATACTGTAAAAGCACCCAAATTAAAGACATGCAGATTTATTATTGTTAATAAGCATAAAAAGGTAAAGAGTCAGTAAATTTAATTATAATATCCACTGACCTCTTTTGCACTTATCAAGCCCATTCTTCTCTGCACAAGCTGTAAATACATGACAGTATAAGCTGTGCAAGTTCATAGATAAATATGAACCTTGTAATGAACCAATAAAGCATTAGCCAACCAAAAAGGTGATATTCAGTACGTGTAGTGTTAGATCGAGTGGTGGACAAAGTACTCACTTTTATTACTTAAGTAAAAGTGCACACTCAAAAAAAGTAACACATGAAAAATCTACTCTAAAAGTGTTTTGCATAGTTTCTGTAATCTAATAAAGCTTCAACTGTAGTGATTTTGATTTTGCTCATCAGAAACAACTGAATTAATATATTTTTCCTACCTGAATTTATTCGTAGATTTATATTTTAGTCTGCTCAAACTATAAATGTATTAAAAATAAACCCTCAGCCTTTTCAGCAGGTTTCAAATGATATAAAATAAAAATAAAAATCAGTCCTGTGCAAAAATGTAGTGGAGAAGAAAGTACAGATACCTGCTCTCAAACGTAGTGAGGTAAAATGTACTCAAGTAAAGTACAGATACATAAATATTATACTTAAGTTCAGTACTTTACTACTTTTACTTTGTTATGTTCCACCAGTGGTTCAATTAGATCCATTACACACTTTATAGAGGCATCTGTATTCCCTGATTATAACATGGTAGGTTCAAAAGTGTTACTCGTCTAGTCTAATATAAAGCAGTCTGGTCTTACAGCGAGTGCAGAAGGTGGTACTGTGATAGAACCGGTCCCACTGCTCTGGTACAGGCAGGGCCATGACTGTAATTGCATACTGAGAGTCCAGGGGCAGGCCTCGGAAAGGGTCTGATTTGTAAACCTGAAAAACACAAGATAAGAGGTTCTGTCAGTCATGTTTACTATGTGATTAAAAAAAGGAAAAACTAACTAAAAAAAACTATATATGAGGTTTTTGGTGCTATGTACAGTCATTTTTTATTTATTTATTTTTTACTCTTATATTGTGTTGATTTGATTGGAAAGCACTTTGGTCACCTCGTAAATAAAGTTTGATTGGTAATAAAATTGGTACTGTGTCTAATTAATTTCCCTTGTGGATCAATAAACTTTGTCTAAGTTTAAGTGAAAATACATTACTGCAGTTTTTTCATGAGTACACAGCATGTAAAAAGTTGGATTATTTCAGAATAATACAATGGTATGAACCCTATTGACCTTTATTTAACCAGGATAGTAAAAAAAAAAAAAGAACAACAACAACTGCAGACTGTACAGAGCACTAAAAAGAAAATATATTTTCTCATCTCTCTTTTTTTTTTTTTTTTTTTTTTTACCACAAAGTCAACATGATTGATCCAGAAGAGAATTTATTTGGACAATATATTATAATCACAAAAGCAGCAAACATTTATGAATATAAACCTGATTCTTTGTTATTTCCCAGAAAGAGGGAGATAACAGAAACATAGCCCAGGGGCCTCGTTAATGGGCCTCCGTAAGCATAAAACGAGGTCAGAAATGTGCGTACGCAGCTTGTCACATCAAAGTTGGTATTTATATATGGGGGGGAGAACAAAAAAAAAAAACGTGATTGAGGAGCAGTGAGGGGTCATTTTGACTTAATTTTCGCAGAAAAAGACACAGAATCTAACACACTTTATTTGAGTATCGTAGTTTTACAAAGTGATGCGATCATTGGGGGGAATATGTGCGCGCGGCCGTACACGTTCATCCAAGTACACCAGAGCGTATTGGCACCATGGATCTACAGTTCTATGATTGAAACTAAACACATCCACGTATTCCCCATGCCCCCTCCGCACGCACACATGTCTTATATCCACGCAAACATACGCGTGCACGATGGTGCTCAAAGCTATATGAGAATGAAACAAGCTCGCGTGTGAATCACGCTCTTTACAGATGCTCCAAAACATCAGTCATGAGTCAGAGAAGCACAGTTCACTTGCCTGTGTCCTCTGCTACTGCGTCGGCTCATGTATAGGTAAATCTCATTCAGAACTCACTTTGCATTGTCCTTTTATGATGAATTGGAGGCGTTAAAGAGGCATGGCGTGAGGTGGGACCACGTGCGCAGGTTTGTGTTGCAGGTGTGCTGCGGAGGGTTGTATAAATCCCAATATTTTTTCACATACGTGTAATTTGCGCTTTGTCAGTACAAACTCTTTCAAGTTGATTTTGATGCCCTCTTTTATAATTGAAGCCCCAGTTCTTTTCGTTGTTCATGGTTTACCTTTTGAGCGTGTGATGCAGGGAGGGACAGGTTACTGTGAAAGAGGAAGAGCTGGCAGTAGACACTGGATCCTCCCAGGGCCTGCAGGGACACCTGAAAGCCTCGCAGGAAAGCAATGCCTGCAGAGAGCACATAAAAACACATTCTCCACTGACACACTCCACACATGCTGGATTTGTACCGCCAGTTTCAACCAAGCATTAGATCATCTTTGTTTTTGCTCTTTGTTTTTGTAGAAACTTTTTTTGACCTAAGACCAGAATGTTTAGTGAGCAGTCAAAAGTTTAGACTCACCCTCTAATTCAATGTTTTGTTTCTTTTTGCTTACTACTTTCTACTTTTTAGGTACATGCAAAGTAAAGGGTGGCTAATTTGAGGATTTGGTTATAATTTATTATTATTATTATTACTATTTTTGTAGGTATCTGTATGTATAATGAAGAAAGTAGTAAATATACACACACAAAAAAAAAAAAAACACTGAATGAGAGGGTGAGTCCAAATTTTTGCCTTTTGCCGGTGCTACATATCATATAACCATTAGATTAGATAATGAGACAATAGATTAGGTTAATATTGTTAAGCAATGTCTCCTTACTTTCTGAAAGTAACTTTAAAAAGTGACAAAAGACTCCACAATGAGTTTTTGTATATTTTTGTTATGAAAGATTCTCTTTATTACAACAACCAGACTATCTGTGTTCTTTTGTCAAATTTAAAAGTATTTTTGGCTGCAAAAGAAAAATAACATTACACTCCCACTCCCATGTTTGACTTTTGGTATGTTTTTTAAGAAGACTACTCCCATTCTCCTCACATGCTTTCCCTTGTGTCCAAACAACTGTATCTGAGTGTTGTCAGATCCAGTGTTGGTGACCTACAGCTGCTGTCCACATGGGGTTTGTATTACCTGTGGTGACAATACCTGTCACTGAGATCCTACATCTATTATCCCTGTTTGTGTCCAAGGAACAGTTGAACCAAACTAGCCATGATGAGGTCACACTTCACAATCCCGTAGACAGTATAAGGGGGGTCGAACGAGATACAATTTCCACAAGACGAAACAAGACACAAGATCAGATACGAGAACGAGACAAGGCGAGCTTTTGAAATTATTTATACTGAATAAATTGTGCAATCCAGTTCCCATGTTTGTTCTCAGTATTTTTATTTACTTCATTTATTATTACCTCCGCCAAGGAGGTTATGTTTTTGCCGGCGTTTGTCAGTTTGTTTGTTTGTTTGTTTGTTTGTCTGTTAGCAACATAACTCAAAAAGTTATGGACCGATTTTGATGAAATTTTCAGGATTTGTTTTAAATGTGAAAAGGAAGAACTGATTTCATTTTGGGGGTGATCCGGAAGAAATCCTGGATTCTGGATCACTTTGAAATTTTAGTTAACATTGTGGTAAATGGGGCCAAAAATTTTGTTTCTCAATATCTCGGTTAATTATTGACCAAACCCCATGAAATTTCACTCAGGGATGGACAATCAGATCCTCTTTCATATTCCAAATTGAAAGATACGAGACAAATATTTATGGAAAACACAATTAATATGAGGGGGACTGTAGTCCTTGGCGGAGGTCTGCGCTTTCTGAGTGCTTTTCTAGTTTCTGCTGTCATTGTAGGGCTGTTTTGGGGACTACACTTCTCAAAAAATGTTGCTCGCCAGTACTTTACTATTCTTCATCTAATCCAAACACAAAAACAAGATTATTTTTCTCATGTGCTCACAATCTTGTGGCAATTTTGTTTCGTGAGATTTTTGGCATGAGATCTTGCCCCATCCCTGTTGTATATGTATTATACAGTCTATGACAATCCCATACCATAGGGACTGGGAATCCAGGAGACGACCACAGAGTCCGAGCTGGGGTCTGGATCCTCCACTGTTTCTACAGTTACGTTGTTGGGTGCGTGGATGTAGTGACGGCAGATGTTTGGGTCTTCATTTCCCACCAGCTCAAAACATGGCCACGGAATGCAACCTGCAGACAAATACCTGTGTGATAATGCATTCACACTACAGTAACAAAGGCTCTGTTGTCAACAAATATGGAAGGAGCCCATTTCAATGCTTTACAGTGAGGGCTGTTTGTTTTGAAGGTTAGACTACATTCTATTCTTTTCTATATTGTTTCAAAATTTAGTTTGGGAGATATTCAAATTTAAACAAACAAAAACATAAGACAAAATATACATATACTATATAGTGGACAGTTCTACAAATTGCAGAGACAAAAGCTTCCCTGAATATTGATCAATTTTCACAGATATACAACAAAAGTCTTCTCTTGTCTTCTGTGTTTTCCTGCTCATTCCCATTTACGTCACAGTGATGGTTAATATTAAGAACACTTCTATTCACATTTAGGCTGTAAAGGAAAAACATCTAATCAAATGTGTATTCGCCCAAAAGGTTCCACTTACTTCCCAGTGTTTTTAGTGCTGTGGAGCCAAGGGCCTTTCGCACATCACCTGGGGTAATCCTGCAGTATTTACACTGGGGGTCCCCCTGAGGACACATTACAGAAACATTAACACAAGACTTAAAGTGACAGTGCATTAGGTGACTGTATTAAAACCATAATTCATGCCATTAAAAGCCTTCAAAGCAGGGTACCAGAGCTGCCCTTCAGGTTTCAGACTATATACTTAGCAGCAAAAAGCCAAGAGGAATGTGTGCCGCAGGCTGTGAAGGCATTGAGGGCGTCCAAGAGTTTTGGAGTTCACACAATAGTTAAGCTGTCAGAGGAGATAATGACCGTTAACATTTTAGCAGAATGTAAATACTCACTTGCACGCTATCTGTTCAGTCAGCATGTCAAATGCATGAGTGAATAAATTACTAGTAGAGCACATTTCAAATCAAAATAAATTACAGATACAAGTCCACTGTCACAGGTAAAACGATCTATTACTAGCTGGAATGAAATGTGGCTGGCTATAATATAAGTATGTATGTATGTGTGTGTGTGTATGTATATATGGGAGAGAGACCACCCACTGTGGAAGGTGAGAAGCACATTTTTATATATATATATATGTATATGTATATATATGTATATATGCGTGGAATTAGAAGTTTTGACTCGTTAAACAGACAAGCTTTTTTTTATTTATTTTTTTTATTTTAAGTGTATAAATGGTACAGGAAATTTTTGTTGTAAATATTGCAATGTTAAGTCAACTCCCATGACAGTAATGATTGAAAAAGAATTGAACAACCAAGTTCGAAATAAATGATTGATTTATAGTAGGGCTGGGACAACGAGCCCACCACAAAAATGTTATGCAGTGACTAAGCCTTGTTAGCACCTACCACCCTACTACTCTTGATTCTGCCTGGAACATATAATGGTTTATTTTATTTATTATATTTTAATACTTGGTTCAGTATTTGCCTGCATTTATGTTTGTAATGTAGAATCTGTGAATAATGTGGTATAATTGTCACTTATTTGTTCGCAATTTTGAGTTGACAATTTGAGATTTGTTATTCCATAAATTAACATCTTAAATAAATACGTATAAAAACATTTACTGGAAGTTTAATTTTGCATCTTATACATCTTTGCATCTTATAGACTGTATGTGTGTGTATTTTTTTTTTTTTTTTTTTTATCTGGTCTTATATGAGTGGAAAAAGTGTGTTGTAAATAGGTCTGTCACAATAATAAACTCTGAAGTGTGATATGTTGTTGAAGTACATATAGACAGTACACAATAATATTGAACCCAATGCATAAAGCAGAATCATCGCCCAAAAAGTGTTCTAAATTTACATTGTTAAAAAATATGAGCTGCCATAAATGTGAAACAGAATGCAGCACTTAAAAGGTTAAAATGAGAAGTTCATATTTCAACCTCCTACAGCTCAAATCTTGGAACAGAAAAATAACTAAATTATTCCCACTAAAACAAAAAAAATTCTCCACAATAAATACTGACCCGCCAAATTTATAATGGATATAGTAATTATCGTGACAGGCCTTGTTGTAAAGTTAGTAAGTCCGTCTTCGTAGTATATTGGTTCAAACAGATGGATTTCAAAGGTGCCCTATGTAACTTTTTGGTTCTGAGGTCCATCACCTGCTTGTTTCTATGAATGTTATTGCTTTGCCTAGGATGTTCCACAGTATGACATTAAATAGCTCTACCTTACATTTATTTAATTACAGGTGGTTTTATAGCTCAAAAATACCTAGAAAAACAGACCTGTAACCTGGTTTGGTTTCCATGAAAATAGAAAAGTTCAATGCCATACTGTGAAAATTCCAGACAAAGTAATAACATCTCCACGGAGACAAGCATTTGACGGACCCAGCACCAGAAAAGTTACCCAACGCACCTTTAACAACTCAAAGTGCCTATAGTATGATTTAAACTGAAACAAACAGAAAAGCAGGCTGGTTGAGATCGGATTACTCTTTGTACTGATGTTTAGAAAAATTTAAATATTTAACTATATGACCTACAAACTATAAATATAACAGATTTATTATAAAATGATTAATTAAAGGTGCATTGTGTAACTTTTCTGGTGGAGGGTTCGTCAAATGCTTTTCTCCAAAAAGACGTTATTGCGCTGTCTGTAATGTTTCACAGTATGGTGTTAAACCATTCTATCTCCATGGAGACCAAACCAGACCAAGTTAAAAGTCAGACCTGTGGAGAGGCGACCCCAAACATATTCAGAATGCCTGTTTTTCTCAGTATTTAGAGCTTTAAAACCACCTGTAACTGAATAAATGTCAAGCTGTTTAATGTCATACTGTGGAAAATTCCAAGCAGAACAATGACATATAATTTAAAACAAGCAACTGACGAACCCTCAACCAAAAAGTTACATAGTACACCTTTAAAATGGAAGAACAGTACAGCATAGTAGTGTACCTGGCGGAGACAGTCCAAGCTACAGTTCTGAGGAGTGAACACGTCTGCGTTGGCCCAAACGATCTTCACCACTGTCAGAAGCAGGTACAACACAAAAGCTCCCTTCCACATCTTGCTAAAAATATCAAAGCATTCTCGAAAAAAAAACTAGTAAACGACCATTTCCATAGACCGGTGCTGATGTGCAGACTGTGACAGCGCGATGCAAAGAGTAACAGAGACTGGGAGAGGAGTGGTGTCTTGAGGCTATGGGAGGTACAACCAAAAGAGGGCTGCTGCTAGACCAGTTCTCTCTTCTGAAACACGCACGTCTTTGGCTCCAGATCAGTTACATGAAGCAAAACAAGATTCGCCAATTGAACTCTATACTGAGTCATTAGACTTCCCAGTCCAGAGGGTAATTTTGCTTTATTGATCACAAAACAGGTATTTACATAAGAATTATAATGATACAAGTAATGAGACAGTTGAATGTTATTTTCAACAGCAAAAGTCCTAGCTCCCAACTCCAGGAGGGCGACTGCTTTCACCGGATCTGGAAGAAGAAAAATAAAAAGCATTCCAAATCAAACTGACTAAATAAGTCAGAGCTACAATTTCCCAATATAATATAATATAATAATAATATGATATAATATAACTCTGCATTTATTGCGTTTGACAAAAGCCAGGAAAATTCCTGGTCAACATTAAACCAAAACACAGAGGAGGTCCGTTCACTGTTCTCAATTGTAAGGTTTTCCATCTTCATTTCATGCACATTCACTTTAAGAATTTGGAAAAAATACTGGAAATTTAAATTACCTGGATGTGGTTAGCACAGTAATAAACTGATCTGGCTTTCCGGCCTGGGTCAGTGTTCAAAGCTTAGGTTTGCATGTTTGGATTTTCACCAAAACGTAATTTAATTTAAGTAAAGATTTTGAGATAAAATAAACAATACTGAGCTCATGTTTTCCATCTATAGTTAAGGAGGAAAACTGAGCATGACAACAATGGCCAATTTACAATCGTGTATGTGAAAGAGGCAATTAATCCCTTTCAAATATGGTGTATTGTTTGAATAATGGCAAGTTCAACTGAAAAGCCCTATCTGTACTCTGTATTTGTTTTAAATATCAGTTGCCTTTGTAAACTTTAGTGGAGCCACAGGTCTGTTTGAAAGTGAGACGCTGAGTTGAGGCGTCTTACTATTTGTGGTTTTCTCCTCAACATCTCCCAGTCAAACTGGATTTTTCAAAGTAAATAAAATAAATAAATAAACAAAAGGCTCACTGTGTATTTGTCCCATTTCTTCTCAGGATCGTAGGGCTCCCAGCGACTTGCAGGAAAGATATGCTTGTTCTTCTCATACCAGCTTCTCAGAACCACTTTTCCAGCATGTGACTGTGTAGAAGGAACATTGAATTAGTTAAACTGTATCCGTTCAGTTCTGGACAGATATGATTAAATAATATTTCCAACAATAGGTATTATTTTGTACTTCTGAGTTTTTTCTTTATACCAGGATCAATTCTATCTCTTGCCATACTTATCATGACCTTTGTAGTTTGTGTTTTGACTGAGCAACAGAAATATGAAGACAAAATTTTGTTTTGTCAAAATAATGGTTAAAAGTGCATTGTGTCACTTTTCAGGTTGGGGGGTCTGCCTGGAGATGGAAATGCTTTGCCTGTAATTTTTCACAATATGGTATTAAACTTATATAAGACTGTTTTCAATTATGGGTGTTTCTATTGCTCAAAAATACCTTTAAAAACCATGAGTGGGGTCAATGTTTCACAGATTTCACCAGTAAATTGGCCTAGTGGCTGGATACGCTTAATGTCATTCTTTGGTACAGCACAGGCAAAGCAAGAACACTCAGTGGACACATGCAGGTAATGGTCTGTCAAATGCTTTTCTCCATGGAGATGTTTTTGCTTTGTTTGCAATGTTCCACAGTATGGCATTAAACCTTTCTATCTTCATAGAGACCAAACTACACCAAGTTACAGGTCAGATCTGTGGAGAGGCAACCCCGCTCACAGTCAGAATGCCTGTTTTTCTAGGTATTTTTGAGCTATAAAACCACCTGTAATTGAATAAATGTAAGTTAAAGCTGTTTAGTGTCTTACTGTGGAACATTCCAGGCAAAGCCACAACATGTCCATAGAAAGAAGCAGGTGATATATCCCCAACCAAAACGCTATATAGTGCACCTGTAAATCATACACCTCTCTACAAACCGAGCCAAAATTTTTATTATGTTTTTTACTACAGCACTATTTTCTTCAAAGTGAGTTTTATCCTTTCAATCCTCTAAAAACTGTTTCTGTTTCTGTTTTTTGTCTCTGAGTCTGTACCTGGTTTGTATCTAAAACTGACATTCAAGTGGATGGTCTGCCAGTGGTCTGTGGGCAGAAATGTTACTGTTGTGTCTAGAATGTTCTTCAGTTTAGATTAAAATTCTATCTGTCACGAGGGAGACGAGCAGGTTCCAGCACTACGCTACATTACAGTTCTGATCTATGAGGAATCGCTCCTATTCACAGACGGAATTACTGTATTTTTGAACAATAGAAACAACCGTAATGAATAAATGCTAGATAGATATGTTTAATGTCATCCCAGAAACAGTGTCCAGGTCGTAAAGCTCTCCTCACCTCATCTTTCTCCACGGTGGCGTCGTTAACCAGTCGTATGTCATCGTGAACATCAAAACTGAAGAGGGGGCCTGCGGGGGGGCACAAAAACATGAACGTGTTAAAACCCTTTCTACAAATGGAAAATGCAACATCTGTAATCAAGATGAAGTGTTTTTGAGCAATAAAAACACCCATAATCAATTATATAAGTTTAATACAATATTGTGGAAGATTACAGGCAAAGCAATAGCATGTCCATGGTAGCAGACCCTCAACCTGAAATGTTACGCAGTGCACCTTTAACTTATTTAGACTATATAATACATGCAACATCTGTGTAATCAAGATGGGGTTAGAGAAATTGTGAATTAAATGTAACTCTCTTTCTTTGTATGGTACTAGATGTAACAATCAGCTGCTTTTCCACCAACTGTTACATGTATATTAAAAAGAAAAAATCTGAGGCACTCCGACTGCGTTAAATGTTCTTTTAAGTGCATTGGTGGAGGTTTCGTCACCTGCTTGTCTTCATGGAGATGTTATTGCTTTGTTCAGAATGTTCAATGGTAGAGATTAAACCAGTCTGTCACAAGGGAGACAACTATAGGCTACATTACAGGTCAGATCTCTGGAGATGCAACCCAATTCACAGAGAATTATTGTATTTTTGAACAATAGAAACACCTGTAATTAATAAATGGATAGATTTTTTCCAGTGTGATCCTGATGAGCACCTGACCTGAACTTTGACCCACTGAAGCACTCATCTTCCTCTCTTATCTGTTACATGTTTGCAGAGATGGCGTCTTGCAAGTTATGACTTGAACTCGAGCCAGACTTGAGTCACTATTTTTAGGACTTGAGACTTGACTTGATAAAATGGACTAAGACTTGATGGTCAGTGACTTGGGATTTGACTCGGACTTGAGGCCTGTCACTTGAGAAGACTTGAGAAGCACTTTTAAATCAGAATTCTTTCTATTCTGACTGTAATGATTCACTCTAAGATTTTGTCAAGATATTTAAAAAGGAAAAAATAGCAACTCTTATATATTCTACTATATAAATACTTACATGTAAATATACTATGACTTTATAAGTACAATTTATCTAAAAAGCCATAAATTGCAAAAACCAAAGGTACTTTGGTTTGAAGATTTGAAATGGCTTGAAGCTCAAAGCAGACGACTTGGGATTTGACTTGGACTTGAGGTCAAAGACTTGCAAAACGACGACTTGGTCCCACCTCTGCATGTTTGTATTACTATATTTCCATTGTATTTGTATTTTTACTTGTACATATACTTTCAAATATGTCAGGGTCACAATAGAAAAGGTACTTACATTTGATCAGCAAATTACGGACATTTACAAAAGAAGCCATTAATGATTGTCAATAATAAGAAAACTCAAAGGACTCTTATGTTTCTCCACATCTGTTATTACTGTTGTGCAAATCAGAACATCATGTTATATTGTTCCACCTGCTTTTTCAATATGCTCACTGTTAAAAACCGGTCCAAACGCACAAAGGTAACACACACAGCTGCTAAACCCATAGAACTCCCCACACTCAACCTCACTCACCTGCCCTCAGGACGGAGGTAGAGGGCGCTCAGGTGCAGGACGGTGTGCTTTGGCAGAAGCCTGATGCCCTCGGCCATCACATTTCTAAACACCAGGCCCCGTTAAGCGTCTTGTAATGTTTACTGTAATGTGTCTGTATGTGCCAAACAAGCTCTGTGTGTGTGAAAATGAATTTCCCCTTGGACAACAAAAGTCTTAAGTCTAATGTCATATAATTATGCCTTATTAGATACCAGTCTATTGCCATTGTTGCTACTTATTTAGAATTTAGTATTACCATTTATATTTTTTTCCCTTTGTTATTACAATATTTGTGATGTGTGTCCAAATAATTTCCCTTGTAGATCAATACAGTTTGCCTCTGCCTACTCCTGTGTTTCCTATTAGCATGTATTTATTTTTGTAATGTTTTCTTTGTGTGTCCACTGTGTAACAATTTGCTCAAATAAAATAAATGAAATGAAAACGTAAGAGCTGACACGTTAAAATGATATATTAGAGGAGGGGGGTGAGATTAAATACATTTCCTTCTTCCCATGCCTTTTTGGACATTTTTTTGTTGTTGCTCTTCTTGTTTTTGTTGGTATGATTGCACTAATGTCAATATGGATGATATTATGTTTCATTGCAAAAGAATGTGAAATGCGTACTTGCCCGGAATAAATACATAAATAATAAAATGTAAAAAAAAAAAAAAGGAGGGACCAACCTGATTTGCCTCTGGCTTTGGTTACAATGAAGTCGTAAAAACTGTGATGCTAGAAAGAGTAAATGATGAAACATTTTTTCAACACTTGTTAAAATGCTCATTTTAACAAATCTCATCTCATTTACATATTTATTACAAGGAATAAAAGGTGCACTTACATGTGGGATTATCAGATCCTCTTTTATGTACATAAGCTGCTCCACGCCAGCAGACCTGACAAGATTTAGACACATTTACGACTATAATTGTTAAAGTATGAGTACACAGTGAGTAGGAACAGGCAATATTCACCAAAATGTATGTTAATATTTAGGGCATGGGTCTTCAACGTTTTTCAGGCCAGGGACACCCAAACTGATGGCGAGCTGGAGCAGGGATCCCCTACTATATATAAGGCATACAAGTGTGTTTTATATTAAATTGGGCCTTGTGTCATGTACAAACATAGCTACTCTGGTACTTTACATTCAATACTTGGGGAGTATTCCATCGAAGTCACTTAACAAGTCCAGGCTTATCCTGAAATCCTGAGTTGAAACTAGCTCCATCTCCATCATGGAAAAAGTGACTTTTTTTTAAAGACCTGATTAAACGAGAGAGAAGCCAGAGCGCGCATGGACAAGAGTTTGATACGGAACTTTTTTAGTCATTCTGATCTCAGGAGCGAGAGGAAAGACGCAACTTCCCCCTCCTCTCCTGTTCGCTTCGCAGGTAGAGAGGAGGTGGGCTGCGGCACGGGGAGCCTGGTTAATACGCTTGGGGAATGAAGTTGCCAGACCGCTTCCAGCTGTGCGTCAAAGTAAAGCTGTAACTGTTCACATGTAGCCTAGAAGAAACGATAAAATCCAGACCGACGTGTTTGTAGTTTGACAGGGAGCGAGAGACGAGGGAATGAACAGAGAAACAGAAGTGATGGAAGAGCGCACAGCGAGAACCCACTGAAAACCAGTTCATTCTCATCCTTAAAAAATTTTGAAATATATTTCAAAAAAATTCTAATCAACCAAAGATTTCACAACCCTCCTGTTGAAGACCTCTGATTTAGGGGATTCTGTAAATAACGTTTAGCCGTTTGAAATAATTATCTGAAAGAAGCAGCGTTTTCATTTTTTATAGTTAATGGTGCACTGTGTAATTTTCCTGGTGAAGGGCCTGTTTGTATGCATGGAGATGCTATTGCTTTGCCTGCAGTGTTCCAAAGTATGGCATTAAATTCATCCATCTCCTCAGAGACAAGCAGGAGATGCCACTAGACCAATTTATTATTAATAATAATAATAATAATTAGAATAATAACCATGTATTTTATTTAAAGGCGCTCTTCTGGGCACTCAAGGAAACCGTACAAACAACAATTAAGACACATAAGTAAAAACAATCAAACAATACAGGGCAGGTTCTAAACATCAGGGCATTAACGGGGGAATGTTGGGAATGAATCAAGATTACAGGTGAGATCTGTGAAGCGGTGACCCCACCCACAGTAAGAATGCATGAACGCATCTACCCCAACCTGAAAGTTACGCAGTGCACCTAAAATTTCCACTTTTTCTTAACTTCAGAACCATGTAAAGAATATATTGGCCAGTCCATCTCTCACAGTGGGTAAGCAGTATTTTAAGTATTGGGAAGTTGTTTATGCATTGAGGATACACAACATGGGCTGACATTTCCTGCTTCACCTCAAACCTCAATAAACAAAGATCTTGTGATGAGAAACAGGCCTCGTGAAACAATATGTATTTTTGGACAAAGTAAAGTGAATGCATGTTTACCGGAGTTCACTGAAGTCCTTTCTGAGAACTTCAAGAGCTTTTTGTAGAAAGTTCTGAATGGTGTTTCCTTTCTTCATCTGTACAAATACAAAATAAAAATAATAATGTTTAGAGTGCATGTTATGGCTGCCACTAAATGACTTTAAAGGTGTATTGTGTAACTTTTCTGGTGGAGGGTCCGTCACCTGCTTGTTTCTACGGATATGCCATTGCTCTGTCTGAAATTAAACAGATCTATCTTACATTTATTAAATTACACATGGTTTTACTGCTCAAAAATAACTAGTAAAACACAGGCAATCTGACTGTGAGCGCTGTTGCCTCTTCACAAATCTGACTTGTATCTTGGTCTGATATGGTCTCCATGAAGAAAGGTTTTAATACCATACTGTGAAACATTTAAGATAAAGCAATAACATTTACATGGAGAAAAGCATCTGGCGGACCCTCCACCAGAAAAGTTACACAATGCACCTTTAAAAGACATACAGGGCTGCATGATTTTGGAAATATATCTCATTTTGATTTTAAAGTATTGGAATTGACTTATTTTTTATTAATATTTATTCACAGTGCCCATTTTGAACTGAAACTGCTAAGGTAATAAAGATTAAATTCAATTTGTTTAATTTGTTGTTTGCAAAGTATATTAAATTAATGCAGTCTGGACATAATAATTCACATTGTGATTCTGATTAAATGAGTCTCGAGGCTCTAAATCAAAATACTACACTTCTTCTTTTCTTATTTCTTATTTATTTATCTGTAAAGAGTCACTATACTTACTTTTACAGTCTTTCGATGTCCAGACCCATCCCAGTAACTGAAGGTGATTTCAATCTCCTCATCTAAGAACAAAAGCAAATGGTTTGTGTTTAGAGACTGGACTTAATAAGTGGCCATTAACACATCATTACACTCACTTTTGATTTTCTCTTGCTTCAGCTCCCACTCCTGTCTCAGCTCCTCTCTCAGCCGATTCTCCTCCTCCTAAACATATTTTATAAAATGGAGGGACTTAAGAATGCCCTAAAGTCATGATACTAAAGGCTTAATACTAAAACTTGAGTCAACATGCCAGTGTAAAATACAGCATGTAAAAAGGAACAAATGTGATCCAAACAAGAGATTTTCTGTGGGAACATTTCTTAGAGCTCACTACAGGGGCTATTCTGTTCAAAACAATATAATTTTACTACAGTTTGTCATAATTTAACAACAATATAATCTCAAACAGAGCGTTCAATTTCTAACCACATTTGAGTGAGTGCATGTCTGTGTGTGATTACAGATAGGAAGCACAGTCACCTCCTGGAGAGCATAAACTCATAAATCAGTGGCATGCGATCAGGGGAATCAAGGCAAGCAGTGGTCGACCATAAAATATAAAATCATTGTGTGTCAAAAGTGTAATTAAATAGTTTTGAATTATAGCCAAATAATCAAATTTCCCCTTAATTTCTTCTTTGCAAAATGGTTGTAGTGGCAGTGTCCTTTACTACACTCTTAAGGTCACTGAGCAAACTGCAACAACCGCTCATTAACTTGTGTTGTTTTGCCTTTCTATGGAGGCCTGGAGGCACATGTCGGGAGCGTGGCTTATACTTCCATGCTTTCTACATGCGCTCTTACAACCGGAGAGGCCAGCTGGTTGTTTTAGTGGTTTGCACATGTGTATTGAGGGCCACAGTTGGCTCAAATGGCGCTGAATAAACCCATATCATCCATGGGAACCGGAGATGTGTGGCACTTCCAAGTGAGTGCACCTGTGCAGCAGGAGATGACAACAGCATCTCTAATTTTCAACACAAGTGTCTAAAAATAACTTGCTTTTAGTGAGAAATGATTGTTCGTAGTTTCACGTTTGTAATGATTAGATCTTAGTTAGAAATACAGGCTGTCATTTAATCAAACAGTGAGCTAGTTTCAAGGGCTAGTATGTGCTTTATGTGAAATGGAGGATCCAGACAGAGCAGTGGAGTGAGAGCGCCTGGAGAACAGCCTGTCTTGTCTGTGTGTTTACGATGGAGCAACAGTGTCAGTGGAATAACAGCACTATTACACATGTGTGAAAGAACATTTGTTTGTTCTGGACCTGCTCTGCTTCAGGGAAATACACAACATTTCTTCAGGAAAGATGGCAAAGTAAAAATTCAAGTTGCCAACTGGACAAAAGTTTATTTTGGTTGAATACGTTTCACAGCTCATCCAAGCCACTTCTTCAGTCAGAATGCTGGTGGGTACTTTCTTATATCTGCCTGAAGGGAGGAGCAAACTACAATGAAACTACTCTGAAACTAACACACCTACTTGTTTACAGTTTCTGTTAGATAGTTTGGCCTATTAAAATGCATTGAGTGTGAGATCATATTAGCATAACCATTCAGGGCCATAACTAACAGCAACTAAAGACTTAGATGTGTTAGTTTCAGAGTAGTTTCATTGAAGTTAGCTCCTCCCTGCAGACAGATATGAGGCAGTGTCCACCAGCATTCTGACCAGAACGGAAGAAGCAGCTTGGATGAGCTGCGATACGTGTTCAACCAAATAAACTTTGTCCAGCTGACAAATAGAATTTCTCCTTTACCATGGAGTCTACCTGGACCACTCAGCGATTTTGCACACATCTTTAAGAAAGACATAGTTTTGCATCAGTGAGAGGTGAGTCATGAGGCGCTGTTCTAACGTGACGGGACGTTTGTGACACATTAGGCTGTGTGACCAGTGCATTATTGTTGTTAGTACCGTATGGCTTCATGATCTTCATGAATGTGCATTTTGTGTAGTGCATTAAACATGTGTAGAGCTGTCATATGTCACTCATATAGTTTCTAGATGCATAGTAATAATTACATAGACAACAATCATACTGAAGGCTCAGCTGGATAAATAAGGTGTAGGTTGTTATTGGCTACTGTCATAAATGTCTTAAAACACTGTGGTTGGTCTCACCTCTCTGTCTCGATCTGGCAGAAAACTGGTGTCCACATCTGGATTTTTCCCCAGTTTCTTCTTTTTGGCTGGAAAGTCTGTGTCATCAAAGTCATTATAAGTTAGTTTTCTTATAAATTGTGAGCTTGTTGTTCCATACGTTCTTACCCTCCAGCTCATCCTCCTCCCCTTCCTCCTCTTCATCTTCCTCATCTTCAGGGTTAAAAGACAAACTGGCAATCTTTCGTTTCTGCTCCTCTTTTCGTTTCTTCTCTTTCTGCTTCTCAAGTTTGCTGCAAATAAACGTAATGCCATAAATAACAAGAACAGCATGAAAGATGGAAACCTCAACTAAATCATATAATCAACAGGGTAATAATATGTTGTTTTTAGTGGAAGAATCCTGGAACCAGAGTTTCCTGAGCCAGCTGAACAGGTGCCTAGAGAAACATAACTCTCTAATGTCTCTAATGTCCAAAGAAGACCAGCTATTTTGACCTCAGTCATTCAGGCAAAAAAGATTGACGACTGAAATGGCTAGTAATTACCAAAAGAACGCCAAGCAAACAGACTACTACTAAATCATGAATTAGTTTCCAACAGGCCTGTCACGATAATTACTATATTGACTTATCGTTCAATATATTAAAGCTGGAACATTATTTTTGTGGGGTCAGTGTTTATCGTGCGTAATTTTTCTTTGCACTACTAGGGAATATTTGCTTAATTTTTTGGCTTTGAGGTTTTGAGGTTGGATTGATAATCAGCTCATGATTTTCACAATATTGTATGTTTAGAATAGTTTTTGTGGTTTAAATCTGCTCTCGGTTTTTTGTGTCAGTGGCATGAATTAGTTTCAATATTATCATTTATTGTCTAGATTTACTTCAGCAATAAAACAAACTTCAAAATTAGTTGTCAAGATAGGCCTAGTTTCCGACCAGAAGCTCAGTGTTTAAAGGTGCATTGTGTAACTTTTCTGGAGGAGGGTCTGTCAAATGGAAATGTTATTGCTTTGTCTGGCTTCAGAATATGGTATTAAACCTTTCTATTTTCATGGAGACCAAATCAGACCAAGTTAAAATAGTCACAATGCCTGTTTTTGTAGGTATTTTTGAGCTATAAAACTACCTATAATTGAACAAAAGTAAAATAGAGCTGTCATACTGTGGAAAATTCCAGGCAGGGCACATGTCCATCCAGGCAGTTGAAGGACCCCCAACCAAAAAGTTACATAGTGCAGCTTTAAAGAGCCATGACACAGCATTAGTAATGAAATAGAACTCAAGAGCGTAATAAAGACAGGAATCATGTTAAAAAAAACAGGTTTGGCAATAAATATCTTCTATAACGTTCAGTGAGGTCATGCCTTCCTAAAAAGAACATGAAAGGCCTTGGGCTGAATTGAAATACCTCAGTTGTTATGCATTGACCATAAATGACAGAAGAAAAGAGAAAGAGAGTTAATAAATAAAAAGTAGATAAATTGCCAGAGCTACAGGGCTGCCTCATGTATGTAATTGCCAGAGCTACAAGGCAGCCTCATGTATATAATTTACGGTTTTACTACAGTACTCTGACCGAAAATATACGGAAAATAAAATGGCTTTTAAATGTTAACACAAACGGTCTCACGGAATAAAAATGACGCCTGCTGTTTAACTGCTGTTCCTTTTGTTCAAACATGTGTTTTGTGGTTTATATCAAACTTAATATATCATTTAGTTTTGTGTTTTGGTTAAACTTTGGGCGCCCCCATCCCTTAACAGGAATCGAAGGATGGATGTGGGTTGGAGGGTCAGAGCTCTTCTGATCTGAGTCACGCTCATCTCAGATACATCACTTTGTTTGTTGTGACCTTTGACCTCTGCTCTGACACTGAGGCTGAAAAGTGTAACACTGAGAGGACATCTGACTCACAGCTGGAGCTCTTTGGACTGCTCCTTCTTGGCGAGCTGCTTCTCTCTCTCTTTCACCAGGGCCTCCTGTTTGGCCTTCATATCGTTCAGTGTCACCAGGCCTGTTAAACACACCAACAGCTTTATCAATTCATCTTTATGCTGTGTATAATTGAAAACATGTGGGAAATAGAGCACAGAGGAAGTATTTTACTCAAATAATACCCAAAATGTTCAAAGAGATACACATATTTGTGGCCAAAACTCCGTGTCAAAGCTGCCAAAGCTACGAAAGGCTGGGGTCGGTTAGTACTTGGATGGGAGACCATTTCAAATATCAGGCAAAAACTACTATTGTGTCCTTAGGCAAGGCACTTCACCTTGTAGGAATGTGGTGTGTGTGTGTATGTGAGAGTGATCAGAGAAGTCTGTCTCCGTCTGCCTCACGGCAAACCTGGCTACAAAAAGTAAGCCAATACTTACACCACTGAGTGTGGAGTGACTGAGTAATACTCTGCATTTTTGATGTCAAGAAAAGTGCTATATAAATCCAGTAGTTAATAATATATCTATTAACATATGCACATCAATTTAGACAGTTTAGCATTTATATTTTCTTTTTTTTTCATTTATATTTTTTCCATATTTTGTGTGGTGTAAAACAGGAAATTTCATTCCTCTTCCATTGGCACTGAAGTTTAGTACTCACATCAAAATAAATTAATGGGATTGTTCAGTGCCTTCAGTAATAACATATAAGTCCAACATAAAATATAAACATGTTACAGGTGGTGTTTAGGAGTGGGCAAAAGGCCAAAAACTAAATCAAAATCATGAACGACTGAGGGTGACCAACAACACGAATCTGCAATCTGTCACAGGGTGAGGTCATGGTTTGATTTGACATGGTCCCTCACCAAAAGTGTTTTTATCATTATGTTCAAACTGAGACAATTTCGCCCACCCTTTCTTCATATGGTTAGTGTTTGTCATGCTCTGAGTGAGTGAAAGATGGTTTAATAAATAACAATAAAGTAGAAATATTCAGCAGAAGCACATAACTTTAGGTACCTCTGAAAAGCTTGAAAGTGTATTTTTTGAATGGAATGAAATGTGTAGGGTTTTTGGCATATCACTCACCCCCATTACTGTATAATATAGAGTTGTCGAAGCCCCCAACCAACGATATAAAAAAAAATCTTAAATTTTAACTTACCAACTGTACTGGACTTGAGCTCTGCCTCCACAGCATCATAATGAGCTGAGAATTTTTTATCAATGTTGGACTTGACCATGTTGTCCTGAGAGAACAAATACACAATGTCAGCAAAGTGGTTGTGTTATTGTTATAACCTCATAGTAATGATGAAGTAGGATGAATAATAGTATAGTATATATATAGTAATAGTATTTTGAAAGCTGATACTTTTTGTATAGTGGTTTCATATAAAGAAATCATGAGCAGGTGGTAACTATACTCACCATAATACATATACATGACAAGAATGGTGCTACCTGCTCTACAGGGTTCCCACTCTTTTTCACTGACAAAATTTCAAACATTTTCCATGATTTTTTCATGACCTAAAGTTAATTTTCCATAACTTTAAGGCACCCTACATGTTTAGAATTGATCATACTTTTAGGACTAAATATGAAATGTTAACCCTTTCTACTCACCTTATTATAGTTTTTTAACAAAAATACTGTTAGTGCATTTATTTTTGTCTCTTTTAAATAAAAGGTGCATATGTTCGGATATAATCATAACAGTCGAATGATAACTTAACCGAACACAGTAGTTGCGTGAAACAGATACTAAAATCCCATGACGTTTTGAAAACTTCAATAGAATTTACAAAATTCCATGACTTTTCCAGGCCCAGAAAATGACATTTTGAATTTCCATGACTTTTCCGAGATTTCCATGACAGTGGGAACCCTGTCTACAGTGTCTTGTAACACTAATACGCTGGACAACATTTTTTCAAATTATGCTATTTTCTGATCTGTTATAAGCTTATTTCCACATTAAAAACATATCTGCAGTAGTGTTTTGTTGCATTCACACATGTTTAACACACAAACCCTGCATAATTAGGCTGCCTCCTTCTCTCAAACAGAAAACACTCTGCACTTCCACCTTGTGACGTCATGTGGTAATACAGGAAGTGCTCCACTGTGTTTTTAAACTCCATACACCTTCACTACAATCATTTGGATGATTTTAACCCTGGATTTGCAAATCCCTACTGAACTAAAAAGGGAAAAGGAGTTGTTAACGAGAAAACTACAGCTCTGTGAACTCAGAAGGTGGAACGAGGCATTTTGAGCTGTAGACTACTAATGACAGACTAATAATAAAGGGTTACTCAAACATGTGTGAATTAATTAAACCACAATTGCATGTATTTTTGATGAAGTACCAACATTACAATCTGGCTCAATATTGCGTGAAAATAGGATCTTTAATACAAACTCTAACCAATAGTTGATCTATTCTCTGCAGTGTGGCACAATGTAAATCTATAATTATCTGTAACATGTGAATAAAAGTGAGATGCTTCGTACTTCAGCTATTTTCTGCTTGAGCTGCTCGAGTTGTTCTCGTTCTTTCTCTCTCTTCTTCATCAGCTGCATGGCTCTCCCGGCCTCACTGGCAGCTCCTTTATACTGCGCCATGGCTCCCTGTGGCTCCCGACGTCCACTTACTCAAAATCAGAGGTAAAATAAGGAAAATAACGCTGAAATTTAAGTTCAATCGTGTTTAGAGGCGCACCGAACAGGGCAGACTCCGCGGAGACCACAACAACAAAGATGGCGGTGGAGAACAGCATGCTGGGTAATGTGAGGGTGTTGTTTGGCGCCCCCTTCCGGTAATCTACTGCATGATGAAAACTTATTATGTTGAGGGGTTGTGCAAAAATATTGAAATATCGATATACCATATCGTTTAATGTGATGATATAGTATCGATATCAGGGACTGTTTTATCACTGTATTAGTAAGAGCATTTTTTGGTATATTTTACGAAATTATTTTGTTACAGCGCAACAGTTTTGTTGCTTGTTTAGATGAAGGAAACCTATTTGTTTGTATGTAACACATTTGACATTTTCACTGTTTTGATGATTAAAATGAGTGTGTTTCATATTAACTTTGCACAAGAAGTGGTTTAACAAAGACTTTTAGTATCACAGCCACGATTTAGCCATTTTTTTATTGAATCATATCGAATCAATTTGAAATATATAATTTAGAATCGAAAGCGCACTGTATCGAGGTATGTAACGTATCGTGGCCTATATATCGAGGTATGTATCGTATTGGCAACTTCTTAATGATACCCAGCCCTAATCATGTCGGTCAAGATCAAAGTGTAAACAAACCATAATTGCTTCACTCTCTCATATATTTTCTGGACTAAATTAATGTCTGAGTCTCTTGCTAGCTTTTTGCTACTTATTTAGAATTTTATTATTACCATTTATATTTTTCTCTTTGTTATTATATTATTGTGATGTGTGAGCTACTGTGTCCAAATAATTTCCCTTTGGGATCAATAAAGTCTAAGTCTAAGAGTCTTTCAACAGCAGAATGAGACATCTTCAGTCAAAAGAAGGATCTTATTTCTATCGCTGCGGGGGTCATTTTATTCTGATGTGCAATAACCTTTCATAATCTAATGTACATTACCTGACACCTGTTTTTTTAATGGACTGAAAGAACAAAATATACTACAGTTGGAAAATGAGAATGCATACTTGGCTGTAAGCCTCTTTCTGGTTTATCTGTACTTGCTTTCACATGCATATTTTTTCACTGTAATAATTCAGTTCTTTATTATCTTTCTCTTGCAGGTATAAATGTCACTCAATACTCACAGAAAAAAAAGTTTTATTTTATTTTGCCATTTATTTTCCTTTTTTTTTTTTTTTTTTTGGTTTGTTTGTTTTTCATTTTTCAAACAGAGCATTGGTCTGCCAGTGTGTGATGATCAAAAATACTGAGATATTTGTGACTTAAACTTCAGAGTGTGGTGATGCCATGCTCTCAGATGGGGACAAGAGGCTTTTTTCCCCCTATTGATTACATTGTACTTTGTGATGAAATATAAAAAAAGAAAAGAAAGAAGAAGAAGAAAAAGAAAAAAAAAAGAAGTAGAATATAATAAACAAATATAAAAAAAAATGCACTTAGATCAAAACAGTGGTGGGTGAAATACAGATAAAGGGGGCAAAAAATTACTCAAGTAAAAGTAAAAGTATCACATGAAAAAATTTACTTATGTAAAAGTATTACAGTACCTGTTTATGAATGTACTTAAATAGTAAAAAGTAGAAGTATTTTGCAGAAATTTTTAGAACAATTAAAGAATTAAATGATTTTTTTCCCTGTCATTTCAGCAGGTCTCAAACCATAAAGAAAAGTACTTTTTCCTTTTCAATCCAGATCTAAAATGAAGTAGAGTATAGAAAGTAGAGATACACATTCCAAAATGTAGTGAAAAGTAAAAAGTATCCACTGTAAAATGTACTTAAGTGAAGTACAACGATCTAAAATGTGTATTTCAATATTGTGCTTTCACTTTTGTACTTCGTTACGTTCCACCACTGGATCAAACAGAAAATACATTATAAAAGTCAATGATCTTTGCTTTGCCTCATTCACACCCCCTCTTTGTCTGTTTTTAGAGACTGCCACTCTTTATTGGAGAAGATAATGGCGACGTGGCTGCAGCAGAGGGCCAGGCTGGTACACAAAGGAGAGACGAGGATATTAACAGCACATATCCACACAGAGCGCACGCAGGGGATGAAGGTGTGGCTGAGCTGAGCCAAAGGGACCACAAACCTGCACCAAGAGAGGATCAAGAGCATTAGAACAACAAAAACAAATCATTGAGTCATCTGTCAACATCCTCGAGACATTAATCCAATAATGAAGTATGTGTAAGTGGATCCCAAGACATTAATCCAATAATAAATTATGAGTGCAGCCAAGGACACATAAGTGACACATTTACTATCATAATATGTGTCATAATGTGTTTTGTACTGTAGATTGATTGATTGATTGATTCGTTATTTTTGGTCACAACAAGTTTATTCTAGAAACAAAAATAGACTGAAAAAATGTAGGCTTAAGGTTTAAGGTGCATTGTGTAACTTTTCTGATGGAGGATCTGCCACCTGATTTTCACCATGGAGTTATTTCTTTACTTAGAATGTTCCACAGAAGGGCATTAAATATATCTCCCTTGTGTTTGTTCAATTACAGGTGTTTTATAGCTCAAAATATTTCCATACTGTAGAATAATCAAAGCAAAACCATAAAATCTCCATGGAGGCAAGCAGCTAACAGACCCTCCACCAGAAAAATAACACACTGTACCTTAACATATTCTGTGCTTTTTTTAGTAAGTATTTATTGTAATGGTGTATTGCATTTTACTCTGTGTTTAAAAGATTGATTCCTTTATTTCAATCACAGGTATTTTCTGACATTATACCAGAAATAATAATATTTAACATGCAGGAAGCTTAATGCACTGTGTAACTTTTCTAGTGGAAGGTGTGCCACATTTTTGTCTTTAGAGAGATATTATTGCTTTGCTTGGTATGTTTCACAGTATGGCATTAAAAATCTGTTCAGCTTTGTTTTGTTAGAGGTGACTTAATTTTTCAGAAATACCTGGCATTCTTGTGTAAACAGCCCCGCCTCTCCACCGAACAGATCTGTACCTTGGTCTGCTCGCCACCATGGCGACAGATACGTTTAATGCCTTATTGTGAAATAATCTAACTACATCAGAAATTAGTGAAGTGTGAGAAGTGTACTCTCCCTGAGAAAATTTGCACAGTGCACTTTTAGGCTTATGCTACTTATATACAGTACTTTGCCATACTTTGATGTTCTGTTACTGTATTGTTTTTTTCCTTTTGTTGTCTTAATGAATATGAATAATGCCACATAAATAATTGTACTAATAATAATAAGTATCATTGTCTCTATGGGGACAAATAGGCCACATGTTGTACATTCCAAACAGGTTACACAGTGCACCTTTAATGATTTAATAAACAAGATAATTGCTGTATTATTGAATGTGACTGGCGACACCTTTTCTTTTGGTATGACCATAAAAATTTCGCCTCTAATGAATCCGTGTGTACTTTTCAGCATAAATTAAATAGCAGTGGTGGAATATAGCAAAATAAAAGTAGTAAAGTGCTGTACTTAAGTAAAGAAATTAGGTATCTGTGCTTTACTTAAGTCAATTTTGAAGTGGATGCTTTTTACTTGCTTTGCTTTTTTACATTTGAGAGCATCTACTGGTATCTGTACTTCCTACTCCACTTAATTTTTTAATAGGACTAAAAATTAAGTATAAGTATAAGTATAAGTATAAGTATTAAGTATTAGTATTAGTATAAGTATAAGTATAAGTTTTTTTTTATTATTATTGTGAGAGACCTGCTGAAAAGCCTGAGAGGTTTATTTATTTTTAACATGTTCATAATTTGAGCAAACAAAAATATAAAAATAGCAACAGCTAGAATAAATAAAAAATCGATTCAGTTGTTTCTGTTGAACAAAATTCAACTCAAGTCTTTATCAAAATTATTACATTTGAAGCCTTATTAGATCTCAAAATCTGTGTGAAATATTTTTTACATTTACTAGTACATTTTAAACAGATTTTAATACCTTTACTTAAGTAGATTTTTTCATGTGATGTTACTTTTGCTTCAGTATTTCTTTGCTCTGACAAGTATCAAAATCCAGTTCTTTTTCCACCAATGCAATGTAGTGTAGCTCAACATATACATATATTTGTACTTTTTCTTTGCATTGTGCAGTGAAAAAGATCCGCTGGTATGACTCACTCCCTGTAGACATCAGTATGCTACAGTATATACCTTCTGTGTTATGTTCAGGAGATTGGAGAGGACGTACCAGACATGTAAACAGGCCAGAAGTCCCAGAGAGACCCCGCAGAGAAAAGCAAAGGGGACAGCCAGAAACAGAGACAAGATCCTATAGCTCCAAACACGAGTCTTCTCAAAGCCACGCACACTGTAAAACCAGACCTGGTCTATGCTGTGAGGAGAGGCAGGTTCAGCCAGTACATCGCTCACCTCCACCTGCACATGAGAGAGGACACAAATAAAGGTCACAGCAGTACATCCATGTCCATATGCATAGACTTTACAAAGAAGTGGACTAAGGGAGTGAGAAATCAACTATTGCGCTCGGCTCCAGTCAAATGTAGCTCACGGAGGCTAGCAGTTATAGGAGAGAATTTGAAGCCAGTTTTGTAATACAAATAGGAATTTAATTATTGACAAAATAGCAAAATAAAAACAACAGTATCATGTAGAGCAGACATGGGCGTTGTGCAGCTCAGAGGCCACATATGGCCTTTTGGTTGACTTTGACCGGCTCTTGTAGCCTCCTAGGACCTGGCGTCCACAAATGTCGACTTATATGTCCAACACATTTTGGGTTGTTCAGGCACTTAATAAATAGTTAAATAAATCAATTGTGACTTTATTGTGTCCCATCAAAATGACTAAAACAAAAAATGAATGTTTTATATATAATATATGGACATATAAATATAAAAATATAACACATACTACACAAATATAATTCTTTGTTTTTGCAAGAGTTCTAGGGTCCTAGGAGGTTAAGATGATCTGGAATTACAAAATTAACATGTTTTATAATTTGATCACATGCATAGACTAAAGCTGCATTCCTTTTATTTTTCTTAAGGCAGTCTCACTTTTTCATTGTTTAGACATAAAATAAATTCTAACAGTCTTACCAGCACGTCAAAACAATTCTATTTACTGCTTTTTATAAAGAAACACAATTAATATTATGCTGACTTTAGTTTTAGCATTAGTTTAGGGTTTTGACCCAGCCCTACGTAATATTTTTTGTTTCTCATGTGGCCCCAGGGAAAAAAATAACTGCCCACCCCTTATGCAGATGCGAGTAAATACAAACATTTTAAGACCAAAATGATGAGGGGTGACAGTTTTCAATATAAAGTCAATTGGAGTCAGTGTTGATGGAACAAGAAGCGCCCATTTCCATTAATATATACAGTGGTCCATGTTCATATGCACAGTATATGTATGGATTTAAGTGGTACTCATACTAATAACTCAATAAATCATTTAAATATCAGAGCAGTTCTTTGGCCCCTGCTCAATAACACCACCATGTGACTGACTACACTAATGCAAGCAGAGAAAAACAGCTTCTATCTTCTTGTACCATGTCTTTATGCCCAGTAAAGTCTGGCAGCGGTTAAGGATTATTTTAGACATATGCTGAATTTCCATGTCAGCATCTTAATCCTGCTGTCTAAAATTTAAAAATCTAATGGTTAGCTGTGAAGACAAAAAAATGTTTTCTTAACGGTGCATTGTGTAACTTTTCTGGTAGAGGGTCTGTCAAATGCTTATGTTCTTGCTCCCACAGTGGAGTGTTTTAAGTCTCATCTTAAAACCCACTTTTATTCTTTGGCTTTTAACACCGCTGAGTTGTGTGGTCCTCTGTGTTTTTTATTTATTTTATTTATTTATTGCTATTCTGTGGCTTTGATCTTATTTTATTTTACTGGTTTTATTCATTTAAGACTAGTATGATTAAATCTGAGCGTTTATTTTATCATTATACTATTATTGTTGTTATTAGTATGCATTTGTGCAGCACTTTGGAAACTGTTTGTTTGTGAAATTGGCCGAATTACTGGTCAGATCTGTGGAGAGGCGAACCTGCTCAGTCAGAATGCCTGTTTTTCTAGGTATTTTTGAGCTATAAAACCACCTGTAATTGAATAAATGTAAGGTAGAGCTGTTTAATGTCATACTGTGGAACATTTTTGGCAAAAATTCCAGGACCCCTAACCACAAAATTACACAGTGCAGCTTTAAGCATTTGGAGTGAGCCTTATGCTGTTTTTGTTGCAGATTTTTTTGTGTATATTCCATAAAATGATTCAAGAAACCAAGAAATTCCAATTCAAACTTAAAGTACTCAAATAAAAAGACTAATAATGAACCTTGAGATGCTGGTTGATGCCGTATGGGTCCCTGCTGACTGGAGGGGCTGGAGGACTCGGGGCAGGTGTGGCAGGGGCAGTTGGAGGTTTGGAGGAAGGGGTGGGTGCTGTGGAGGCAAACTCAGGAGGGGGAGGAGCTGAGAAGGCCAGCTGCACCTCCTCTTCATCCTCGTCGTCGTCGTCAATGGGACACTCCACCAGACACTCGTCGCTGATCATCGTAACTGTGCACAGAAAGTTTGTCAAATAGTTAAATTTAAACAGCGCTTTTTCATTTCTAAGGCTTTTTTTTTTTTTTTACATCAGGGAGCCACTCACCCATTTTCACACACATTCAGACACCACTGGGGGCAAGGTGGGTTAAGTGTCTTGCTCAAGGACACAACAATAGTACTCATTTGTTGCCATGACGTCTTGCATGTTTTGTATTAAAGGTGCATTAAAGGTGCTTGTTTTTTATCTTTTGCATGTGAAGTACTTGTGTAACTTTTCAGGTAGAAGGTCCACCACCTGCTTGTCTCCATGGAGGTGTTATTACTTTGTCTGAAATGTTTCACAGTGTGGCATTAAACTTATCCAGTTACCATTCATTTAGTTATGGGTGTTTTTATTGCTCAGACAACATCCACGCCTACAGTCAGCGGGCTCTCCTCTGCGCAGATCTCACCGGTATCTTGGTCTGGTGGCATCTCCTGCTTGTTTCCATGGAGATAGTTAAGTATAATACCACACTGTGAAACTTTCCAAGCAAAGCAATTACATCGCCATGGAGACAAAAATGTAGATTATCCTCCACCAGAAAAGTTACATAGTGCATTTATAATAAACTGATTGATTAGTTTATTTTGGTTACAGGTGTATTCTGACATTATTCCAGAAACAAAAATATTAACCAATTTGTGCTACACTGTGGTGGAAGGTATCAAAGTACAAAAGTAAAAGTACAATACTTAAGTACAAATAATTGTAGGTATCTGTACTTTATTTAAGTACATTTTACAGTGCTGCTCCACTACATTTTAAGTATGGACTGAAAATTGAAGTACTTTTCTTTATGGTTTGAGACCTGCTGAAATGGCTTTTTTAAGTACATTTAATTTGAGTTTCGGTCGGTTGAATTACTTAAAATTTGCTACATTCTTTTTCAAAATCATTACATTTCATCCTTTAATTGTTCTAAAAATCTCCCCAAACTACTTTTATTTTATACTCTTTAAGAACATTTTTAAACAGGTACTTTAATATTTTTGTAGATTTTTTCACACGATAATTTACTTTAAGTAACAAAACTGTACAAAACTGTTTGTGACCGTACCAGCTTGTCAAAGCCTGATCCCCTCAGATCTCAGCAGCTAAGCACGACCCGGCCTGGTCAGTACTTGGATGGGAGACCGCTGATAAAATCATGTGCCACAGTGGGGCGCCAGTTGTTATTGTGTCCTTAGGCAAGGCACTTCACCCACATTGCCAAGTATGAAAGTGGTCTGTGTCACTGATGGTGTTGGTCGGAAGGGCTGATGGTGCAGATTGGCAGCCTCACTTCTGTCAGTCTGCCCCAGGGCAGCTGTGGCTACAATAGTAGCTCACCACCACTGGCTGTACTGTTTGTTTCCTTTTGCTATTTTTATGAACATGGCCAGTTCATACACCAGTGTACGCAGACACTGAGAGCGTCACAACAACAACAACAGTATTCATCTGTGGGAGTCGCACCACCAGCCTCACGGTCAGCAGATCTGACTAATCTCTAAATGATGTTTATGAGAGCAGTATTCAAACCACCACCTTTGGATCAGTGGACAAAAACTCTACCAACTGAGCTACTGCCACCTCACACAGACACCTACGCCTGTGTGTGGAGGGTAAGTGTGGAGATGGAGAGACAGATGAGAAGTGACACCTGTTCCTTAGATCAAAGACTGGAAACTCCTGAAACCTTCTTAAAGGTACACTGTGTAACATTTCAGCTGGGGGTCTGTCACCCACTTGTTTCTGTGGAAATGTCATTGTATTGTCTTTGTTTAGAATGTTCCACAATATGACATTTAACAAATCTGTTAAATGTCATATTAATTAATAAACAAATGTATTAATTTACATGTGTTTTTCTAGCTCAAAAATACATACAGTAGAAAAACAGGCATTCTGACTGTGAGCGGGGTTGACTCTCCACAGATCTGACCTGTAACTTGGTCTCTTTTGGTCTCCATGAAGATAGAAAGGTTTAATACCATGTAACGATATCCAAATCTCAAGGTACGATATTATCACGATATGCATCTCAAGGTACGATATTTATTGAGATATTTTGAATAGGCTAATATAATTGTAGATGGGACACTTTTTTGCTTTTAAAATACCTTCACAAGATTTTGGTGTGAATTATTTCCATCATAATCCCAAGAATTCAAGTAAAAAACATATTTTTTCATGTTGTCTGCACTGAAATGAAACATGGGATATGTAGTTCCCAGTGTTTATAAGCTGTTGCTACTATAAAACCATGCATTTAAGCAAAAAAACTTGTAAATCAATATATTGTGACAGCCTACGATATTATTGCGAGACTTTTGACAATACAATATCACGGTATTTTGGTTATTGTTGCATCCCTAGTTAAAACCATACTGTGAAACATTCTGGACAAATTTCTCCATGGAAAAAAGTTTTTGACGAACCCTCCACCAGAAAAGCTTCACTATGCAGCTTTAAATAGAAACTGCATAGAGAAATATAGACTTTAAAATGATTGAGCTTTAGTAATTATAAGAGCTGGCAAAGTTTCAGTAAAAAGGTCAGACCTATTAAACACTGATGTAAGTAGGATAATAACAGTAAACTTAATAACAGTACAAGCTAATTATACGAGAGCTATTTAAATGGCTTTCTGCAGCTGCATGAGATTCTCTGTACTAATAATAATAGTCCTGTTACATTGCACTTACCGTATTTAAAGTTCTAGGCTAATCTGGTATCAAAGAGCTCTGAAATGTGCGATAATCTCCACTGTCAGCGAGACCACTTCATCAGTCTCCCTGGTGCAATACACAAACACACACAAAGACTCACGAAACACCTGCACCTCTCAACTCGGGGCTGGACCTGGACCTGCTGGCACTAACCCCGCTAATGGGGCTAAGTCCTAGGGCTACTGTGGGCTGTGGCAAAAGAGTTTATTTTAGGCCGGGCAGTGGATGGCTCTTGGATCGCGTTACAGTAGTGGGCTAGTCTCTCCACACTGGGATCAGGACAAAGAAGCACAAAGGTTTAGTGACATTTCTTGACACTGTTCATTTATTCATTTGCACAGACAGTTTTGGGCACACTACAGTTTGTTGACATCAGCAAAGAGTGATGCAGAAGTCATGTTATTTTTGTCATAGAAGCAGAATCATTACAAAAGAATGTTCGGTTTCTATGCTTTTAAGATAAATTGAACACAACGAAACAATGTGTGTAAAACAGTTCAAATGCTATCCAACTTATAGTCTGGAATAAGAACCACTGTAAAAAACGCAAAAAACTGACTGAAATCTATAAGGTGCACTATGTAACTTTTTGTTTGGAGGTCCGTCACTTCTTTGTTTCTATGGAAATGCCATTGCTCTGCCTGGAATGTTCCACAGTAGGACATTAAACAGGTTAACCTTACATTTATTCAATTACAGCTGGTTTTATCACTAAAAAATACCTTGAAAAACAGGCATTCTGATTGTGAGTGGGTTTGTCTTTCCACAGATCTGACCTGTTACTTGGTCTGGTTTGGTCTCCATGAAAATAGAAAGGTTAAATACTACACTGTGAAACGTCCAGACAAAACAAAAACGTCTCCATGAAGAGTGATCTGAGATTTGACAGACCCTCCACCAGAAAAGTTACACAATGCACCTTTAAACAAAAAACAATGTCTGAATATTCACCTTATTTCAGAAGCTGCTGTGGGTGCCGCCATTATTTTTCAGGTTTTATTATTTTATTATTTTATGGAGCAGTCGATCCAGCAAATAAGTTCAATGCGGACTATAAAGCTGTTTTAAAGCCCCACAGAGAATCAGTGCACATGAACACTGAACATTTCACACAAATGAACCGACTTTATGTCATATTTTAATTGGCAAAATGTTTCTCAAACTCGCTATTGACATGAATGGGATTCCCGTTTAACTTGAAGTGCCACCACAAAAATGCATGGACAAAACTGGGCGGGGTGGAATAAGGTAAATACAGAATAGTTGCTTCACTTACACAAATGTAACTAGTGCACCCATTTCATATTTGTAAAAGTCAGTTAACATAAAAATAAATACAAATTGTAAAGTAAAATCAAAGTCAGATTTTTAACTCCTTACAGTGGTTCTATTCCTTTCCTGGTAAAGTCACAGTATGAACACACCTCCAGTGAAAATGCTCACACTTCAGAAATAGACTCGCAGATGTTTTAGTTCGAAAGATAAGCTGAGGACCAGGATGTAAAAATGAGAGATTACGTCAGTCAGAATTCACAGTTAAATGCAGAGGAGCGCTCGTGGCTGTCCTCTCTGACGGGGGCCAGTTTGGCTCTGGAGGCGAGGGCACAGTTTCCAGTGAGTGGACCAAAGCCCTGAGTGAAGAGAAACTCATCCATCCTTCAGTTACCACACCTGAGTCAGCTCGTCTCTAACTCTAAAGCCCTGAGATCTGGCCTTTCGTCAGGCCGAAGCTCACATACGACGGGGAATGAATGCTTTATACAGATCTGTGTAAACAATGGGAATAGAAATGCTGTCACGTAAAAATGGTCTCATACAAATTATTGTTATTCAGTTTGTAAACAATGTGCTAAAATGGGAGAAAAATTCAATGTTTCCTCAGCAGGTGATTCTTATCTCTCTATGCCTTAAAGTAGAGCCACTCACTGCGCTTGGTAAATTATATCTGTTTAAAGCTGCACTATGTAACTTTATGGTTGGGAGTCCGTCACCTGCTTGTTTAATAATAATAATGCAACAGTTTTATATAGTGCTTTTTTGGACACTCAAAGACACTTTACAGAACATTATTCATTCTCTGTGCACTGGTAAGCTCCCATTGCAGCTACAGTTGTCCTGGGGCAGACTGACTGAAGCGTGGCTGCCAATCTGAGCCTGAGACTTTCATACTAGGTGATGTGGGTGAAGTGCCTTGCCTAAGGACACAATGACAACTGGCGCCCCACTGTGGCATCTGGTTTTCCCAGCAGTCTCCCATCCAAGTACTAACCAGACCGAGCCTTGTTTACCTTCTTAGATCTGACGGGATCAGGCTTTGACAAGCTGGTATGGCCACATGTTTCTATAGATATGTCACTACTCCAACTGGAATGTTACACAGTATGATATTAAACAGCTGTACCTTACATTTATTCAATTACAGGTGGTTTTAAAGCTCAAAAATACCTAGAAAAACAGGCATTTTAACTGTGAGTGGGGTTGCCTCTCCACAGATCTGACCTGTAACTTGGTCTGGTTTGGTCTCCATGAAGATAGAAAGGTTTAATGCCATACTGAGAAAAATTGCAGGCAAAGAAATAATGTTTCCATGGAGAAAAGCATTTGACGGACCCTCAACGAGAGAAGTTACAAAAGTACTTCAGCTGCCTTGAAGGTAACTGACGGAAAAGTGTCTGGCAATAAAAAGAACAACAGTCTTTAACCATAATGCATTTATACTATATCTTTCATGAGAGCGTTATAACAGCATTTCCACACCCCTGTCTCCACTTTTTACACAGCAATGGATGATCTCATGTGTTTTCTGAAGCTGCATGCTTTTGAACACTTTCAGTCTTTGAATCACACAAAATTATTAAGCACAGTTTTACACAGAAGTTACATAAATGTGAGAATGTGAAGGCACTCCTAGACACAGGCCCCAGATCAGTGTTCTTCTTTTAAATAAAACTATTGGTGAGCTGATCTCAGACCTGCCACTAGGGAGCAGCGCAATACCGTCAAGTTAAGTTTGATGTCCACTCTTCTGTTCAGTCTTATGATGCCTTTACATGGTTCTCCCAAAAGATGCAAACAAAAAGAAGTCCACACAATAAAATAAAACCACCTGGACACAACAAGAAGAATTAGACAAAATGGCACATATATTCTACACGTGTCAAAGAATCTTCAACCTCCGGCGCTGAATCAATGTCATAAAGTAAGTATGTGCTCGGTCAGTCCACGGGTCTGAAAAGGACACGACCTCGAAGCCCAAAGCCCCCCTTCTTAGTGACGGGCTGGGGCAGAGGAGGGGAGGTGTTGGCGCTGGAGGAGGAGGCAGGGGGCGCTGTGGTGGGCGGGACAGGCAGAGCAGATGGTTGTACTGCAGGCTGGCGAGACAGAAGCTCTTTGAACACGGAGTTCATCTGACGGCTGATCATCTCCTGTAGAGCAGAGAAAGATCGTGTTAATGGACGATAGTGGTTCAGATGTGATTAATATTGATACTTTGCAGCTCATTAGGGTGATCAGACGTCCCAATTTACCCGGGACAGTCCCAGGTTTGAGCCATGTGTCCCCTGTCGCTGCAGATTTATACAAAACCATTGATTTGTTGCAGTTTTATACAAGAATGTCCTAGGGGTCCCTATTTTTGATCTATTTGACACCCACCGACACTAAAGAGTGACATAAATTGCCATTTGTTTTGGTAAAATACAGAAAAGCTGTTTATAAATGACAAAATAAATGTGACTCACTGACTCACATCTTAGTCAGGAATGGGCCGGGTGCAGAACAGTCCTCCTTAATTATTCACTCGTTTCACAATTTTATTATTACTAATCACCCCAAACCGAGGGTGTCCCAGTTTTTGATTATGAAAATCTGGTCACTCTACAGCTGATGTTATCAAAGTTCCCTAGGGGTGTGATGCTAACTGAAAGCACTGCTCTGTTAGAAGCTGTTACTCAAGTTAGACTTAATCTGAGCTTTATTTTAACACAATCTGACCAGAAAGAACTGATTTAGTTGGAACTACAGCATATGATCTGATTGGTGCACTTAAACAAGTCTCTCACACGCAAACAGTCACAAGTTAGCTCGCATTAGCCAAATGTTTTTCTCAGTTCACTATTTTTGTTGAAAATCAAACACCTAAACAGGATCATAAACACCCATATTCATCACAGGCTCCTGTGATGTTTAAATCCATTTTGTGTTTATTTGTGAGTTTCAAGACAAACTTTTTTGGCAGTATTTGCAGATGTCTGCATTGTGTCTCCATGGTAACTGGTGAACATTCTGCCAGTACACATGCACGTACAACACCCAACAGTCACTTCATAGTATCAACATGTATGAATGTGGCAGAATGTTCAGAAGTTGTGTTTTAGGATTGTCTAAAAACTCTAGGAAAAAATACAAAATTTTATGGATTTGATTTCAACAAAATGTCAGAGTGACTACCGTATTTTCTGCATCATAGGGCGCACTCATAAGCCTCCAACCCCATCAAAAAATTACTGCACACCCTGCAATCCAGAGTGCCCTATACACAAATCCACTCGGGTGTCCCAGTACGACTTCAGTAGACTCCAAACCGCACCACCCACAGCGCACGCAAACACCCACGGAGCAGACAGCGACTGCACAGCGAAAAACACCCGCAGCCACACTCATCACTCCACGTGGACGAGGAACAGAACGGAGGAACGAACCGTGTGCAATGTGCCACTTCTAGCCACAACTGAACAACTGAGTCACTGTGCACACGCCAAACAAAGTCCAACTGATCCATCTAACTGTTGTGTTTCATTTAAAGTCCGGTGCGGTTTATTTGTGAAAAAAGTTTGAAAATAGACCATTCAATGACAGTGCGCCTTATAATCCAGAGCGCCCTATAGTGCGGAAAATACGGTAACTGAAAAACTGTTGGCTTATCATAGACTGTATAAAAGAAGTGGACTAAGTGAGTGTGACGTCACCCACAGTTTTCAGAGCGGCTCAAATGTGGCTCGCAATGCTAACGGTTACAGGAGCAAATCTGGAGCCAGATTTTATGTTATGAATAGGATTTTTTTAACATACAAAATTGTGAAAAACAAAACAAAATCAGGATCATGCACAGTGGGTTAATATGAACATTTTAAGACCAAAATGACAAGGTTCATTGCAGTAGGGGCGACAATATCCTAATGTAAGGTGAACTTCCTATTTGGCACACGGTGGCTAGCGTGTTAGCTATGTCCACTCATATATACGGTCTATTGTCTACACGCGGAATAAAGAGTGAAGACACAATGCCACTTTTGCGTGTTCTGTTCAGATGTCATATAAAGATAGCCTAAAATAGTTTGAAAACTCCAGAAAAAATACAAAATTTGATGGATTGATTTTCGACAAAATGTGAGCAAGACTAACTGAAAAACTGTTGGCTAATGCAAGCTAGCCTGTGACTACAATGCTACCTGAGAGAGACTAATTCAACAGCCCAAAACAGCCCACCTTTTGTAGTTCCAGCTAAGTCAGATCAGATTGTGTTCAAGACCCAGATTTAAGTCTATTAACTTGAATAACAGAGCTTCAGACAGAGTCGTGCCTACAGTTAGCATCATGTGAATAGTGTGACATCAGCTGCGAAGTATCAATACTAAAAGTGCTTCAGATGTGACAAATATAAAAGCTTTTATAATCACATTTCAGCTTCCTCCACTATTTCACAGCTCTCTACAGTGACATCGTTCATTTTCTTAGATGACTAACGAGCTCATTATGACTAATAAAAATGATTCAGACACATCCAGGGTAAAGAGGGACATCTTGTATTTGTTGTTCTTGATGTAAACCTATCTGGGGGCTGGCTAAACATTTATGCTATATTATTTTTTATCCTTAACCCACAACCCATTGTATAGCTCTGCCCATCATTGCGTAGTTTATAGAGAAGTACATAGTCTAAATCAATAATGTACTTTATTGACTGGGTAAACCATCTCTTGTTCTCTGCTGATAAATTATTAAAATGTCATGGTACTTGAAATAGCATTCTGTATTGATTTTTGTAAGTTAGCGCATCACAATGGTTAGTTTATGTAGAGAGAGTTAAAATGTTAAATTTAAAGGGCCCATATTACGCTATTTTCTGATCTATGTTATGATTTTTTTTTTTTTTACTCCATACACCTTCATTAGAATCAACTGGATGATTTCAGACCAGGAATTGCCAATCTCTCCTAAACTAAACGTAAAAGGTACAAGGTGGAACAGAACATTTTAAGCTTTGGAGAAGTACACACACTAATAAACCAGGATTATTCAGATATGTGTGAATGAAACAAAACACAACTCCAGGTATGTTGTGATGAAGTAACAACATTATAACATGGCTTAAAGCTCCAAAGAGTAAATTTTGCGTAATATAAGACCTTCAATTTATAATTTCAAGATTTGTTCAGGTTTAGTTTTAATAATGTTGTAACCTTGTCGATTGCAGTCTTGTCAGGCTGAACAAAGCCCGGTCTGTCTGTGGGTCTGAAGCCTCCTTGCCGCAGAGTGTCCAGGGTGTGTCTTCTTTCCTGGGACCTTTATTTAAACAAAGAAAATGTACTTGTATTATACATTAATAACTGTTGTTAAATTGTTTCCCTCAGGTTTTTACAAGACTATAAATATTAGAATCTCATCATATTTTTTGTCACTTATTTCAGAAAGTCAAACCCACATATTATATAGACTTATGACACGTAGAGTGAGTTTATTTCTTGAATGTTTATGATTTTGCTTTGAAATTAGATTTTTCATAATCTGTAAGGCACATCATAAAAAATTAAGAAATAAACTCTTGAAAATTTTCACTCTATGTGTCACGAGTCTATATAATATGTGGGTTTGACTTTCTGAAAAGAGTGATAAAAAATATTGAACATTTTCTTATTATTTGTGATAGACTAGTATATATAGTATATATATTTAAAAAATGAGTAAATATGTCACTTATTGCCTGTACTACTCAATAACAGACTGATTAAAGATTAATCAGTCGTCTACTCTCCTGGATTTATTTAGTGATTTAGTTTGATTTCAACTATGGGGGCAAAAATGTTACTATGGCAGAACCACCATAGTCCACTGGTAAACAGTGATTGTTAAACTATAACTCGTATCAAATAGAAAACTTACACTGGAAAATGCTTTGTAGCTGGAGAAGTGGGTTGTTTGTTTGGGCTCACTTCACTTCCTCTCTGTCGTCCTGGCAACGAAGCACTGTCACTGTTCACACGCATCCTGACACAACACAAGAGAAACTGCACTTAACATAGACTGTATAATACATGAATAAAGATACATTTACCATGTTAGAAGGAAAATAATCCAAATTAATGAAAATATGAAAACCCAGTTACCCAATCAGAAAACAGAGAACACAATTCCACATTCCATCGCTTGGGCAAATGATACTAAACTGAGAATTCTGATTCCAACACAAGTTTCTCTGTCTTCATTATTCAACTGTATCTCGACCTGAAACCTTCGCACGACAGAGCTCAGTGCCAAACTTAAATAAATGTGTAATTCATAACTCAGTCCTCATGGGATCAGCTCATTTCTGCCCTGAGCAGAATGAACCACCGCCTCATAGATGCTGAGTGATTTCAGCCTAATTCTATGAAGGCTAAAAAGGCTAAAGACAGGAACTCCTGTCCTGAGGCCAATATCAGGAAGCAGAGACCAAAGCCAAGGAGAGCTGCTGCTCCAGAAGGATGTTCTGGACTCACAATAGTCCATGTGGCCAAACCTGAACCCAAAGTCCTGGAAACACAACTGTACTTCAACCTTGGGTCTGACTTTCCCGCTCTCAAGAAGAGAGAACCAGTGGAGAAAAAGATTCTAGATCTCTTCATTGCAAAGACCCAACTGAACAAAAAACTTCTCTAATGTGATCCACATCCAACCTTCGTCAGTGAAGTCTCCTAAGACTCCTAAGGCTAAAGCTGCAGTAACTGTGCGGCCCATTAGGGAGAAGCACATCCTCCCTGACTATTCTCACAAGGAGGCCATAGACTTTTTTATAAAACAGACCAAACCAGCACTAGTCACTTTTGTTCAGGATGAGGAAGTGACTGTACCTGCTGCACCTGTGGCCCAAGCTCAAGTTTCTTCATAGAAAGCTCTACACCATCTTTAAGGTGGATGATGAGATGAAATACACCAGAGAGCAGGTCCTGGAGATGTTCATCAGGCAAACCAAACCAGTGAAAAGGCCAGCAGTAATAGGGGAGCATTTGGAGCCAGTTGGAGAGTAGGTTAGCTATGACCATTTATATATACAGTCTGTTATAAATAAAAGTATATTTTCAAATAAGATATGTAATAAAATCCTTTACGTTTTGATTAAACTCTGTTTTCTTAAATACATTTTCAGAGTAAACATCTCCTTAAAGCATAATAACATTTGTACTCATAAACTGTATGCATGGACATACTCTGTGTCCTGTTTTACATCTAAGCAATACTTAAAAAACAGCCTTCACACACTTCATTCACTTCAATGGCTGCAGAAGTGGTTGGTGAGTGAACATTCAAAGTAGATTCTGAAGTGAAACAAGTTAAAAAAATAAAAAATCTCATGAAATACTGAAGTGAAACTACAAAGTGAAGTATTGTTTTGAACTTTATTTTCATTACAGAGCTCAGCCGATTACTAATGCACTATATTAATTATTTGGAAGCATCTCTCTTTCAGTGGCTGCGGTTCCAAGGGAGCTCTAAATCAGATCAGATTATTATCAGATCAGATTTTAGTTACAAGATTATTAAAATCACATTGTACACAGCAAAATAATTTAATTTCTTTCTGATAATAGTCCCCCTAAGGTCTTAAAGGTATGGTTGCACAGATCTCACTTTTTCAGTTTCAATACTGTTTATAATACTATTGCTTTAAGTATCAACCTATACCAGAGCAGAGACTGAAAACTGCATTTATTTAATTTAAACAAAAATAAAATAAGACAAAACTGATCCAAATGTGTTATGTAGCTGTTATTTATCCCACAAGTAACTACTGAACAGCTCTGTATAAATAAAGGCTAAAAAATTATGACACTTTCTGGGTTAACTATAGCTATTTAAATGTAACATAAATTTACACATTAAATAATCATGTTAACTGAAACATTTCCAGAAAATTATGCACTATCAGCAGTGAAATCCGATACCAATATTGTATCGTTGGTTGGCCTTTTTGAAGGTCCAGAAATCTGATTATAATCAGATTTAGGTGTGCATGTGAACATAGCCAGTGTCAGCCATAAGAAGGACAATTAGCACATTAAACACTATTTTTGCAGATACAATACCAAAAAGATACCAAAAGTTTGAAGTCACTCTCTCCTTCACTTTTAATATGTATAATACTTTCTACATTTTATACACAGAAGTAAATATATGAAATAAGATGTATGGAATTAGATAGCAAAAAAAACTGCAATGTTTTATATATATAAATTTTAAACCCAAATCCTCAAATTACTTATCTTTTGCTTTGTTGAAAAACATTTAGTAGAACTTTTTTTTTCTTTACTAAATAATTCCATAGACCTTACTTCATATATCTGAAGTTTTCAGTATCTAAAAATATAGAAAAAAAATTTACAAGAGGGTGTGTCCAAACTTTTCTCTGGTCGTGTCATTCTGAATATTCTGGTATAATGAGGTAATGGGATAAAGTTGAGATCTGTTAAAAGTCTTGCTTAACAATTTCACATCATACGCAGTCTCATCCTGATCTCCATTCAATAATTACAGTATTCTGAACAACAACTATTTAAGATTTACAGATGTTTTGAAGTCATGTTTGTGTTTGTACCTGGTGGGGTTTTCCATTGGATCTTCAACTGTCAGATTACCAGTGCTCCCTCCCCCACCGCCCATCTCATCCCTCTTTCCTCGCTCATTCCTGGAATAACACAACATGGAGATACAGTATTCATCACATTTTTAGTACAAAAAAATTAAAAGACACTAAAGGGCTCATATTATGCTATTTTCTGATGTATGTTATAATGTTGTTTCCTCATCACAAACATGGCCTAGCTGAAGTTTTGTTTTGTTTCATTCACACATGTTTAACACACAAACCCTGCAGATTTAGGCTGAGTTCTTCTCTCAAACATAAAACTCTCTGTTTCACTTTGTGATGTCATGTGGTAATACAGGAAGTGCTCCACTGTGTTTTTAAACTCCATACATACAGTAGACCTTCACTAGAATCATTTGGATAATTTCAGCCCTGGAATTTCCCATCTCTACTGAAGTAAAGGTAAAATGTAGCTGTTTACAGGAAAACTACTACTTCGTGACATCACAAGGTAGAACAGAGCATTTTGAGCTTTGGAGATGTAAAGAGACTAATAATAAAGTGTTACTCAAACATGTGTGAATGAAACAAAACACAACTCCAGGTATGTTTTTGAGGAGGGAACAACATTATAACATGGCTTAAAGCTCACAAGAGTCAATTTTAATAACAATATGGGCTCTTTAAAGGTGCATTGTGTAACTTTTTGATTGGGGGGCTGTCACCTATTCGCAGAAAGTTAAAATTATGGAAGATTACTTTTGTAAGAAGTGAATTTCAAAGAGTCAGATCAGGCATTTTTCTCTGACCTACTGTAGGAGTATATCTGGCAGCAGAGACACCAGTGAATTATTTTAAGCCGTTCTCTAAATGTGCTAATGTTGACTGGAGTGTGAGCTCTGTGTATGTGTCACATCTTTTTCTGCTGAATCACTTCCACTGCTATTTCTAACTATTGCAAAACTACAGAAATTAATGGAAATTAATTTAGGTTATCTTGTGTTATCTTGTGTTATCCTGTGGAGTTTAGGTATATGTTTGAAGTATTGTTTGTATGTATGTTTATTAGCAAATTTATCAGGACATTATCTTTGAACAGAGCGTGTAATATTGTTCAGTATTGTATTGTTTTTCATTATTAAAAGGTTACATTTCAGACCTGTTTTTCTATGTATTTTTGAGCAATAAAACCACCTGTAATTGAATAAGGTAGAGGTGTTTAATGTCATACTGTGGAATAGTATACCTTGAAACTAAACTAAATGATGAAAAACTGTTGTTGTTGTTTTGCTGTTGAGGAGGAGAAGGTGGAGAGAACAGATGTCTCCTGTTTGTTCATCTTTTTAAATCCTGTAAGTCAATTTTTTCATCTAATACAGTGGTCCCCAACCTTTTTTGAGCCACAGACTGGTTTTATATCTGAATATATTTCGCGGACCGGAGGGGTTTGAGGGGGCGTATGGAAGGAGGTGCTATATGGTTAAGTCCTGGCTAAACCCTGTTTTAGTCCTCTTTTAGTCCTGGTTTTAGACCTGTTTTAGACCTGTTTTAGACCCTGTTTTAGACCTCTTTTAGACCCTGTTTTAGACCTGTTTTAGTTGTGGTTTCGACCTGGTTCAACCTGGTTTCCACCTGGTTTCGACCTGGTTTAGTTTAATCTAATGTGTATAACATAAATACTTACCCATCCAAAAGATTAATATATTTGTGTGGGATGAGTCCCTTGACCCCGCCCACTTCTCCTCTCCACCAATCACAGGAGGCTTTGCTGTGGAGTATCATGAGCTCTCCCTGTTTGAAGGACAGTTCTGCCGGTGATCTGGCCACATAGTCGAACATCGCCACAGCCTCCAGTTCTGAACACAGCACGTTTTCAATGTGGTCAAAAAAAAAGCATAAACAAGCAATGACAGTACATGTTATCAACAAAATTTATACATCTAACTCAAACTTGTGCTGTAAATCTGATCCACAAATTACAACACAAAACTATTGTCATTAGTGTGCACTTTGATGCACTTTTACTGGTTTAAAAAGGAGCAAAAATCACAAAAACTGAACTTGAAAAGCCGGGGCCTTAACCTGCACAATGGTGTGTTAATATATCAACAGACACTTGCTGTGTTTACATGCACACCAAAATCTAATCTGATTTCTGGACATTACAGATTATTTAAATGACATGCAAACCCCAAAAAATCAAGTATTCAGAGGGGCTACAATTGAGAGAAATCAAGCAGTTTTACATGATATTAAAATCCTGTAGAATAATTGTATTTATTTGTTTTTACACTGTTGTTTTTATTACATTTTTATTGTATTAAATAATCACTTTTTTAGTTTTTCTGTGCAGCACTTTGGAAACAGCCTTTGTTTATGAAAAGTGTTACAGAAAGAAAGTGGATTGGATTGGATAGTTTTATAATCCCCAAATCTCCAAAAATAATCAGATTTTTAGTGTGCACTGTCTTATCTCAAAGTTCTGAATCTCCAGAACATCAAATATATGTATATATGGAAATAATACAGTAGTTTTTTTTACTCACCCTCTTCACTGGGCAGATGTTCTGTCTCCCCATCTCCTTCTTCAGTTATTGGTTCACTGATAGAGAAATAAATGTCACTGGTTGAACAACATTTTATTTCTATATTTATTTATTTATTTATTTATTTATTCTACATTTAAAAAGTGCACTGTGTAGCTTTTCACCATGGAAATATTATTGCTTTGTCTCACAGTGTCTATCTATCTACATGGAGAACAAACCAGACCAAGTTACAGGTCTGATCTGTGGAAAGGCAACCCCGCTCACAATCAGAATGCCTGTTTTTTTTTGTGTGTATTTTTGAGGTATGAAACCACGTGTAATTGCATAATTGTAAGATATAGCTGTTTAAGGTCATACTGTGCAACATTTTAGACAGAGAAATGACAAACCCATAGAAAAAAAAGCAAGTGACAGACCCCAACCAAAAAGTTACATAGTGCACCTTTAGGTAAACAAAAAACAAAACATAGTGATTATTTCCATATCCCAAATAGAGGTGTGGCTTGCTATGAATGCACTCTCTCACCAGTACTCCTGCTCCAGTGTCATGTGCTTCTCGTAGACAGGCCCGGGCACCTCTGATTGGCTGGGAAAGATGACGTCGTGCTGGAGGATCATGGTCTTGACAAGCTCGTTGACTTGTGGTTGCTGGGCGACGGCATCATCGGAGTCCACCCCTCGCAGCAGACTGGGCCCGAAGCACACGGCCAGATTATACGGCTGCATCATGTTCTCATCGCTGTACTGGGACACACTGGTGTAACAAAGAATAATAATAATGCATCAGGTTCATATAGCACTTTTTTGGACAATACGAATGTTCATGGTCCTGTTTAGGTGTGATTTTCAGCTAAAGGTGAGCATGACTAACTGAGAAAAATGACTAAAATATTATTTGAGAGTTCACGCTAAAACCTCCTTTATGGTTAGATTGTGTTAAAATAAAGCTTAGATTTAACTCTAACAAAGCCCAGAGAGATAGTGCCTCCAGTCAGCACAACAACCCCAGGGAGCGTTGATGACATTAGCCGCAAAGTATCAATAATATCAAATCTGTATAATTATAATGTAGCAGAGTATAGCCCTATTCACACGGGATAAGTACAACCTAGGGAAGTCTGGTAATTTCCAAATTACTGCCCCACCTCTGTGTTACTTGCAGACTTCGCATGGGATAAGCGAAGTCCGTAAATTACTCTGTTTTACTGACATTGACTGATATTGAAAGAGAAAAGAATGCGGAAAGAAAAGAAAGAGGTAGAAAATTCGCTCAATTACAAACAACAACAAACACTGAGTTGCAGATTTGCATGGGACTAGTATTATCACTGGACGTCTGTGTTTGGAGAAATATAGTAGGTAATTTGTGGCGGAATTTTTACTTTACAAATTACATGGCGTATTTGCACGGGATCCTCCGCAATTATTACAGATCACCAAAGATTCACAGTTAACACTAATCCCGTGCGAATACGGTTTATACAAGTAACTATTCCTGCCTTTTTTCTTGGCTAAAAATAGATGTATCACTTTATCCTTAGAAATATACCATTCAATAACAAAGTCATTACGTGGCTCGAAACAGAACATTGGGTTATTTTGTTTTTTCTTAGATAAAAAGTGATGACTTACTGATTCAGGAAAGCAAAAAGGTATCGCATCACAATGAGCAGTGGCCGAGGAAATGAGGAGACAATAGCTTTAATCTGAGCAGCTTTCTCAGACACAGACTCAATTTCTGCAACGAAAACAACAACAGGAAAACAGATTTATTTAAACCGTGAACCTACAAATGTTCTTCATTGGTGGGAAAAAAATTACACCCAACCTGAAGAATTATGCTACTTCAGTGCAGTTAAATTAAAAGGAGATGGCAGGTTACAATGTGTTTCTTATGCAAATGCAGTGCGTTTTGAAAAATAGAAAACATAACAAGCATCAGAGTAAGACAGAGGAACCAAAGTGTGTTTCACAGTCTTGCATCAACAGCAGTCAAAACAACATCTATAAACAAGATTCACATGAGAAAATTAAGAAGTTATTAGTCTGAAATGTTTATTTATTTTAGAACAACTTTATTAACTCTCCAGTCTGTATTGACTAAAAGGAAAATTTATGAATAAATACTTTTCAAAACTATAAATAATACAGACTTCAACTGAGATATGAGATACACCTGCAAGTATTACATAGTAGTTAAAGTTGTATTGTGTAACTTTTCTGGCGGAGGGTCCGTCAAATGCTTTTCTCCAAGGAAATGTTATCACTTTGTCTGGAATGTTTCACAGTATGGCGATAAACTTTTCTATCTTCGTGGAGACCAAAGACAACTCCCTGTCAGAACCACCTGTAATCGAATAAAAGTTAGGGTTGCTCAATGTCATACTGTGGAACATTCGAGGCAAAGCAGTGACATATCTGTAGAAACAAGCAGTTGACGGACCCTCCACCAGAAATGTTACACAATGCACCTTTAAAATGAACTAATGATAAGCTAAACAATGAATGCAGACACCCATTAGGGCAGACTTAGACTTATACAAACACAATATATTATAATAACAAAGAGAAAAAATATAAATGGTGATTTTTACAAAACAAAAATGCCAGAGAGCTACTAATTTTAGCAGTCACAAGAAACTGATGTTAATTAATCAGCATAATATGTATAATTTAGAAATCCCTTGGAGAGCGAGTTGGAAGGGGGTACTTTTGAAGCTACTACCCCTGCATTTGAGTAAAAACGCAATTATGCTTGTGCATTAACTATACATGGATGGCAAATTTTACCAATAAACAAAAAGGATATGAACAGTACTTTCATATCAGATATTGTGCACAGAAAGTGAAAGCTAGAATACTGAGTGCAGCACTTAGAGAATGTGTTAATATTGGCATAAGAAAAGCAACATAACTTAAACATATATATAACTGTTCATGGTTTTCTGCTTCCTTTTGTATGCTTTATGTGGACTTTTTCACATTCAAAAGATATAAGATATTTAGTTTTTAAATTGTCAATCGCTATGGCAACGGCTCTAATTTTTCATTATTCTGAAACCCACGGATATCTATCAATTCACATTCTCTTCTATCATCTGTCTATCTTCCTATCATCTATCTATCAGTTCACCATATTGTTTTTATTACATATTTGTCATATATTGTGTATTACATTTTTTCCTCTCCATCTCCTCAAAAAAAAAAAAAAAAAACAGAACCTTTGACCCAGAGCTGTGCGATTAACTTTTCTGTCATTATTTGTTATGTACGTGCACATAGAGACAGATAGACACTTACGGACACAGTCGAGCAGCTGGTTGTAGGAGTCATAGGGAAACAAAGGAGGCTCCAGACCCCTGAAGTACAGCTTTAGTACACCGGCCACTGAGTCCAGGTCACACTCACTGTCCGACAGAGGGTCCTCTCCTGTAACACACAGCAACTACTGATCTGAAAAAATTGATAAAATGGTCTATACAGAACAAATAAATAAAATGTGAACAACAGATGTACCGGCAATCTGGACACTGTTGATAATATTGCTGTTAATAAATATACCATCTTAAAGACATCTACAAAGGGCCCATATTATACTATTTTCTGATTTATGTTATAATGTTGTTTCCTCATCATAAAGCCTTTAGTTGTGTTTTGTTTTATTTACACATCTATAACATACAAACCCTGCATATTTAGGCTGCGTTGTTCTCCCAAGCTGAAAACACTAGAATCATTTGGATAATTTTAGCCATAGAATTTCCAATCTATAAAAGGTAAAAGGTAGTAAATACCTTGAAAACTAACAGTTTGTGACAATACAATTACTCAAACTTGTGTGAATGAAACAAAACACAACTCCAGGTACGTTTTTGAGGAGGTAACAACTTTATAACATGACTTAAAGCTCACAAGAATCCATTTTGCACAATATAGGACCTTTAAAATCCTGGCCATCTTCAATTAATTTCTGATGTGTTTAAAGTATAAAAAGCTTCTTGTCCTCTAAGGTAAGTGTCAATATTCTTTTACCTAGATTAGATTCAAAATCTCCTGTCTCTTTTGCCTGTTCCTTGTACACTGTGTTCGCTCATTCAGTTCTAACTCTTTCAAATTGAACTTCTGACAAGTCATGCAAACAGTGAGACAAAGGGAAGAATAGCTGTCACAATTAATCTTTAATGTTCCCCGTGTATTCACTGAAGAGAGTGATGGCTGAAACAGAGACAGGTCTGTTACTTTCAACAAAGAAAGTGTTGACTACTGCAAATCTAGCAAGAATACATAAATGTAGTTTGCACTGTTAAAGGTTCTGTATTACACAACACTGACATTTTGAGCTTTAAGTCATAGTATTATGTTGTTACCTCTTCAAAAATACCTAGAGTTGTGTTTTGTTTCTTTCACACGTTTAACACACAAATCCTGCATATTTAGTCTGAGTTTTTCTCTCAAATGGAAAACAGCCTGTATAACTAATCTAGGAAGTACATCATTCTGTTTTTAAACTCCATACAACTTCACTAGAATCCTTTGCATAATTTCATTCCTAGAATTGAAAGTTGCTACTGAATTATAGGTAAAAAGAAGCTGTTAACTTGAAAAGGATTACTCAAACATGTGTGAATGAAGCAAAACACAATTCCGGGTATGTTTCTGATGAGGTAACATTTGAACTTAAAGCTCACAAGAGTCAATTTTGCAGAACAGAGGATCTTTAACTACAGTTCTCATTACATTCCAGCTCTGCCTCTAATCCTCATTATGATGTTAAGTGTGACTGTACCTCTCTCAAAAGCGTCTCTAATGAGGTTGACTTCCCTCTGAGATCCAGGAACCCGGAATATCCCCTCATGATGCAGACCTGACCAGGGAGCAGAGCCACTTTAAGTACGCCACAAAAGATTTCCAACTGTCCAAAAGCTCCACAGAACTGACTCACCATGAAGGTTTATGAAACGAATACAGCTCTCAACCACCACAGGGATCTGCTGCCCCGAACTCTGCACAGGGAGAGGACCACAGATTAGAAAAAAAGCTCAGAGAGATATGGGCACAGAACGGTTGGTGAATAGCTCCACAAAAGAAACGCTGACTCAAAAAGGCTTAAGGGCCACGTCTACTCAGATATTCCAGAGTGGGCGCTCAATCGCAAATGCCATTTAACAAAAACAGTCTGTGGGTGAACTGCGAATGATAGTCTAAACAGAACCAGCACATGCACTGTCTATGATGTGAAAAGTAGCCACATCATAATCTGTATGGATGTAACATGCACAGGGAGCATGGAATCCAGCGTAACGAGGATGGAAGTGGTTGATTAGTTGAGCATTGAAGGTAATTAATGAGCTAAATCAAATCAAAATTAGAGATGCACGATCCAGTTTTTTTCTGTTCCAATATCGATGTCAATACTTTGGCTTTAAGTATCTGCAAATATCAGCTGATTCTAGGACAAAGACTGAAAATAGCGGTAACACTTTAATTTTAGGGTACACTCATTAACATCTAACTACCTAATAATTTGCATAGTTGTAAATGGTTAATTTGTCATTAAATGTAATTCCCCAAAAGTTTATTCTGCTATTAATTAGACATTTACACTATCCCATTAATGCAGTCCTTATTACTGCTTATTAGAATGATACTAGGCCATTTTTGTATATAAATTATTATTCTAATAAGCTGGTGTTGTTAAGGACTAGTAGCAGAAGAAATGTAGTTTTTAGTTTTTTGTGCCAAAAGCTTAATAGAATCATAATTCATAGACAAAAACGGCTTACTATCATACTGATAAGCAGTAATAAGAAGTGTATTAATAGGAAAGTGTTTTTAAATGTCTAATAATATCAGAATAAGCTTATGGGAAATTAGACATTAATAAGGACTGAATAAATACTAATTAATGATAAATTAACCATCTACAACTGTGCTAATTAGTGGGTAGTTGTGTACCCTAAAATAAAGTTACCAAAATAGTGTTTATTTTCTTTAAAGTATAAAATTATCCAAATATATTTTAGAGCCCGACCGATATGGATTTTGCTGTGGCCGATATGAAACCGATATAATGACAGTTGGAGCTGCCGATAGCCGATATAATCGCCGATATATTTAGTGATGTAAAAATTCACTGTAAATGTTGAATTGTTTAAAAAACTTAGGTTTGGCTCTGGTGGATTTTAAATTGGGTTTATTTAAGCAACATTTATTGTTATTCTGCCTCTTTACATCATATTTACAGACAGTAGTTCGGCTTAATGGCATTTTTGCATCACATTCTAGACACTAGTGATGGGTATTCCAGTTCTTTTTAGAGAACCGGCTCTTTTGGCTCGGCTCTCTAAAAGCTGCTGGTTCTTTTGGCTCCCAAGCGGCTCTTCAGATTGTTTTGTTGCAAGCAGGACTAAAGGACGTCTAAAGCAGGACTGAATCAGGACTGAACCAGGTCTAAACCAGGACTGAAAAAGGACTAAACCGGGACTTATTTATTTTATGCTAAACTACAGTCAAATATGCTCGGGTTTTTTTTTTTTTTAATCCTACGTACACGCAAATTTCTCAAAGTTTCGTTTTTAGCCGCTGCCGCTGTCAAACCACGAATCTGCACGCGGCGTGAAGAGAAAAAAAGTGAGAGAAAGAGAAAACACGGCTCCCAATAAGGATCAGGCTCCCGTCGTTCCCTTTAAAGAGCCGGTTCTAAGAGTCATTTCGTTCGCGTTCGCGACGGACCCATAACTAGTAAAGAAAGTAGCGCTATTAGCCTTTAGCCGTAAATACGTGCGCGCCGCGGTAATTAATTATATGCGCAAATGTCATAATTCACACGTCTGTTCACAGCTCATTTACATATCAGTGCAGGTCCAGTAGCAAATATACGGCCAATATAGTCACTTTAGAACAGACCAATAGAAAACAGTCTGTTTATGTGCGGGAGCTACAGCAGCTAACCCATAACAAATGACAAAAACTAGCTTCAGAGTCGACATATTTCCAACACTCACCGCTCATACAGGCTCCTCCTCACATCACAAATCTGCACTAATAAATGTCCTTTTAATCCAGACTCAAACCGATTGTCCGTAAAAAGAATATAATCTCAGTGTTTGGATCTGTGTCTGCAGGTGTAAACAAACACACGTGAGTGACGCCACTCTGTGGTGTGTTCAGGGACAGTACGGACACACACAAATGACTCCGTAGATAAATACTGATGTGGAGCCACATATTAGGACATTTATCTGTCTGTAAATTGGATTAAATGAACAGAATGTAGAGAGTCTAAGCTTTATAACGAGGTATAACATGCCCACGTGAAATATCGGCCCCTATCAGCAAGGCCGATAGCCGATATGCCTAAAGTTGCCCATATCAGCCGATAATATCGGCCAACCGATATATCGGTCGGGCTCTAATATATTTAGTAACTACTGATCAGCTTGGTAAAAACAGTAATAGTAGTAATAATAGTAAAAAAAATTGTAAAAATGTTTAACAGTATGAGACATTTTGGTCCAACATTTGCCAATAATGCTCTTTTTACACCAGTTCATACACCAAAACATATAAATATATCCTATAAGAGTATTGCATCAGTGCATCTCTAATCAAGATGAGTGCGGTAGTGATGATGGCGCACATACATGACTTCCTAGATTACCACCTGATGACATCATGCAGTGTGGCCAAGCCTTTATGGTATGTTTTCTTGCAGTTCTTTTCACAATAATATTTCAGACACTCCTTAGAAGATGGGAAAACTGCTTCTTGCACTTAATTTGAACACATTTCTTAATACTGATCTTATATAAACACATACTAACATCTGTGTATACCAGGCCCAAAAGCAGTGAGGATAAAACATATTTTGCTGCATGCAGAGAAAAAGGGGGACAGCTGGGTTTGATACCTGTGTCCGAGACATTCTCCTCCTCCTCCTGCACCAAGCCAAACACAGAGTGGCAGAGACAGATAAGAAGAGAGGGGAGCGTATAAAATAAGGGTATAAAGATTCAGCAGCAAAAGGGGGGACACAAGGAGAGAGGAGAGAGCGGAGGCCAGAGCTGTAATCCCTTCAGAGAGGACACATGAAAGGGACTGAGGAAGGGAAGAAGCCGGAGTAAGCACTAAGCACCAGCAAACAGAGGAGCGCCAAATACCCCAGGGCACGGACAATCTGAAAGCCCCCGGTCTATTCTACTGCCCCCCTCTGTCAGAAGAGTTCTCTGTGAGGTTTACAGAGAGGTGAAGAGCAGCAGCAGCAGCTAGTGATGTAGTCGCTGGATCACTTTTAGGTCACGACTTGAGCTCATTGTTACTTAATCTCTTCATATATAAGATTAAGAACAGGGCATCGTACCAGTAGCAATGACAGTACTTGGTTCGGAGACTATGATTAGATTAGGATACATGTGTGTTATCAGGCATTTGTGTTGTACTTCTAACCACACTAACCCAAATAAAATAATCCACATGCTAAAAGTGCTCTCAAAGGTCTTATATTAAACCATCTTGTGAGCTTTAAGCCATGTTAGAATGCTATTATCTCATCAAAAAAATATCCGGAGTTGTGTTTTGTTTCATTCACACATGTTTGAATAATCAATTTTTTCCATTATCAGTCTGTCTACAACTCCAAAGCTCAAACTGCTCTGTTCCAAGTTGTGAAGTTTTCAAGTTAATAGCAACCCTTTACCTTTGTGTCAGTAAAGATTGCCAATTTCAGGGCTGAAATGATCTAAATCAGGCATGTTCAAACTATGGCCCTTGGACCAAATGTGGTCCTCAGACAAATTTTTCTTGGCCCTCAGGCTTCAAGGTGAATTGGCCCAAATGACCTTGCATCAATTAAAAATTAACTTTTTACTGCAAGTTTTTGAAAATCTACCTTGATAAAGATACTATTTAATATTTAGTGTAATTCTAACGTGTTTAAACATGCACATATTTCAATTATTCACTGTATTGAGCACCAGTCTATAGCCCTTGATCAGTCCTCTGCTTCATCTGTGTTTAGATCTGCAGCCCTTGATGAAAAAAGTTTGGACACTCTTGATCTAAATGATTCAAGTGAATATGTGTGGAGTTTAAAAACACAGTGGAGCACTTCCTGTATTACCACATGACATCACAAGGTGCAACAGAGTGTTTTCTATTTGAGAGAAGAACTCGTAAATGTGCAAAGTTTGTGTGAATGAAACAAAACACAACTCCAGGCTTGTTTGTGATGAAACAACATTATAACATAGATGAAAATAAAGGGACATAGGACCTTTAAATGCCAATGTGAACAACTATAAATTCATTCTGAATAATATAAGAGATCCAGTGATTGCATTTCCATTTCCATTTTTTCTCACAAGTATTAGATGATAAGGATGAGTTTACAGTGTAGTGTAGTTTCCTTGTTTTGAGTGATCCTGACTACATCATTAGCATAAGCTTAGCAGATGTACTGAAGGAGCCCCTGTTAATCCGGTGTTACCTGGATATAGGAGAGCATGTCTGTGTTGAAGAGTGAGTGGCAGAACTGAGAGATGGGCCTGGACTTCCGCACACGCACAGACCGAGCACATTGACTTCTAGGAAATATAGTACACACATATGGGTGAGGCTCTTCAGATAGTGAGTCACTGTGGATCCCCAGTACATATACAGGACCCTCGTCTGCTCTCCTCTCTCCCCGTGTTGGATAAATTTAAAAACAAAAGTCATTACCTTGAGGGGTCACTGTTGACGGCTTCAGCTACGAAAAATAAAACAGAACAGAAAGTAAATACAGATGTACAGTAGAAGTAAAATTTTCTGAATATAATGCTGTTTCCTCATCACAAACATATCTGGAGTGTTTTGTTTCATTCACACGTTTGAGTGACGCTTTATTATTAGTCTGTCTTCACCTCTAAATTTTGAGCTTTGGAGATGTAGACAGCTAAAAATAAGGGATTGCTCAAACATATGTGGAAAAAAAACAAAAAACCAACAACTCCAGGTTTGTTTTTGGCAAAGAAAAACAATCTAAAATGGCTTAAAGCTCATAATAATCAATTTTGTGTAATATAGGACCTTTAATATCTTAAAATTTACAAAAGTATGATTGAATGTGTTTCAAAGTGTGCTGTTGAGAGATCTGGGTTAGTTGGCAGGAAGACTGTTTTTCGACATATGCCCATGTACGCTGCCAATACAGACGATAGCTAAAGGGGAGTAAGCAATAGCAACAAATGTCCTATATTTTATCATATTAAGGCACTGGTTGTTTCTCTAAATGTGGTAGGAAAGGTTTCAAAGGTGGTGGTGGAAGGTAAAGAAGTACACGAAGTAAAGTACTCTACTTAAATGTAATTTTTTGGTGCACTGTATAACTTTTCCGGTGGAGGGTCGGTCAAATTCTTTTCTCCACGGATATGTAATTGCTTCATATGGACTGTTTCACAATATGGTATAAAACGTTTTTATCTTCATGGAGACCAAACCAGACCAAGTTACAGGTTAGATCTGTGGAGATGCAAGATATTTTTTAAGATATAAAAACTGTAATGGAGTAAATGTAAGGCAGAGCTGTTTAATTCAATGCTGTGGCCATAGAAACAAGCAGCTGACAGAACCCTAACCAAAAAGTTACAGTGCACCTTTAAGTTAATTTTACAGTTGATGTTTTTTGCTTTTACTTCACTACATTTGAGAGCAGGTATCTGTACTTTCTACTCCACTACATTTTGAACTGAACTGAAAAGTAAAAGTATTTTTCAAGTGATTTTAAATGTTTTTTTTTTTTTTTTACCATGTTTGTGACAACATCCTGACTAGGACAAGTTTTTAAGTTTTTTACAAGCTTCGGCTTTCAGTAACAAAAATAAATACACTAAATTCATGAGAAATAATAAGAACACTTTAAAAAAAAAAAAAAATACATTTTAGCAAATTAAAACTTGCATGAAATAATTTAACTACATTTTTTCATGTGATACTTTTACTTTTACTTGAGTAACTTTTTTGTCTCTGTATCTGTACTTTTACTTAAGTAACAAAACTGAGTACTTCTTCCACCACTGTTTAAATGTAGACTTATCTGGATCATGTTTTTTTTACTATGGGCCACTCCTGGACAAACGAAGGATTATATTAACCCATAAACCCTGAACCAGAAAGAATAAACTAGTGTCTATATGTAGTATGATTAGTTTCAAATGTGTCCTCATAATCTAAAATAATCCTAAATAAAATAAACATAGATGGTGAATTGTGGTAATTTAAGGTCCTATATTACACAAAATGGATTATTGTGAACTTTAAGCCATGTTATAATGTTGTTACCTCCTCAAACCTGATTCCAAACATACCTGGAGTTGTGTTTTTAGTTAATAAAGATTGGCAATTACAGAGGAGAATGTAAGATTTCCAGGTATGTTTGTGGTGAGGAAACAACATTATAACATAGCTCATAAAATAGCATAATATGGGGCTTTTAAGGATATTGAGCAACTAAATTATTCGAAATACTACTTGATCTGATGCACCTTTCTGTATGGCATCTTGTAGAAGGTCATGTTTGGCTTGAAGTTTGGAGGACAGAGAGCTGCTGGTGAGGAACTCCTTCACTTTCTAAAAATAAAAAAATAATACAGATGTAATCATATACTTACATACATTTACATGAAATTTAGAGAATGGTTTGTACTGTAAAATAGAAGGTCTCTGTCTCCTGCTGATTGGCTCTACGTTTGGCGAGAGCAAGTTTGGGGGCGGTGCTTCCCCCAGGCGGCTCGTGTGATTGGCTGCTTGGCACATCAGGGGCGGGGTTACTGTCACTGTCACCCATATTGTCCAGTAAAGCAGTAAGTGTGGCCTTGAGGGTTTTACTGATCTGAGGGGAAAAAAAAAAACAAGCCGAGTTTAAAATGATAAAAGCTCAATTCTGTTAGATAACATCAACACTGAGTCAGACAGAGTGCCACTGAAACTTTGTAGATTCATAATCACATGACGCTGACCTCTTCTGTTTCCAGGGTAACAGCTGCGAGGCGAGACTGGAGCTGCTGGAAGCGGGTCTCAAGCTCGTACCTGACCTGGCTCTCGGCACTGACCTCACACACCTGAAACAAACAAAAACAAATACAATAATTTATGAAGATTTGGCCAGTTATAAGTTAAAGCCCCCATATTGCGTTATAATGTTGTTTCCTCATCAAAAACATACCTGGAGTTGTGTTTTGTTTCATTCACACATGTTTAACACACAAAAAAGGAAGTGCTCCACTGTGTTTTTAAACTCCATATGCCTTCACTAGAATAATTTGGATGATTTCAGCCCTTGAATTGCCAATCTCTTCTGAAATAAATGTAGCTGTTAACTTAAAAACTACCGCTACATGAGATCACAAGGTGGAACATTTGGAGATTTTTGAGATGTAGACAGACTAATAATAAAGCGTTACTCAAATGTGTGAATGAAAACAAAACACAGCTCCAGGTAGAACAACAGCAATGGAAAAATGTGTTTCAATCAGAGGTGTCAGGTGTGGGGTATGGTCTAAATGAAAAAAATCAAGGCTTCAAAATCTATTGAGGTGTTTAAAAGAAATGTCAAACATGATATGCTAAAAAGTAAGAAGTATGAACATGCCTTTTGTATTAATTAACAAGTATTTAATATTGTGTATGTCACATAAATAAGCGCTCATAAAAGTAGTTGGAACTGTTAGAAATTTTTTCCTTAGTGTGAAAAGGGGGCAGATATTATAAGTCTTTACTTCTTTTAGCTCATAATTATTATGTATTATTTTTTTATGAATGAAACTAATTTTTAAAAAAGCAAATGAAATATTTTTGATGAGGTAATACCATTATAACATGGTTTAAAACTCACAAGAGTCAATGTTGTGTACTATAAGAACTTTATGTATTAAAATATTGCTGCTACCTGGTCGCCTTCATGCGGGTGATAGTTGAATCTAAAGGGCAGGCAGAAGGCAGTATCGTGCTGCTGTAGAAGAGCATCTCTGTCTCCGCTCTGGTCCAGGGAGGTCACAGCTGTCTCCAGCTGCTTCAGACCAGACTCCTCTGTCTTAAGAATGCGCCACCTATTGGTCAGGTAGCACTTCATCACCCTTTCCACAGACTGGTGGAAACCCAGGTCACAGCACTGATGCAGGAAGAAACAAAAAAAAAAGACAGTCATCATCAAACTTAAATGTTAATAGATTTAGATACCTGTACCTGATTTTGAACAATGATAGAGGAACATGGCCCACTTTGAACTGTTAGCCCCCTCATCCAACAAAATGGCTAAATGGCTAAGTTTATCTTTTTTATGTGGATATATCCAGTCAGTGGTGATTATGTATGTATGTATGTATGTATGTATGTATGTATGTATGTATGTATGTATGTATGTATGTATGTATACGCCCATAAAAAAATTAGTTTCTGGGAAACTAGGTGGGAGGTGAGGGGTTTAAAATTGGGGGGAAATAATCAAACTGTAACCAGTAACTATAACATGAACATTTGATTAAAATGTTATCACACAAAAAATAGTGTAGGGATGCTTCCAATAAAATTATTTTTATTAATGTACAGGCAATATCATTCTCTTTGTTCACAAATAGCAGGTCTTGCAACAGAATTGCAGTGAGTAAAAGCTGTTTTCCAAAACTAAAGTTAAGGATAAAAGTTAGACACAGGGCCTTGAAAGTCAAAGTATTATTATCCAAATTTGAAATGGTCATTGGTCACACTTTTATATGGCACTTTTCCACCTTCTAGACTCTCAAAGCGCTTTACATCAAGAAATCACTCACCCACTGACACACACATTCATACACCAGTGTACACAGACACTGAGGGCGAGTGGGTTAAGAGGGTTAAGTGGGTTAAGTGCCAAGAACATGATAACAGGTTTTATTTGCAGGAGCTGGAATCGCACCGCCAACTTGTGGGTCAATCGATCTGACTGTTCAGTCAATAATGTTTATGTCAAGACCAGGATCCAACTTTTATAAGTGGATAAAGACTCTACCACCTGAGCTAAAACTGGTATGGTATGGGATGCTTTTTATTTGTACAGGGAGAGTGCACAACAATACATTAACCAAGACAAAAGTCACAGGAAAGATGCTGATGTTTGTTTATAGGATGAATTCTAATTTACACCTGCAGTCCCTGACCAGTTTGGTGGAAATACTGAGAGCACAGATTCAATGTGTACGGATACATTTACTACAAATAAATTAAACCAGATATTACTTAGGGTCACATTGTTCAAACACTATTCTAAAACCAACATGCACCAAACACATAAACACCCTCATCCCTAATGTGACTTCTGGTTGGTAGAGCTCCTGGAATTCTGACTAATTTTACTTAGAATAGCTGAATACAAATTGTGAGTTTAGCATTGTGCTCTTACATCAATGAGTGTGCTGACGTCCTGCAGGTAGTACTTGTTCATGGCTGCGTTGGCTGCTGCCAGGTTGAGCAGGTAGTCATTGCGAGCTTTAGTGCACTTGAGCTGGGTCTCCTGCACTCGTCCATGTCTCTGTTAAGTACACAGAAAAACAACATTATGTAAGATCCAGGGTAGCACTGTTGTCAAAATAACATTAATTATGATAAGATTCTAGCCCCAAATATTAATGCATTATGTAAAATATACATTACCAGTCAAAGGTTTGGACTCACCCTCTCACTCAGTGTTTACTTCATTTTATATACTTACAGCAAGATAGCTAATATATGAAGATGTATGAGATTATGTAGCAAAGAAAAAAAAAGTTAAAAATGTAGTAAGAAAAATGAAATGAAACATTGAGTGAGAGGGTGGGTCCAAATTTTTTGACTAATAGCTATATAAATTATAATAGATAGTATTAGATTATCTTGACTGTGCAGCTCTATTAATCTCTCACACAGGGTTCCCATTTTCTGACAAAATAAAAAAAACTCAAAATGACTTTTTCATGACCTAAAGTGAATTTTCCATGACTTTACGGCTCCCTACATGTGTAGAATTGATCATACTTTTAGGGCTAAATATGAAATGTTAACCCTTTCCACTCACCTTATGGTTTGGTATTATAGTTTTTAAACATTCAAAATACTGTCAGTGCATTTATTGTCGTCTCTTTTAAACAAAAGGCGCATATGTTCGGAAAATATCATAATAGCCTAATGAGAACATAACAGAACACACTGTAGTTGGTGAAAGAGATACTAAAATTCCATGACTTTGAATTTACAAAATTCCATGACTTTTCCAGGCCTGGAAAATGACATTTTCAATTTCCATGACTTTTCCAGAATTTCTATGACTGTGGGAACCCTGCTCACAGCACATTTTCTTATTCTCTTGTACTGTATGTACGTATTGTATATGATATAGAATTTATGCTTTACGTACAAATATGTATATTAACAATGATTAGATTTTTTATTACATTATTTAATTAATAATCTTTATTCTTATTTGTTTTAAAAGTGCACTCTGCAACTTTTCTGATGAATGGTCCGCCATGTGGATATTATCACTTTGCCTGAAATGTTGAACAGTAAGATTTTAAACATATCTATCTTCATGGCAACAAGCAGATGACGCATGTTATAGATCAGATCTGTGGAGAGACTAGCGCTTGCACAGTGAGGATTGTTTTTTTAAAGGTATTATTTAGCAATATAATTATCTGCAACTGAGAAAAAAGCAACATAGAAAAAATTTATGTCATACAGCAAAAGCAAAGAAATATTATCATCAACAAGGTGGTGGATCCTCTACCAGAAAAGTTACACAATGCACCTTTAACATTTTATTTTCACCTACTATCAAAGTAGTGTTATCAAAGTAATAAGTAGTAGTAGAAGTAGTATTTTTGAGGGCAAGCCCTATTTTTTGCTTTTTATATGACCTTATTATACAGTTATATTAAATATGCCAAACACAGCAAGGCCTATTTTTATTACTTTTCACTATGCACAACATAACATCAGGCACTTTTGTAATAGTGTCTTTCAGGTGTGCACAGACACAGGAAGTGGTTGAGTCTCGAGTGCAGTGGAACACTTCCTCTGCCGCATTCGGGGCCATTAGCTCTGTCACCTTCTCCATTAATCTCTCCATCTTCTTGACAGAGCTCCGCCTCGTGCTTCCTGATTGGCCGATACCGAGCTCAGCTGACTTGCCGGTCTGTCTCTCCTCCAATCGCTCGGCCTCTTTGAGTTTCCCCTCAGCGATGAGACAGTCCGTGTGGTACTGATTGTATGTCTTTAAGGCCTGCAGAGGAGCACAAAGTGGGTCTCGGTGATAGAATTATTTAACGCTGTTTTCATGAGTTCAAATGACTCACAGTCTGAAGCTCAGTGGTGACCTTTAGCAGCTCGTCCTGCATCTGAGTCCCCACTTCTTTACTCTGGAATACACAAAAGCAGAGGGTGTTAGCAATGGATAATATCTCACAGTGTAAAAGTAAAAGCAGAAATGATAGCGATACCAAAACCACTTATACTTCACCTACCCGCAGTATACTAAAGTTGTCACAATACTAACATTTAAACTGCCATTTCAACATTAAGGAGGTTTGAAAGGTTTGCTACTTGACACTGATTTCAATACCAAAAGAACCGGAATAAAGAGAGCAATTTCCAACACAAACTCTCATCTCATATTACACAAAACCGATTCTTGTGAGCTTTAAGTCATGTTATAATGCTCAAAAACATGCAGTTGTGTTTTTTTTTTTCATTCATGCATGTTTCATTAATTCTTTATTATTAGTCTGTCTACATCTCCAAAGCTCAAAATGCTCTGTTCCACCTTGTGATATCATGAAGAAACAGTAGTTTTCAAGTTAATAGATCCTTTTACCTTAACTTCAATAGAGATTGGCAATTCCATGACTGAAATTATCCATATGATTCCAGTGAAAATGTATGGAGTTTAAAAACACAGTGGAGCATTTCTTGTATTACCACATGACATCACAAGTAGGAAGGTGGTTTGTGAGAAGAACTCAGCCTAAATGTGTATTAAACATGCGAATGAAACAAAACACAACTCCAGGTATGTTTGTGAAGAGGAAACAACATTATCAGATTCGAAGATATGTAATATGGTTCCTTTAAAGCAGAAATGATAGTAATAACAGAACCACTTCCTCTTACATTCCTGGAGTTGTGTTTTGTTTCATTCACACATGTTCAACACACACATAATATATGATTAAGATAGAAACCCAGCGTATTTAGTTGAGCTCTTCTCTCAAACTAAAAACACTCTGTCCCACCTTGTGATCTCATGTGGTATACAAGAAGTGCTCCACTGTGTTTTAAACTCCCTACACCTTCACTACAATCAATTAGATGATTTCAGCCCTTGAATTGCCCAACTCTACTGTTAAAATGTAGCCAGGCCGGCACCACCTAGTGGCCCCACTCAATTTCATTTCTCTCCAGTGACTAGGTCAGGAATCGGAATACACTAGACGGTTTGTAAGAACCCCGGAAATTGTAGACCACACACCAGCCAATAAGTGAAGAGATGCAAAGCCATGATGGCAAACTCAAACACCTCTCTGGGTCCCTTTTGTGGTACAACACAACAGTAAACAGAGTGGTCAAGATGGATGTAGACGAAGCCATTCATTCTGCGTAGGCAATGATTCCCGAGATTGAGGATTTAAAGCCGAAACAAAGAAAATGTTTGGTGAATTTTATCAAGGGGAAAGATGTTATTGCCCATCTTCCTACAGGATTTGGCGCATCACATAGGTCACAACCAAATAGCAGCGATTGGTTAAATTAAAAAAGTACCTGCCTACCGTCAAGCGAACAAATCCTAATGCTGTGAAGTGAAACCGGCTGATGAATCAGGATAGTTAAAATGTATATGTTAACTTCAAAACTACCAAGACATGACGTCACAAGGTGGAACAGAGCATTTTACGTTTTGGAGATATAGACAGACTAGTAAAAGGTTACTCAGACACGTGTGAATGAAACGAAACACAACCCCAGATATATTTTTGATAAGGTAACAACATTATAAACTGACTTTGAGCTCACAAGAGTCAATTTTAAGTAATATATCACCCTGTGAAATGTTACTCCAAAAGAAACAAACTGCATAAACACATTTTTCTACATTATGGCCTTTCATGAGTAGAAATATTGCACTGAAGGATAGCTACAAATGCATTAAAGATTTAGGCTGTATACCTCTGTGGCAGCTAATTAAGATTCTACTCAGTTTTCTGCTGTGACAAAGTACAAACTGCCTCTGACAACCGTTAATTTCAGCGAGCGAGTCCGGGTGCTTCATTTCCCTTTAAAATGAAGATACCACAGATGTCAGAGTGGTACAAGACAGATATAGTAGTGTACGCATTAAGAAGAGGACATGTAAACTAGTGGGTTTGATTTGAACAGAGCTAATTTGAAACACTGGGTAAGTTGTTATTCTGAGGTATTACAGAGATTTGGTGCAGTCAAACAGGTGAAATTAAGCTTCATCGACTCATAGTGCATACGTTTCTGGGAGTATGTATTAAACTACAGAAATAATATCACAATAAATATTAACACATTTATATAATAACTCCATCATAGAGGCTTAATGTTTTATAAAAATAAAATAAAACATTCACCAACTGAACATGGGCACACGATAATTATGCCTGAATACATTGTTGATCTACCATTTATTGAATGATCAGTCTATATCATAAACTGTACAAATGGGCTTCCAGCTCCATCGACTCTGTCTCCAATTACTTTACATTGAAAAACTGTCACTAACCCTCTCTCTGTAACTGCTGCAGTGAGTCTCGTCATGATCCTGATGTTTTTATTTCACTACTTTGTCCGTAAATAAATTCCTTTTCCTAATATGAAAGTCAGCTCCAAATTCGCAAAAACACTCCCTTAGTCCACAGTCTATGATCTATATACTAATTATCGCGACAGTTCTACCTTGAAACATAAAATATTTAGACATATGTTGGTGTATACAGTGAAGCTCCTATATCACACAGAAGTTGAGTGGAGTAAGCCTAAGATTTAGAAAAACTATTGATCCACAAGGGAATATTTTTGGGCACAGTAGCTCACACATCAAAATATAATACAATAACAAAGAGCAAAAAATATAAATCGTAATAATAAATTTTTCATAAGCAGCAAAAATAGCAAAAACAGTAAAAACAGTAGAGTTGAGTGTTTACCCTCTTGTGCAGGCGGTGTGTGTCCTCTGTGCTGTGGGTGAGTCTCTGGGTCAGAGTGTTACAGCAGGTGTCCCCCAGAGAGGCGTGCTCCCGGCTCATCAGACGAGTCTGTGTGAGGAGGACGGTCCACACCTGACACACGGACTGGCCCCACTGCTCCTTCCTGCACAAACAGTTAGGCAAAAACCAGTTCATGTGGTGATACTGCTCAATAACGCAACTACAAAATAAATACTATGGTAACTGCAAAATGAATGTTACAGGCTTTTATATCTACCTTAAAGATGCATTGGGCAACTTTTCTGGTGCTTGTCACCTGCTTGTCTTCAAGGAGAAGTTATTGCTTTGCCCAGAATGTTCCATGGTATGATATTAAATGCATCTATCTAGCATTTATTCATTAGGAGTCTTTATATTGCTCTCTCTCCCTGGATCTCTCGTGAATAAGGCGGCTTCTCCACAGGTTTGACTTGTAATGTAGCCTATTATTGTCTCCCTTAAGATAGACAGGTTTAATCTCTGCAATGGAGAGTTCTAGACAAAGCAAACATTTCCATGAAGACAAGCAGGTGACAGATAGCCAGCCTGGCGCCACCTAGTGCCTCCACTCAATTTCATTTCTCTCCAGTGACTAGATCAGGAATTTGAATGCACTAGACGTTTGCAAGAATCCTGGAAGTTGTAGACCATGCACTGGCCAATCAGCGAAGAGTTGTAAAGCCATGACATCAAACTCAAGCGTCTGTCTGGGTCCCTTTTGTGGTACAGCACAACAGTAAACAAAGTGGTTGAGATGGTTGTAGACAAAGCCAAACATTCTGTGTTGGCATCAATTTCTGAGATCAAGGATTTAAGTACCTGCCTACTGTCGAGCGAATGAATCCTAATGCTGCGAGGTCAGACGGTTTCTACGAAGTGAAACAGACTGATGAATCAGACTAGGTGACAGATCCTCCACCAGAATAGTTATGCACCTTTAAATGCACCTTTAAATAGTATTCTCACTACACATGCATTAACTATTGTGTGATGACATGTACCCTTGCTGACATCAAATCAAATAAAAGTTCAGGTTTCCATCATAGATTGTATATATATATATATATATATATATATATATATATATATATATATATATATATATATATGGGGAAAAAAAACCTCTAGCTGTTGCATTCCAAATAAGAAGTGACCATGGCCGCTCTTCCGGCTCCAGTGACTCCGGCTCCAATTCACTTTGTATTCTACTGTAACTGCTCTTGTCAGGCTCCTCATTTTCATCATAAAATGTTCATATTAAAGGCTGTTTAGAGGATTTTCCAAGGAAAGAGAAATACAGGGACTAAATGATACTGTTTTTTTATTCCTCTGTTTCGTCCATAAATCACTTCTTATTCCTAAAATGGAACTCGGCTCCAAATTCGCTCTTATAACTGCCAGTCCCGTGAGATCCATTTGACAGATGACGTCACACTTCTTCCTTTTCCCACTTCTTTATGCAGTCTATGCTTCTGACATACAACTTGTCCTGATGGATAAAAATACTAACCAACTCGTAGCAGTGCCAACCACCCACGTCACTCCCGCTAACCACCGAAGCAGATCTACGGTACTACTCATCCATACAAGTATTGGACATTAAAGCTACCATCCGTAAGTTTAGATGATATTTTTCACCAGCAGATGCTCACCTCACCTGGTCTTGGTTCAGCCTCACCTAAGCTTTATGATTTTCTTCTATCAAGTCAAAGCTAGCACAACTATCAGACTGCAGCAATGTAAGAAGCATTTATGTGAGAATGCAGCATGGCCGGGTTTACAAGTCTAATTACGGATGGTAGCTTTAAGACCCAACAAGGCCCAGTATAAAAACTTAACTGTTCATCATCTACCAAACTGAAGTAGTTTTAAAGGTCCCATATTATGCTATTTTATGATCTATGTTATAATGTTTCCTCATCACAAACATACCTGGAGATGTGTTTTGTTTCATTCACACATGTTTAACACACAAACCCTGCATTTTTAGAAAAAATGTTCATCTCTCAAATAGAAAACACTTTGTCCCATCTTCTAATGTGCTTATACAGAAAGTGCTCCACTATGTTTTTAAACTCCATACACCTTCACTAGAATAATTTGTACGATTTCAGCCCCTGGAATTGCCGGTCTCTGTTGATCTACATTTAAAAGGCAAAGCAAGGCAAGTTCATTTGTATAGCACGATTCGTACACAAAGTAATTCAAAGTGCTTTACAGAATACATTCAAATCACAACACAAACAAATCAAAACATAAATAATCATCATAAAATCAAACTCTTCTCTTCTTTCATCAGCAAAATATCCATCAGCAGTTTGCCCATTAATGAACCAGAACTCCAGATCAGAGAGTCAAAAATCAACTAAAGTGAAAGATGTGGCGTAGATGGCTAGTACTCACTTCTTGGTTTTGTGGGTGAACCTCTCGGTGAGTTTGTCCAGAGCACGGGCGTATTCCGTCTCGATGTCTCCGCGCCGACGGAGGAACTCTGAGAGGTCCGAGAGCTGCTGCTGTTTCACTTCCACCTGCAAGTCCAAGATCTTCATCTGCTCTCCCAGCTGGGCCCGCAAGTCTGAAAAAAAAAAAAAATTACAATATTGACTATATATTTTTTTGTCATTATATACATATATTATAACTGTATTTTAGTGGAGTGTCCTCTCTTTTCTGATTTGCTTGTAGTTGCATCCACATCTATTGGTCTATTGGTTTAAAACTGTGAAATTCAACTTTAATAGAGTTGGACCATATAGACTCAAAGGTACAGTATGTAGCTTTCCTAGTGGGAATCTGCCGCCTGCATGATGGCTTGAAATGTTATTGGTTTATTTGGAATATTCCACAGTATGATAATAAACTTATACGTCTTGATTTATTTAATTACAAGTGTATTTATTGCTAAAAAATACCTGGAAAAAGGTTATCTCTCCTAAGATCTGACCTGTGAATTATCCTGCATAGTCTCACCTCTGCTTGTTTCCATGGTGATAGATAAGTTTAATGTCATGCTGTCGTGTGTAATGATTGTCTATTATTTGTTCATGTGGTTGTTTCTAATGACTCATGGTGCACTTGGGGCTTTTTGCATGTTTTTTCCGATGTGTTTTTAACTGCAAATGGCAAATAAATTAACCTAACCTACAGTCTCTCCTTCTTAGCACAGCAATAATATTTTCATGGAGACAAACAGGTAGCGGACCCTACTATGGAAGTATAGATGTGCCAGAAGTTTAGAATTTGAATATTTCATGATGAATGAAATAACTTGAATAAAAAGTCCTGGTCTGGTCCCGGTCTGGTCCGTGACTTAAACTGTGATGTCGGACTTATGCGCCACATATGGGCTGAACCAGGACTGAACCAGGGCTGAACTACAGGACTACAACAGGACCAAACCAAGACTGAGTGTCGGGACGGGCACGGAGGTAGACTCACGTAGACTGTCGGGTGATCGGGACTGAGAGCCGGGACCAGACTGGGACTGAGACCGGGACCAGACAAGGACTGAGACCGAGACTGAGACCGGGAGTGAGACCGGGAGTGAGACAGGCACTGAGATCAGGACTGAGACCGGGACCAAACCAGAGCTGAGACCAGAACTGAGACCAGGACTGAGACCAGGACTGAGACCAGGACTGAGACCAGGACTGAGACCGGCACTGAGACCGGGACCAGGACCAGGACTGAGCTCGGGACTGAGACCAGGACCAAAACCAGAACTGAGAGCAGGACTGAGACCAGGACCAGTGCTGAACGGTGGGGGTGGCTCAGACCCTTCACTCTGGCCGTGGCCTCTATGAGTATGGCCGCCCCCTGGTGTTAGCAATTTCCCATAGTAATAAAATATTTATATAATATATTTTTTATCTGAATTTCTCAACTTGAAATTTGTCTGAATTAAAGATGCTGAAAAGTAATGTAAAATCATACCCATCTATCACATATTAATGCCTTTTGTTTCCCAATTATTTCCATTTCAACTATTTTTTATTCAAGTTATTTCATTTATCATGAAATATTCTAAAGCCAAACTTCTGGCACATCTATACTTCCTACCCCCTGCCCTGGACAGATCTCCCTCAATTACATGTTTTTTATAGCTTTAAAAATATCTTGAAAACATGAATTATTTTCTTGCTTCTCCATAGATCTGAGCCTTAACCTGTCTCCATTGTGATCACCAAATTTTGTTCTATACTGTGAAATAATCAAGGCAAAACAATAAAATCTTCATGGAGGCAAGCAGAGAAGTTACACAATGCACCTTTAATGTAACAGCAAAATGAAAAGCTAGCATTTAGTATAGTCACAACAACTATAATGGCCTCAAACACTGAATAACAGTTGCTAGGTAGAGTCTTTTTTTTATGGCCATGTATAAACTGTCCTGAACTAAACTCTTGAATTGTTAAACCTGCTGTAGGGGAAAAAGACCATGAGAAACAAGCCAGCCCCATGTGTTCCTCACAGTCCCATGCACACGCTCACGTTAGTACACTGGAGCAGACAACATGAGGCCAGTCCATAAGTGATGTACTGCAGAGGATTATAGATATAGGTTTATGGGACTATTTATATCCAGCTTCCTGACATAACCTCTGTGTACACATGAAAACATCTGTGCTAAGGGCTGTAAGAGGCTAGAGCTGGCAAAAACATGGTAAAGACTGCATTTGAGATACAATGTTTGATGGTATTTATTGAACTTGTTTTATACTGCAAATAAAGTGTTTAGTTTCTGTGTAATTTTTAAACTGAAATGACAAAGAAATTCTGATTTTAATCCAGATGGGAAGGGCTAAATGTGCACTGTGCAACTTTACTCATCGTCCATATGTCGTTACATCCCTAGTCAGAGGGATGTAACGATATCCAAATCCAGTGTTTTGATCATTTATAGTTTTGTCGATCATGTTCATTTTTAATAAACAAACTGAATGTAGGTTTATTGTGCGTAGCGTAAGGAGACGAGGCTGCATCTGTCAGCACAAACACTGGAGTTGCGGCCTCACGGTCCCACGTTTCGGCTCTGGCTCCTCCTTGGAGATCACTGTACCACTCCCTGAGTGTGTTTACATGCACATCAGTGTCCCAGGTTTGATCGGGTTTTTTGAGTATCCCGGTTTCGTCATGGTGCATGTAGACAAACACTTTTCAGTCTTTTCATCACAACAGTAGCCAAAATAAATAAAGTTACCAACATAAATAAAGTGAGTGAAATGACTAAATCTGAACACGTATGATCTCTGAAAACATGAACCATCTCGAACATGACATACGCACAGTTTAGTCAGAAGTCAGTTTGAAAAACAAGTTCAGCCTTTCATTTACATATCTCACCTAAAAATAAAATGAACTGAACTTTGAACTATTGAACTAGTTCAAAATTAAAATTGTGAACTATGAACGTGAACAGTTCACTATGAAAATGTGTGAACTGACCTTTGAATTAGTTCATGAAAAGTGTGAACTTGCACAACACTGTCCAAATCTCACGGCATGATATTATCATGATATGCATCTCACGGTACGATATTTACTGCGATATTTTGAAGAGGCTAATATAATTGTAGATAGGACACTTTTTTGCATAGTCATAGTCATAGTCATAGTCATAGTCAAGAATTCAAGTAAAAAACATATTTCTTTGTGTGGTCTGCATTAAAATGAATCATGGCATATGTAGTTCCCAGTGTTTATAAGTTGTTGCTTCTATAAAACCATGCATTTAAGCAAAGGAACTTGTAATTCGATATATTGTGACAGCCCACGATATTATTGTGAGACTTTTGACGGTTATTGTTATTCATAGCATTTCAGCTTTTATTCTACTTAGATAGCATTTTATTCAAGCAATGTAAAGTGCATTTTAATATTTCATAATTTTATCATCACTGTTACACCCACTGATGTGCCTTAGTGCCTCCATTTCTCAAACCATTTATAAGAGCTTACATTTATACAAGCTTTTCTCCATGGAAATGCTATTGCTTTGTCTGAAATGTTTCACAGTATGTCATTTAACCTTTCTATCATCAGGGAGACCAAGATCAGATCTGTGGAGAGGCAAGCCCACTCACAGTAAGAATGCCTGTTTATTTTTGAGCTATAAAACCACCTGTAATTGAATACATGTAAGGCAGATCTGTTTAACGTCATATTGTGGAACATTCGAAGCAGTACAGTGATATATCCATAGAAACAAGCAGGTGACGGACCCCCAACCGAGAAGCTGCATAGTGCATCTTTAAAGTCTAACCAATTTGGAGTTTTTGACTGATTTTGTTCTTTGTGTCTACGGCGCTTTTCCTCTTTTGTGTGAGTTGGTGCGTACACAGCCCGGGGGTGAGTCGATGTGAGGAGACAGCATCACTACTAAAGCTATAAATACCCCCTTGTAGTACAGTACACAGAGCCAGACACGGAGAGGAGCACATGACCCGCACGCTGCAGTCAGGGCCAAATGTTATACGCACGCTTAATTATTACACTTTGAACTCATAATTCATCCGAACGAGGGGTGAAAACATGCAAAGTATCACTGAGGAAGATCTGTGAAGCACGCAACAATCACCAAGCTCACTGAGTTTGCGGTTTTGTATGTGTCTCCCGCCAAAAAGGGATCTCAATATGAAAAGGCAAGTTTATAAGTGGGGAAGTGCTTAGTTTAAAATCCTTTCATTACTACTGTAGACCTACTAGGGATGCACCGATCTGATATTAGTACTGGATATGAGCTTCCAAATATCGGTTCAGCTGACATTCTGGTTGGACATATAATAACCTGATGTTATAAGATGATTCACTGGATGTAGTTGGCCCATAAGTCTCATAATGTTTGAACCTTCATTTACACAAAACTGTTCTGTTGTTACTTGAGAAATAAATAATAGCTACTAGGAAATAACAATAACTGAAATATTGTGATATTGTATCATCAAACTTCTCACACTAATGTCGTGGACCATCACAATATATCGAATTACAAGTCTCTTAGCTTAAATTAAGAGTTATGGTGCAGCAATAGCTAAAAAAAGGCAGAGGGAACTACACAGACCATGATCCTTTGCTCCATTTCAATGTAGACTACAAGAGGAAATAACAGTTCTAAACACTTTTAAGTTTTAGTTCTTTGGATTAAATCTTGTCAAGGCATTTTAAGAGGAAAAAGTAGCATATTCAATGTTGTTAGTCTCCAAAAAATAGTGCAATTAATATTGTACCTTGAGATGCATATCGTGAAAATATCGAGAGATTTGGATATTGTTGCATTCCGAATAGTGAGCCTCCCCACTGTATTGTGAGCTTTAACACAATACCGCAATAAATATCGTATCATGAGGTTCAAACTGTGACGATATCGTATCGTGAGACTTGGATATCGTTACACCCCTAATAGCTACGTGACGCAGTTGGATTGGCAGCCATAGTATCGAAATTGGTATTGGAACTGAAAAAAACTGATCAGTGCATCTCTAGGCACTACAACTACTTGTACTAGAATTGCAGTATATTTTAAACAAGGGTATTATGATAAGTATTATAATTCTGATCAAATCTTGGTGGTAATTTATTTTTCTCTAAATGAGGAACGATCTGCTCACATCAAAGAAGAAGGAAATTTTCACCAGCTTCAATTTTAGCAAATACAGCAAAAGTTTAATGACCACAGAAACACTTTGAATAATTGCGGCAGTGCGATGAAGGGAATGAAGCAAATCACTGTGTGTTTAAAATGAGTTCAGATTTTGGGGAAAGACCGAAATATTAGTAATAACACAGTGCACACAGGATCACGCTTTAAGCACTGTGGGTATATCATTTTGCTCAAAGAGTGTGGTGAGTTTTTAAAGCATGTGATGAGTTAAGTGTTTTGAGTTGTTTATCTTAAAGCGTATTCGATTTTTACCTTTTTTTATTGTTTTAGGACTGGTATGATAAAATTTTTTTGCAATTTGCCTTTTGTTGTCTTCATTTTAAGTTATCTGTGCAGCACTTTGGAAACTGCTTTGTTTGTAAAATGTGCAATATAAATCGATCTAGATAGGATTGAGGTAACCAATTTTCAAAACAAAGGAGAAAGTAGTAAATTCTGTCTAACTTGTTCCTAGCAGTGGAGTCGACAGGGAGACAAAGGCGTCTGTTTTACTGCACCCACCAATCTTAGGGGCCCAGTATTTGACCCTGTGATTTGACCTTTCATATTAAATTATATTAGAGGGGGACCCATGTGAGACTTTTTGCCCCGGGCCCCCAAATTTCTGCTGACAGGCCTGGTTCGTAGTACTCACAGACCTTTTGGCACATCACGAGTATTCGTATGCATTTTTTGGCCTCTAATATAGCTTTAGTTTTTTCCAGACATAATGGAAGTGAAGCAGAGTGGACCACTAAAAGCCAATTAGATCTCCTCCCAAAGAGTCATATAGTTCAGTGTTTCCCAACCTTTTTTTCTTGGGATCCAAATTTTGAAGTCACAACCCTTCATGACCCAAGTCAATAGACATTATTCATAAATCACAAACTAAAGGTGGCTTTGACCATTATTGAACATTAATGAGGATATTTCAGTGATCGAGGTCTCTCGGAAAACTGTGTATTACTCAAGTTTTAAACAATGAAAAACCGTAATTAAACCAGCAATAAAAATTATCCAAGTCATCGATTTGGACATAAAATGTAGCCCATTTCTTTTCTTTTCTTTTCTTCAACATTCATTTGACCTACTTGCAGATTGTGACAACGCAACCCCAAAAAAATCTCACCCACTCAACCCACCTGAGGGTCGCAACCCAGTCTTTGGGAAACAGTGATATAGATAAATAGAAGAAAGATAGATACTTAATTTACTCTGAAGAAAATAATTTTTCAGCAGCAACAATGAAACAATAATCATAATAATCATATTAACCATAATACAGCAGTAATTCATCATTTAAAGCATTTATAGCATATTTTATTTATTTGTATATTGACTCACTTAACTTGCCTCTGTGTTACAAAAATGCAAACTCAAATGTTTTATAATTAGATGAAGACAGCAGACTGCAGATGTCTGTATTTTGTCACAAACTCCTCCTTTTGTGCTACAGTTTATGGGAGAAACATGTTACTATTTATACTACTTATTATTTAAGAGAAAAGTTGGTTGGGTAGTTCAGTTGAGATTGTAATACTGTACACAAATATTTTATCCAAATATTGGCAGACAATAACAGTAACATGTAGGCATTTGCATACATATGAGGAGAAAACACACTATGGATCTATGGTTGGGTGAGTGTGGAAACTGAACCCATGCATGAATTCTCTGGTGTGATGGGAGCAGTCACGCATCTCAGACCGCACATACCCACAAATATAGATACAGTGTTGGGAAGTAACTGAATACATGTACCATGAACGTGTAATCTGAACACTAATTTTGAATTGAACTATATTACAGCACAGTTACTTGTTTCTTTTGGTGGTTCAGTTACTTTTCTGAAATCTAAGGGACATACTGCATTTCTTGATCTCACAATTTAGGCTTCGAACTGCACAGAATTAGTGAGAAAAACAGAAATAGCACTCTTATGATGTGTGTATGTTTGAGTTTAACTTCTTCTAGTGATAGGAAAAGCTTTAAAAACAGGGAATAAATCAAAGTTACATAATTTAAAGGTCATATATTATGTAAAATTGACACTTACGAACTTTAAGCCATGTTATAATGTTGTTATCTCCTCAAAAACATATCTGGTATTGTGTTTTATTTGATTCACACCTGTTTTATTTGTCTGTCTACATCTCCAAATCTCAAAATACTCTGTTCCACTTTGTGATATCATGAAGTTAGTTTTTAAGTACCTTTTAGCTTTAGTTAAGTAGAGATTGGCATTTGAAGGGCTGACATTATCTGAATAATTATAGTGTATGGAGACGGACTGAAGAACTTCCTGTATTACCACATGACATCACAAGGTGGAACAGAGAGTTTTGTTTTTTTTTAATTGAGAGAAGAACTCAAGCCTAATTATGCAGGGTTTGTGTGTTAAACATGTATAAATGAAACAAAACAGAACTCCAGGTGTGTTGTGTCGAGGAAACAACATTATAACATGCATCAGAAATTAATGTTATATGGCCCCTTTAATGCAGGTCTTCAGTATTTTGTAACTAAAACCATTTTCAAAGTATTCTTCCCATCACTGTACACACACAGCACAAATAGAATAAGCACAGACTGGCCACCCAAGGGTCCAGGCACCCACCTTTCATCTGCGACTCATACTCGGCCAGACTCCCCTTCTCCCTCCGCAGCTTGCCGTGTGACGTCATCATGGTTGACCCCCGGGACCTTGGCTTGTCGCTGTCCTCGCCGGTTCCCTCTCTCGGGCTGGGAGAGTGTGCGCCTGTGAACTTTGACCTGGGTGATTCGTCTCCCGCGTGACCCTGTGACCTCTACAGCCTCATGTAGGTCTGTGATGAGTTGTCAGCGCTGTGTCCATGAGGTCCTGCAGGCAGATCCATAGGTGAAGTGACCTAAGCAGAAGGAGAGATAAGACAAGGCAATTTCATTATCAATACTGCATACTTTGCACTGTCTCGAATTTCTACTCTGCTTATTGATTACTGAAAATCATACTCATCCATTTTATGCTTGTTTTCTCTTTTGTTTTGCTACAATCTAATGGGACTATGGCTGAAAAGATGTGGATTAAAGCAATTAGTGTTGTCCATGAAGTAAGAAAACCTGCACAGTATAGGTCAATATAGTCTTTTTGCTGGGCCCAATCCTGGTTCTATACAATTCAGTAATTATTAGTTGTACTGACAAAGAAACAGAAAAAAAGTAAATTAAAAAAATTTGAAGAAAATAAAATACAACAAAAATAAATAAATAAATACAAATTTAAATTAATAAATGAAAATAAAATTAAAAACAAAAGAAAAAAACATAAAAATAAAATGAAATCTATTTTTGTTATTTTGCAAAGATTGTTACCCATAAAAGAGAATAGAACCACAAAACCTTCCCCTTCTATAATCCACAAGATCCAGACTGAGGTCAACAGTCAATGCACTTGCACTACATTTTAATGCACCTGTAATTGACTACGGTGAAGCTCTTTCCTGCTCTAAACTACACGAGGATCCTGGAGAGGACAGCGGGGCCAAAGGACAGCGAGATTTATGTAGTGTGATATGAGAGAATAAGAGAGGGCGAGGGAGCGCTAAGACAAATGAGGTCAGCCCAGTCAAGAGAAGACACTGACACCAGAGGAGATTGGACATGAAGGACAGTGTGCAGTGGACAGCGGACGGGAACGGCGGCGGGAGCTGGAGGGGGAGGGGTCAGAGACTAAAGGGGAGGGGTGAGGGGGTGAATGCAGTAACGAAGGGCACGCAGGCTCGAGGTCAGTCCACTACATGTCAATACGAGACATGATGGGGTCTTATAAGCTGCTATATGTGTGAATTCAAAGTAGTAAAAGATGTAATGGATGCTACCACCATTACAAATGAACATGCCAATTGTCCAACTCTTGTAAAAATGTATTTTGGTCACAATTACATTCTTGTAACAACAACTGGTAGGCCTGTCACGATAAAAAAATTTTGAAGTATGATATATTGCTACTAGGGATGTAATAATATACTAAATATTGTGATAGTGCATTACCAAAAGTGTCACAATAATATCTTGGGCCATCACAGAACATCAGATTACAAGTTTTTTTTTGATTAAATGAATAGTTATGATGCAGCAATCGCTAAAAAACACAAAGGGAACTACATAGACCATGATCCTTTGCTCCGTCTCAGTGTCGACTTGACATGACAAAATAACTTATGAGCACTTTTAAATCTTAATTTTTTGGATTATGACAGAAGCAAAGGCTTGTCAAGGCATTTTAAAAGAGAAATGTTCACAATTTGGTTAGCCTTCACAAAATATTCCATTAAATATTGTACCATGAGATGCATATTGTGAAAATATCGTAGTGAGAGATTTGGATATTGTCATATACCCAACTGCTACAGAGATAGACTGAAATAAACAATAATATTGAAACTACGTTATACCCCTGATACAATAACAATAATGTAAGATAATCCCAGCAAACCATTTTTAAATAGACACTATCATTAAAAGGCCTGAGCTTCAACAAATAAATATCAGAACCAATAATTTACCACAGAAACAGCATTTTCAACCCTCTAGAGCAGGGGTGTCAAACACACGGCCCAGGGGCCAGATCCGGCCCTCCAAGACCTTTAATCTGGCCCTCAGCTCAATTTCTACTAAAATATTTTAATTATATTTTCTATTAACATATTGGTAATTTTCTGCGCCACTTAGCATAGCAGCATCTCCATTGACTTTGTTCGTGTACGCCTCCCACCAGCGCAGCACAAATGAAGACTTGCCTCTTTCCAAGCGCACTTAAAAGACGATCATTTTGACTGTTGATCATCACACCCTCATCAGCAAAATGTCAAAAATGAGAAAAGTGGATGCCGAGCGCAGGATTTTCCAAGAAAAATTGACTTATTCCTATTTGTATACAAGTTAATGTTAAATCATTATGTTGAAATTGCATTTTTCTTAAAGTTTCAGGTTGTTCATGATATTATAATATTTTGTAAAAGAAAGAGTTCATCAATTAAATAAGATTTCTGTAATAGATTTGTGTTTCTCTGCACAAATATTTTAACTTATTGCTATTTTCGGGGTATATTTGACATGAGTTTTCTGATCCGGCCCCTTTGGGATCAAGACCAAAATGAATTTGACACCCCTGCTCTAGAGCTAAAATCTTATCATATTACAACAACAATACCCCAAATCTCCCTACCTTCACAATGGCATAGTACACACAATAAATGTTTAGCCCCAACATATATTGCTCCAACTTAGAACAAGGACCATTGACAGAACTTTGGTGTTAGTGTTTCATGGTCCTACCTCTAATATAAATTAATAAAAAGAGGGTCAAATTCTGGGCCCCTAAAACACTGGGCCCCTGAACAACAAACACCTTTGCCACCTCCGGTTTACTGCCCTGTATAGAATGATAAGTTAGATTGTAATAGGCGTAAGAACTGGCTGAAATTACTGGTTGCACAACTACTGTGTGTTCAAAACAAGCATATTTATTGGAGTTGGAGGTGGACAAAACAAGATAAAGCTTCAAAATATAAATACACAATTTCACCATAAATACACATGCTGGTCCCGTCAACATGGGGACAGAGCATTATGTCACTTTGCTCTCCAGCTTAGGCATGGGACGATATTGAAATATGCTGTCACGATTATCATGGCCAAAATAATAGCGATTAAAGATAATGTCACGATAATTAATTCATGTTTTTTATGGATATGCATAATTATAATTTTAATATTCTAAGTAAGTTCCAGTTATAGTATTGTACTTTGTTCTATCTAAAAATAACAATGATCTAGCTAATGTACAAGGATAAAACAATGATTAATGATGTGACTAAGGAAAATGTTTAAGTTAATGGATGATGCATATGAATAATGAATATGGCTCATCAGTGACGTAGTTGGGGTGGGGAACAATTATTCATGATTTTTTTATTTTATTTGATCTGTGAAAGGAATAGATTTACAAAATATAAATACATAAATAAATAAAAAGAACTCTATGGTTTAGTAACCTTTTTTCTGCACATTCTGGTGGTACAATAGCAATAGTTTTTGACGGCAATTATCACGATGATATAAAATGTCCCATGAACGATTATTGTCTACCCTTTTTTATCAAGAATCCTCCAGTTCCGATCTCCGTAATTTTGATTCACTTGCAGCATTCAAATCCAGACTGGAAACCATTTATTTAAATGAGCCTACCTCCATTAAAGCTCTGATGTTTTACAACCGGCCCTGTATTGTTTGATTGCTTTTCATGTTTTTTTAATTGTGTGTCTTAACTGTTGTTTGCACGGTGTCCTTGAGAGCCCAGAAAGGAGCCTGCAAATAAAAAATGCATTATTTCTTGGCTGTATTCAACATAAATATACTGACATTTTAGACAGGAAGCGAAATAGAGTAAGACAAGGGGATCTTCAGATGTAATGTATGTTTCAAGTGGAGAGAGCTTCTTCCTACAGGGAGTGATGACTTAAAAGTGCATTGAGCAACCTTTCTGGCGGGGGGTCCGTCCCTTGCTTGTCTCCATGGAGATGTTATTGTTTTGCCTGAAATGTTCCATGATATGACATTAAGCACATCTATCTAGCATTTATCCATTACTGGTGTTTCTATTGCTCAAAAACACAATAATTCTCACTGTGAATTGGGTTGCATCTCCACAGATCTGACGTATCATGTAGCCTATAGTTGTCTCCCTTGAGGTAGATAGGGTTAATCTCTACAGTGGAACATTCTAGACAAAGCAATAACATCTTCATGAAGACAAGCAGGTGATGGCCCTCCACTGGAAAAGTTGCACAATGCCTTTGGTGCAGATTTTTCCTGAAATGCCTGACTAACTGATTAACCCATATTCAAATTAAATCTTCTTCTGAAGCCTTTGGAGTAAAAAACAAATAGCAGGAATCTATGTGAAGCAGAGACTCTGTAGTTTTGTCCTCTGCTGTCTGATCTACTCTAATTACAGGTGGTAAATATGAGGAGGAGTCTGGATTGATAGTCTTATAGACATTCACTGAGCATTTGTTTAGTGTATACAATTCCCATGTCAAAGTGATTGTCATTACGTTTTTTTTTTTGGTGTTGTTGTTTGTTTGTTTTTTATCCATGCATTACTATAAAAGTTGTTTTCAAATGTAGTACATTTTAGGCTTTTTAATTTTTTTTTATTTGTGGCTTTGGTGTCCAAACTGATCCTGGTTCTTCCCATTCTGCAATATGAATGATTTTAAAAATAAGTGGACTATAGTTTTCCCTTTATGTTTTGCATTTCTATAAGCCTGATGAGCTCCTCTTTAAACAAATGGTGGACAAAAAGGAACAAATGAATAAAATGTCTGCGGTACCACCGGTGGGCCCTCCTCTCAAAGGTCCTGCACTACACAAAATGGACTCTTGAGAGCTTTAAGTCATGTTAGAATTCTGTTACCTTATCAAAACTATACCTGGAATTGTGTTTTGTTTCATTCACACGTTTGAGTAATCCTTTCTTATTAGTCTGTCCACATCTCGAATTGCTCTGTTCCACCTTGTGATGCCATGAAGAGGTAGTTTTCAAGTTAACAGCTATAGTTTACCTTTAGTTCAATAGAAATGGGCAATTCCAGGGCTGAAATGATTCAGAAGATTCTCGTGAAGGTGTATGAAGTTTAAAAACACAGTGCATCACTTCCTGTATTACATCATGACATCACAAGGTAGAACAGAGTGTTTTCTGAGTGAAGAACTAAGCCTAAATATGCAGGTTTGGCGTGTTAAATGTCATGAAACAAAACATAACTCCAGGTATGTTTTTGATGAAGAAACATTATAACAGATCAGAAAACAGCACTATAATCCATTCACTTGATGAATTAGT